CTGGCTTATTCTGCATTACATATTTCTGAGAATAAATTTTCAGATAATATTTTTGAACTTGAATGAAGATTACTAGAACTCTACGAAATATCTGGATTTGTAGAAATACTGGCAAATAATGAGGGTGAACAAAAATTGATTATGGGACAGAATAAAGACAATCATAATTTTTATAACTTTCTGTTGAAGATGTTGCTAATTTTTAATGTTTTTTCAGAGATAAGCAAACTTGTTTTTTTTTTCTTAAAGCAATTTGGTAAATTATACTTTCATGAGCAATACTGAGGCATTTATATTTTTCTCCTTCCCTAATCGATCCCTCTGGAATTTGGAAACTGTTATGAGTATTATTATTCCTATGGTGATATGGTTATTTGCATAAATCCAATAGGACACATAAAGCTAGTTTCCAATGTGGTTTCATTAGCCGTGACTATGACTGGAATGTCATGTCTGAGAGAGACATGCCTAGACTCTGGATGTCAGCAAAGCCTTCAAGAATGAAGATTGGCTTTGAGGTTGTTAAAATCCCCTTGGAGAAATGGCCTGGCCCCTTGCGTATTCCATAAGGTTCACAGCAGTCTTTCCAGATAAGGAGCAAAGGTTGCTTTCCTGGGAGATGGCAAGAGAGAACCTCCAGACATTTGGGGGGACCTCAAGAACTTGAGGAACTGGGTGGCTGGGCTTCTCCACCCCGTGGGGCTAATTAAAGCTCGATTTCGAAATTCCTTATAAGCTTCCAGCAAACCACACCTAAGAGTGCCTATATGATCAATTGCTATTCCTGTTATTTGTACACAAATAATTGGGCCAAATTGAAATTGGACTTAAGGCAGTAAATGAATTAGCCTTAATTGGCTTTTTGATGAAAAATGAGGATGATTTTTAGGGGGGAGAAATTATGTTTCAATAGACTCTATGATACACAGTTGTAGGCATTAAACTCTAGTTCAATGTCTAATTCAATGTCTAGTTCAGTTAATTGCCTTCAAAGTTTTATTTTTCACTTATGCACAGACAAGACTGGAGCAAGGATGATAGACCAGGTGCAGGTCACCAAGGCAGAAAGCCTCGGGTGCCTAGCAGTGAGCATTGAAAAAAAAAAAAAAGAATAAAAGGGGCACACTGGCAGAGGGTGAAATGGAATGGTGACTCGGATGATGAACGAGGAGGCCCAGGGGCTCCTCTAGACGCCTCCCAACCAATCATTATTTCCCCACAGGAGCCTCGAGTACAACTGACAATGGGGAACACGTTGCTTGACTTTTAGGAGCCACAGCAGTCACGTACTCTGTACCAAACACCAAAGTGACTAAGAAATAACTCCCCCACAACAGCCTTGGTCACAGCAGGTAATGAGACAATGCAGCAACAAACCTCCCTCCAGCCTTCAGATGCCAACTCAGGATCTGAAATCATCACACAGCTTCCTCCCTTTACCTGAATGTCCCATCCCTCTGCTGGCACAGGACTTGCTCTGCAAACTGCCCACCCAACTAACCTTTCCCCTGAAAGGCACAGCTTCACCTGCAGATCCCACTGGAACACGGACTCCAACTCCAGATGCTTTTAACCTGCCCAAGGGACCCCAGAGGAGAACTATTCCTTCCTGAGATCTACAAGCAAGTAAAAAAAAAAAAACTGTTTGGCCAAATGGGACTCCAGGGCAAGCAATCGATGTCCACCTGAATGGCCTGCGACCCTCCTGGAGAAATCCCAGATGGTGATGAACATTGCGTCAGAGGTACTGTTACCCTGCAATGCGATGTACATTTGAAAAATGTACATGCCGCGTATCAGCATGCACTTCGGAATCTCTCTAAGACTTTAATCACCATAGCCAACAAAACTGCCACCTCACTTGCTAATGTTCAGAAATCTCTGGACTTTCCAGCTAAAGTTTTCTTAGGCAATGGAATTGCCTTAGACTACAAACCGGCAGAACAAGGAGAAGTTTGCGTGACTACCAAGCCTTCTTGTTGTATTTACATTGACTCAGCTCTGGCAAAACCAGTACCATCCAAATCAGGCAACGGAATTCAACAAACACTGGTGCATCACACCCCTCTCTCTGAGGAAACTGGAGATTGGTTTGTGAGTCTATTTTTCACGTATACCACAAGGACTCTGGAGCATATTAGCACGAATCTTATATTTAAGTTTAACCATTCTTTTCTTTATAATGCTTGCCTTTATTGTTTCAAAGCTCTTTATGGCTTATTTTTCCCATGATGGAAAAATTATATCTGCTCAACAGGTACCTCTAATAATATATATCTGCTTTTGCACTGGCTGGGGTGGCTCAGTGGATTGAGCACCGGCCTGTGAGCCACAGGTCACTGGTTCAATTTCCAGTCAGGGCACATGCCCAGGTTGTAAGCCAGGTCCCAGTTAGGGGCATTCAAGAGGCAACCTCTTTCTCTCACTCTTCCCCTCTCTCTAAAAATAAATTTAAAAAATAAATAAAATTAGTTATATAATGTATTATATATACATATTAAAGGAAATATAAAGCATATAAAAGCAAATATATATATATACACACACATATAATGTATATTATAAAGTTATAAGATTTTGCTTTACAACAGGCTCAGGTTTTTCATTCCCCCAGAAGATTCAAAAGACATCGATAGCTCTATTGATATGGAGGAAGACTTGACAGTGGGGAATTGTAACCATGATTGAAATAAACATAATATACTAATCAGATGGTAATTATAGTTTAGGCTGTACTAACAAACTCATAGAAAATTCATGTATTAAAATTTCCTTGTAAGTGTTTTGTAAGACATCAGCAGTTGCAGCTCCTGCTTAACCAAGGAACAGCCCTGACCACAAAAGACTGGGCATCGGCGATTCCTATCAGAACCAGCAGAGACACTCCTGCACGTCCCACTCCCAGATATCAGCAGTGGAACTGCAGACGGAGCCGTGAAACTGTGTGATGACACAAGAGCCCAGCTGAGACACTGCACGTCACGGGAAATTCCTTAGTTCCCCTCTTCCCACAGTTCCTCTGTGCAAACTAGCCAGGAGGCCTGAGATGCTTCGAAGGGCTTTGAGATGACCGTCCTCCGTCTTCCCGTCTTCCCGGTGGCCGGCCCCTGAATAAAACCACTTCCCTTTACATCAGCACCTGCCTCCTGAAGCCCTGGCGGCAGACCAGCGTGCGTTTGGTTATAATATTTATCCATTGAGTTGGCCAGACAGCCAACCAACCAAAACAGTGAGTGTAAAGCATCCTGAAAACTGTAATGCTGAATGCAGATCATACTTCCCTAAATTCTGCTTGTGATTATCCAAATTTGAGGGGTTAGTATAATAAAGGTAAAACAAGTTTCAACCTGCTAAAGTTTTACCTCCCTTTGAAAATAGAAGCAAAGGCCAGGGGTCAGGTGGCAAATATCTTCTCACTCCAAATACGTCATGATTCAAAGGGTAACTTTGTACTCATGGGCAGGACTTAAAAGAATGTGTCAATGTCTGAGACTCACTTTACAAGATAGTTTAATGAGTTACCGGATACTTAGACCTTCTCTTCCCTGAGTCTTCATATAAAACGGGCAAATGAAAGCTAAGCCCTGCACATCCTCAACCCCACTCCTGACCACTGGAAATCGTGTTTGCTTGGGTGGACATGTCTGAATGTAGGCTAAGGAAGTGAAAAAAGTTGTAAATTTAAAAAAATTCTCATGGCAGTTATTCTGCAATGTAATGTACATTTGAAAAATAGTATTTTCTTTAAATCAAGCCAAATAATGCCTGTTGGATTCCTCTCACCGTGAAGGTTCAGCTAAGTATAGTTCAGTCTAGTAACACAAATCATTTTACTGGGCTCGGGAATGGGAAGGAATGGGTCGGCAGCAGCTTGAGTTTTCTAATTTGGTCTGTGTTTGAGACAATGCTAAGAGGGAGTAGAACATTTAGTCTGTCTTTCTTGCATGAACTGGGCTTAGGGTGACCAAATCACTGATGAGGGACAGGTTTCTCCTTAGATAAAGATCTCAGCCCCAGTCCAGAGTCCCACCTCTGGCATAACAGTATCAGGAGCTTCACGGACTGCTCTCCAGTGAAAATAGTGAAAAAAAAAAATTCAAGTCTCTAGCAATGACCCAAAGGGCATCCAGCAAATGAAGAAACATTTGTTCAAGAAATTCTACAAAAGCTCAGTGAGGACTGCAAGAATCTATGGCACGTGCCCCCACTTTCCCAACTTCGGTGAGACAGGAACTCTACGCCAGGCTGTTGCAACCCCAAAACACAGGGCTCCCTCATCCCCACCTCCAAGTCAGAGGGCTGTCTTCTCAGAAGGGACAGGTTGTCATCGTTTCTCATCTTGCCACCAGTTTACCTGGCTGCTGGGGCTAAGCTGCTGCGAGTACAGCTGATACGTGGGGACTCCTGTCCTCCACCCAACCCTGACCTGTGGGAGGGAAGGCTGACCTCAACTGCGGGGCTGCTGAGAATGCTGGGTCTCCGACTGCCCTTGGCTCACGGGACACAGGGTCCAAAGCTTTTACTGGGTACATAAGAATTTCGTTATATTATCCTCTTTACTTTTATGTAATTTTGAAATTTTTCATATTAAAAACTTGAAGGACAACAACATTTTTTTTTAATCCAAAAATCAAGTTCAAGCAATGCTGAGTCTTTATGAGCATCAGGGAAATGTTCCTGCAGATTCAGTAATTTAAAAATTGCAGCTTTCAGCCTCTTTCTGGTTATTATGAGTCATGTGCCACATACAAAGGAATATTACACATAACACAACAAATGTTATTGAATAATTATGTGGATGCCACTCTCAAAAGAAGCTATTTCCTGAGGATGAGAGGAACACTGTAGGGGTTCCTTCAGGTCAAATTCATCTTCCTGGAACTGGAAACCTTTCAGAGCTTCAGGGAGGAGATGAAAGTGACCCAGAAAAGAGATGCCAAGAAATATCTCTCCCTGTCTCCCAGAAACAGAGAACGAGTCTTTTGATTAAGCAGCAGCTATGTTTAATCACAAATTATTCTGGTCCTAATGGGAAAGAAACGATTCAAGTTAAAAGGGTGGGGCTCTTTCTTCCTCACTTATTTCAGAGGCAAGTAGAGGTGAGTGAAGAAAACAGAACCCGGAGCTCAGGCCCTGCTAAAGGATCCGGGGAGAAATTCCCTCTCCTTTTAGCCCTTAAGTCCAAGGTCGCCGTCCTTAGATGTCTAAGCACCCTGCTGTGGAATAAGGCTGTCCAGCCATGACTTCTGCCTCTGCCTCTGGAGACTCTACCTTCTGGGCCCCAAAGAGCTGGTTCTCCTCATCCTCATCATCAGTGGACTGAAGAATCCTCAGTAGCTTGAGCTCAGGGTTCCAACTTAGTCTGGATGAACTACTGGCTGAAAGATCCTTTGAGGTCCTCTTTTGCTCTTCCAGCACAACCTCTATCTCAGTACCAACGTCCTCGTCAGTGGAGTCTATCCTGGATAATTCAGGACCTAAAAGAAGACCCAGCTGTCACTCACGCCTGTAGCCTTCTGCCAGCTAACTGTGACAAATGTGGAACAGAAAAGGAAGGGCTGGGGCATCTTCAGGACCCTTCAGAGGCATGAGAACTGTGTCATCCAGGGAGGTGAACCAGCCTGGTCAGCACAGAGTTAGCTCTCCCTGTCTGTCCTCAGTCACTTTCTGAGGTCCTTCCACCCTCGTGACTTACTCTGCTCACTGCAGGAGGAATCCAGGTAGTTCTCAGCATAGTCCATCTGTGGTCGCTCTGTGGAATCCTGTGGAATCCATCGGAGTTAGGGTAAGGAAACTTGACGTTTTGTCTACATCATGTTTTTCTCAGAGAAATGAACCCCTAAGACAGGACAAAATCCCACCCCCTGAGACTGAAGAGAGGAGAGGCTTGTATCACACATTCATTGCCCTCCAGGCCGCCCCAGTGAAGCCAGAGCCCACTTGCCCCCATCCCAGCTGCCAGCTGGGCCCAGCAGCAGAAGGGCAGACTGCCTCCAGTCGTGGCTGCTGACAATTCCTCCCAGTCCCGCATACATGCACGGCTCCTTCCATCAAGAGAGAGAGTTGATTTCCTCTTCTCTTGAACCTGGGCTAGATTTGAGGGTGGGGGTGTCCAATGAAATGTGGCATAAGTGACACCGTTCCAGTTCTAGGCCCATCCCTAAGCAAGTGCTTGCGTGAGAATGCTATGCTGTCAAAAGCCCAAACCAGCCCCATGTAGGGCACTCACAGAAGAGAACCAAGGCAACTTGGCCGACAGGCCAGCCCAACCTCCAGCTGAATGTGGCTGCACGAGTGACATCGAACAGATCAGGCAAACCCTCCAGTCAACCCACAGAATCATGAGAAATCACAAAGCGCTGCGGTTTCAGCTTCGGGAGGTTGGTTGGACGGCACCACATAATTGAAACAGGGCCCTCGAAGGATAACCCTCATACGCTCTCACCTGTTGCAAGGTGGGGCTATTTTTCTCCATCTGCTGCTGATGCTGCTTGTCACTTTCCTGACCTGGTAGAGTTCTGTGACCTAGTGACCACAAAGTCAACTCAGTTCTTTTCTTACATGTACTTCAATCCTATTTGGGGGGCTTCTAATTCATCCCCTAGTCTATATGTGACTCCCTATACAGGACAAGGCAGGAGTTTAGAGGCAGCTAAAAGGGAGTTAGGCTTTCTGAGTTCTATTTGTGATTCTGTTCACCTGGTACTGTGCCCACATGTACTGCAGAATTAGAGACTAAGGTAAAGTGTGTGTTGAAAGACCCAGGATTCCTCCAAGAAACCTAAGCAGCAGCTTCCTGCACAGCATAGCAGCAGAAGAAGCCCTGACTCTACCTTTTCCATTTATGAATACTCCTTTGCCCTTCTTGCACCACACCTAATGTACCCATATTGGTTTCTGAAAACAAAACCCCTCCCTGCAAAAAGCTCTAGTTGACCATTGTTTTACCTCCGCTTTATCCCCAACTAGTCCTGAAATGCAAGCATTCTTTCCATTCTCAGCCTCCCTTTCTCTAAACGAACATCTTGCAAGCTGCCACCAGAGGTATGCTAAAAGGCGAAGCCAGTCAAGGAAGTCCCTTGCTCAAAACTTCTGTTGACTCTCCGCTGGGACTGGTTCCCACATTAGCTGCACATGGAAACACTGCAGAGTTCTAAGAACACCAAGGCCTGGGTGCCAACCCCAGAAACTCTGATTTAATAGATCTGGGATGCAGCCCAGGAATTAGGGTTTTAAAAGCTCCTCAGCTGATTTCAGTGTGCAGTCAAGGCGGAGCATCCCTGACCTGGAGGACACAGGTCAAACATCTTGGCAGGCTCTACAAGCCCCTCCCGACCTCTCCCCATGAACATCCAACCCCGCAACCAGGGTGGACAGCTCTGTGTCCCTGGGCAGCCACGCTGTGCCGGGATGCCCAAGCACAGATTATTCCCATGCCAGCACTTTTCTGCCCTGTCGGGAAAACTCACACGTATCCAAATTCCAATGCAAAAATCACGTCTTTCACAAGGCCTTTCTCAGCTCAATGTGGACAGGCCACTGCTCTAAGCACGATTCAAAGGGGCACCCCATTCACCCAAGCAAAACTGCTCCTATTGGAGGTATCGAACCAGTAAAGGCACCAGAGTGGAATTCAGGGGTGTGGATCACCCCAGATGGGGTGCTTGCTACCCTTGGATAAGCCGCCTCCTACCCTGGGCCACAGCCCTGGATCGGTCTGCCTCCCATGTGAAGGTGAGGAGCCTTCTTAGATCTTCGAGTTAGAGGACACCATTGGTATCAGGGAGCTCAGTGGGATGGGAAAAAAACCAAGAGAGCGGCTTCCTTCCCAGGAAACACCTCCCGCCTTCCCAGTGCCCCAGGGATGGAGAGTGAACTCTGATGATTAAGCAGCTATTTTCACGTTACAGTCAGCAATGTCCAGTCTAAGTAGAGCAGAAGGTTTTGGGGGGAATTCTTTCTCCTTCCTTTCCTCCCATTCTGCACTGCAGGTGAGAAATGTCGGTAGGATAGAAGTAAGTATATCCTTCAGCTCAGACATGATAAGAACTCCCCCCAAAAGGGAGATACCCATCTTATCTCCAGCATGAACACGAGAAAAAAAGGACCACCTGTCAAAAATTTGCTACCCACCCCCCTACTGATCTCAGCCTCAGGCTGCAGAGATTAACTTGTGGCAGAGGAGGCGGCGGAGGGCCCAGACACTGCTTCCTTAGAACTAGTTCTCCTGGGGCTTTAGTGAGGGGCCCCGACCTCCCCCATCTCATCCACCAGTGGGCCCTCAGGAGGTCTTCCCTTCAGTAACATGGACTTGTTCATCACCCTCAAACTGCTCTGCCTTTTCTGAAGTCAGACCTGAGGGAAAATGGCTCTGACTCATGCTCTTGGTCCTCTCTCAAATCCCATATGAAGCAAACATCCGGCCTCGCTTGCTTGCTTAGCAAATGTTTGATGCAAGGACGGTAGCCAAGCCAAAGCATTCCAAGGAGAATTCTGAATACTCGATAAGACAGGTTCCCAAATGACAAATGTGTTCAGCTCTTCCTGCCCTCGGCTCTGTCCTGGGCCTCTGTCACTCTCAACCCCCAATCTCCTTACCACAACACGGGTCACAAACCAAGGCACCTGAATGTTTCTGCAAAGTGCTGTGGCTCCCTGGATCACGCTTGGGATTCTTTTTAGCCTCCTGAAACTGGCGTGAGGAAGAACAGAGTTAGGACTTTGAGGAAGTGAAGAAGACTTTTCAAAAAGAGTCCAAAAGAAGGAAGATAATATCTACATCCAAATAGGAACTTTGCACTGATAGCCAGGCAGAGAACAGGGAGAGCTCCACCTCTCCCACATTCCTTCCCACTCCAGGCTGCACCCGCATCCCCAGTCCCGGCAAGTCCGAGGTGACCCCTCAGGGTTGCTCTACCTGTTTCTTAGTAGGTGTCTTCAACATCCTCTGTTGCTGCCTCTCCTGGGGCCACTGCTGCTTCCCATTACCTGGCAACCAGAAAAGCAGCTTGACCCTCTTCTCCCTGACTGCATCCACCCTCGCCCCGGGTGGCTTGCTCTGCCCTGCTCCACAATGGTGACCCTCTCCGGTCAGGACCAAGCCAGGGCAGGCTTGTGGGGGCTGGTGGTGGTGGCTGCTTCTTGAAATTGTAGTTTCCTGAGTTCTACCTGTCTGTGTGACTACGGCCACAAACAACTGAATTTGGACCAAGATCAAGTATGAGTGTTGTGGGCCGAGGGAATGGTACCTGGAGACCTGGCAGCACCAGAAAACCTATTTCCTTCCTTCAGGTTATAATATAATCTCTTCAAATGTTTAGGATATCTCAATGCTGGTCTCTGGAGAAAAATGAAAGAAAGAAAAACTCTACCTCAGGTCTTGCCCTTTCCCCAAATGTATTCCCCAAATGCATTTAACCCTCTGGTCAACACGCACTTTTGAGAACCCGGTGTGCGCAGCACTGAACCATGAGCCCGGACAGGGGAACGGGTAGCAAACAAAGTGCAGGGGAAAGAGAGAATACCGCTCCCCTCAGCCCCTCCACATACTTTTGCTTTCACCTGCATGTAGCCCAGCTCTTCCGTGGGGCTTCAGTCCAGAGTGGACGGAGAGAAGAGAAAGAAGAAAGAGAAAGCCAACTGCCTGTGTCTTAAAGATAGAGGAATTTGGGTTTGCACAGGCACCTTGCTGGAGGCTCCCTAACTCTTACTTGCAGGGTGAGGCTGTGTGCGTATAAAACCATCTTCTCAGAAATGGCACTGTCGGGTCGGCTGTTTTCCAGAGGAGGTCTCTTTTTCATCCTGGCCAGCTGCATCATCATCTCCGGAGAAGGTGAGGTTTTCTCTTCATCTGACAAAAGACTGAAGGGCACAGAGAGAGCCAGGCACTCAGCAACAGCTCTTCCTGGAGAGCGTGGCTGAGAGGGAACACAAAAGGAGGTATGAACTTGAAGGACTGTCCACCGTGGGCTGAAAAGGTCTGTACCAACAGGTGCTCATTCACTAACAGCTTTCAGGTGATAGCTGTGTGGACTAAGTGTTTGCTATCTGTAAGGCTCATGTGCGTTATACCAGCGAATCCTTACAGCACCCTGAGGACAGGTACTATTGTCCCCATTTTGCAAACGAGGAAAAGGAAGCTTATAGAAGCTAAATTACCTAAATTCACGAAGCCAATGAGTTCTGATACAAAATACGAAGGTTGTGTCCCTCCAAAGCACAAACCCATCCTGCCTCCTGCTTATCCATAACTCACGGAGAAAGAGAAGCGTGATTGGGTTCACCTCCTAGTGGAGATTTAAATGGTGGGCTACGTGTATTGTGCTTCTTTAGCACAGGGCCTGGCAGATGGAAAGTACTTGATAAATGGCAGTGATTATCGGCACCACTGCGTTTTGTTAAGTCTAAGAACTCAGTGAACAAGTAGGGTGATGGTTTTCTGCCCCCCAACACAACAAGAGCACACTGCTTTGACCCTTCTCAGCTACAAAGAAAAGCAGGGGCCCTGGCTCTCCCACAGGCGCATGTGATACTTACTCACTTAGTAGATACCGAGGTAATGTGTCGGACTGGTTCCAGAAAAGTGGGAATTCTGAATCTAGTGGCTCAAAAAAGTGTACTGGGGACGGGGGAGGCACAATTATCCCTGGAGCTCGCAACTGTGTCCCTAAGTTCTGCCTTCCAGAGAGAACCAGAGAGGACTTGTCTTTCTGGAAGAGACACGGGGAAGAGCTTCCTGACGCCCTCTCTTCAACACCACTTCCCACCCTCCTTCCAGCCTCCCAACCCAACCCTGGCACGTGCAACTCCTCGTTTCCAGACCTAGTCCGGCTGCAGCCCCGCCCCACTCTGCCCTGGGAGGGTCACCACACGCCTCCTTCTCTGGCTCCCCAACCCTACTGCTGAATTCAGATCACAACAGGGATTAGTCGTTTTGTTTGTTTTCCTCCCAAAAGGTTATTCACTTATTCACGGAACAAACTGAACGGATATGTATTGGAAAACCATGTGTCAGACACAGGGCTAGGGCTGGGATTCAGCAATGAACAAGATGGACCAAGACACTCTTCTCATGGACATGGCAACCTTCCAGCTCTATGACTCTCCAAGGCTACATTTGCCCAACAAATGGTAGTATTAGACGTGAAAGCCCAGGTCCATTATAACTCTCAGTCTACTGAAATTCTATTTCCATCACACTGGGAATTAGTTTTCAACTGACAAAAAATTTCCCCTGAACACCCAACAGTTCCTCCTAACATCTCTTCAAGGTGATGCTCTTCACATTCCTACAGGCAGGAGGTAGGGAAAAAGAGTCTCTAAACACAAAGGGTTTGTTTGGTAATCATTTCTTTCTTTCTTTTTTAAGATTTCATTTATTTATCTTTAGAGGGGAAGGGAAGGAGAGAGGAAGAGAAATATCAATGTATGGTTGACTCTTGTGTGTCCCCTGCTGGGAACTGGCCTGCAACCCACGCATGTGCCCTGACTGAGAATCAAACCATGGTTGTTTGGTTCGCAGGCCTGCCTTCAGTTCATTGAGGTACACCCGTCAGGGCTGGTAATCATTTCTTAAGAAGGGTTTTCTTTTGCAAATTTTGTTCATTTAAAGAGAGATCAGGGGAAGGGAGAACATAGATCAAAGGAAAACAAAAATAAACTCTACAGAGTAATATCATAAAGCTTTGGCCAAAGCATCAAACTCACCGCTGTATGTGTCTTTCTTTTCTTCCTCTCATCCTTGCTGGGAACGATATGCTTCTCAGCGGGACTTGAAATAAGAATAACCACAACTTATTTCCAGACCTCTTAAACAAAAGTACCAAGAATACTTGTGAATGATGACTATGAAGATTTCTATCCTCTAATCAATATACTCAAACATGGCTGGCTGGGAGTCCAGTTGTACCTGCTGCCCAAAGATGCTAAAAAAGGACCCCACCCTCACATCTAAATTAGGTTCCCCACGATTCTCTCATGAATCCAGTTATTTACTTTAATAGCATTAATCCAAATTAGCAATTATATACCTAGGTCTGCTGATGTCTGTAATGCCTGAATCCCCGCCACCACAAGACTGCAGAAGGACAGGGACCAAGTCTATTTGGTTCTCCACCAAAGTCTCCATACTTTGCATGAGGAGGTGCTCAGATATTTTTGTTCTGTTGTCTTCCTCCTCCTTTTTGTCCGGAACATGGCTATGATGGCTGGAGCCCTAGCAGTCGCTTAGACCTTAAAATCCCCTATGAAGGAGCCTAGAAGACGGAAGCCATGGCTAAGGATGATGACCCGCAAAGCTAGAAGGAACTCTGGTTTCTGATCACCACACAGACCTGACTTACTAGCCCTGGCCCACCTACATCTGGGCTTCTTTTATATGAAAGGAAGTGAACCCTTAGGATTTTAAAAATTTGTTTATTTACACTACACACACACACATATATACACACATACACACATACGTGTACATATACACAAAGAATGCATATATAAAGAAGCATTAACAGGTTCTTTTTTCAAAAAGAAAATAAAATTTAAAAAATTCTCAAGTCTCATCATCTAAACAGTCACTTAACGAGAAATTGAAAGCCTCAGCAGTCACAAAAGAAAAACCATTTTTGCCCTGACCAGTGTGGCTTGGTTGGATGGGCGGCATCCCGAAAGCGAAAGGTCCCTGGTTGGATTCTCAGTCAGAACACATGTCTGGGTTGTGGGTTTGGTCCCCAGTCGGGGCACATGCAAGAGGCAACAGTTTCTCTCTCACATCCATGTTTCTCTCACTCTCTTTTCTCCCTCCCTTCTCCTCTCTCTATAAGTAAATAAGTAAATAAATAAAGAATACTTTTGTAAAAAAAGAAAGCAAAACTACTTTATTCCAAAAATTGTCAATATTAGCAAGGCTTTGGGCCTTTGCCAAGTGATCTTGGTAACATTCAGCTTGTATACAAACTCTGCGTGCTGTTTGCTTTGTGCCACTGTGCTCCTGGGCCTTGGCGTTGAGACCAGAGAGTCACGTGCTTCACCGAAAACTTTTTCACTAGTTGCTGATGGCTAATAAGAAAAACTAATAGTCAGAAAGTATTTGTTTCTTAATAAAACCTCACAAATACATTGGGCCCTATCTTGTACGCTATTTATAGCCACATAGGATTTCATACAGGGAAGTCCCAGGACACGAGTCTCAAAGTGCATTAAAACAGAATTCCAGTGTAGCAAGTGGCAGATGCAAGAGACCATGACCTCCTCTGGTTGTGTCCTTCCTGCTACCTACAGTGAGGTGGCTACAAAGGGGATCATAAAAGGAGGCCTGCAGAGGACAGCAGGGCTTTGGAGAAGATAAGAGTTGAAGACCTCTTAGTTCTAGACATGACACTCACCCAACATGGTCCTCTGGTTTTTTGGGGATCCAGACTACAGCCATATTTCTAACATCTTGAGGGCAAGGAAGTGGTGTCTCATTCAAATTTAGCACTGGAAGCTAAGAGAAAAATATAAAGCCTATGTATCGTTTGAAGGCACCAGTTCCTGATGGCACTCAGTACCAAACCGAGAAGGTTCAATTATCATGCGAACTAGAAGAGTACGGTGGCTCACAAGATAACAAAAAGACATTCTCCCATCCCCCCAACACCTTCATAATATTCCCCTAAGAAATCGGTATTAGTACAGGTACTGTAAGAGTAAGCATTTATTAAGTGAATAGCCTCCCCACGTCCTGTGACATTACGGTGGCATCCCAACCCCATCCCATAGAAGGGTACCTTGGAGCTTACCTAAGGGAACACTAATTCTGGCCACTCCACTCCAAAAACTTAGGTCCTCTAGAGATATTACAGTACAATTTTGGAGTAGGGGGCACTGACAGAGACAAAAGCAAGTTTTCTACTTTTTTAGCCTATCTATAATTATGGGCGTCTACATAAAAGTTAATGTCTTAACTCTCTTCCTATTTAGCTATTTAAAATACTAGAACACTAATTGCCCCAGGAAACCTTATAAATGATCTCATCCATATCCCTAGTAGTAAGGGGGTGGCTAAGAAGAAGGTTGTCCCCATGAAAAGGAACTGACAGGCCTAGGGGAACAGGGGAGACTTCTCTGCACTGTAAGCCTTTTCCTACTTCTGAATTTAGAACCATGTCCATGTATTATCTATTCAAATAATTAATTTAAAACTCATTTAACCTAACCCTCTTGTTCCAAAGTGGTCAAAGGGGTGAGTGCTTTGTTCATTCATCCATTCAAACCTACTTACCCTCAGTTCCTCACACTCCCCACGACATGACACTGAAAAGTGACGTGTCTCATGAAAAAATAAAAAGCATCAATAGGACTGCGAAGAATAGCAGATCTCTCTTATTGTAGATGAATATATCAATGGACGAGTTTTCCTCCCTAAACTCTAATTTAGTTCTGCTCCTAATTAGCTATGTGCTTTAGCAAATCACTTCCTTTCTGGGCCTCAGTTTCTTTAACTGTAAAATAAATGAGATAGACCATAGTGATGTTCTTCCAACTGTAATTGCAATTTATTTCTAGGTCATTGAATCAAAGTGAGTGAATTGGGGCCTACACTGTTTAAAAATGAAATAGAATATTGAGCGCGGGCCTGTGAACCAGACAATAGCAGTTCGATTCCCAGTCAGGGCACATGCCTGGGTTGCAAGCCGGTTCCCTGCAGGCCAGTTCCCAGCACGAAAGGCAACCATACACTGATGTTTCTCTCCCTCTCTCCTTCCCTTCCCCTCTAAAGATAAATAAATAAATAAAATCTTTAAAAAATGAAATAGAATAAAATAAACAGAAAAGAAAACCTCAGAGTGCATCCCCCTTAGTTAGGGGAAAGATTGTTCCATGACATTTTTGTTGCACAACATAATTCTAACTGTAGGTTACAGCTAAGAATGTTTGAAAGTCATCAGAGTAGATGACCCTAGGGTCCAATTTAGGTCTGCCACTCCGGCATTCTAATTTCCCTGTATTGTGAGATGACAGTGTTTACTTAGTATCGGAACACGTTCTAAGTAGGGTAGAGAAAAAAGGCTCACATATGCCAAACTGCCACAAATCAAACCCACTTGTGTCTGCGATTTCTGGAAACAGTACAGCACGTAAAGCCTGGTGTATAGTAAGGGCCCAAGGTTAGGTAGTTATCATCATCATCATGACCATCATCGTTCAGATTGCAGCCAACCCCAAAATCAGTGCTAAATAAAAGCAAGTGTTTTATTCCCATCAGTAAAGAGAAGATGCAGAGGAAGTACCTTTTTCCATCTGTGACTTACTTTGAAAGATCTGTCAGCCCAGTTGATCAAATCTTTGTCAGGTAACTTCTTCCGAGGCCTAAAAAATGAGTTTCTGAACATGAGACTGAGATGCAAAGGACTTCTTGGGATGATAAAACAAGTGCCATGAGGAAAAGCCTTCTGCTATAGAAAGCCTTGCACTGAACGAATACTTACCGAATGAATGTAGGATCTTGCCATCTCATTAAGTTTTTTTTTTTTTCGTGGAACAGCCCCCAAACAGACACTGCACGTTGCAAACACTGCACAGCTATTTGTCGGATCAGACTGAATGCAGAGCCTATGCCTCCTCTCTCCCCAGCTACAGATGGTCACATAACCATCAATAAAGGTTCATTAAGTACCTTTGATGGAGATGTCCAAAAACATATTAAAGAAACAAAATGTGGCATATACACACAAAGGAATATTTTTAAAAGGAATGAAATTCTGACACATGCTACAACGCAGAAGAACATTGAAAACATCACACTAGAGGAAATGAACCAGACACAAAAAGCTAAATACTGTACGATTCCACTTAGATGAGGTACCTACAACTGGCAAATTCGTAAACAGAAAACACAATAGACATTATCAGGAGCTGGAGGGAGGAGGGCATGAGGAGCTATTATTTAATGAGTACAAAGTTCCCATTTGAGATGATGAAACAGTTCCAGCATGGATAGTGGTGATGGTTGAATGACTGTGAATGTACTTAATGCTACTGAACTGTGCACTTTAAAATTGTACAGTGGTAAATTTCATATTGTGTATACTTCACAATAAAAAAGAGAATACTGTTCTCTTATATTTTCTAACCACTTGGTAGTTTATTTTTTCAAAACGTGTTAAATGTATAAATGAATAAATATTGAAAAGACAGAAGATAAAGGCCCACTCCTTACCCTGATTTACAAAGTCCTACATGATGTAGGCCCCTGCTTTTTACTCCAGCCCCCCAGTCTTACCTCTGACCACTCCTCTATTCCTGCTGTATGTTCTAAACATGCAGAACTTTTCTTCCTGATACCTAAAGAATTTCTTTTTGCCTTCTGTATGTGGTTTTTGTATGTGCTATTTCTGGAGTCTAGAACTCTCTTCCTGTACTTCTCCCACTTACAACCCCCACTTCACTAAGCTGCTCTAATTTCCAGTCTAGGCAAGACACCACCTACACAGGAGGCAGTGCCCTGGGTTAGGGATCCTTCCCATGTGCTCCCACACACCTAGGGGGTGCTCTTCTTGCTGCACTCATTACAATGAAGGATTCTTTGCCTCCTCAGCTAGGCTGAAAGCCCCTCGAGGGTAAAGACTCGATCTTGTTCATCATTGTATCCCCAGTGCCCAGGAAAGCAGCCCCCACTGAGCTATATCTGTGAGTTCAAAGAGTGACTGAACAAATGATGCCCTGGTCTTGGCCTTCACAGGCCCTGCCTGGAAAAAGCCACTGTTTTCCAGGGTTTGAGTCCTAGAGAACCTAAAAGGAGTCCTTTCCTTTTCTACACTATCTTTAGCCTAAGAAAGATCACCAAGGGCTGCTTAAATGGAATCAAAGACAAGAAATCACTACAAGAGCCACTACTAGTACTTTGATTCCAGGCAACAGGGTCTTCGAATTTTAAAGGTCTGAGATTTCCACAGATACCTTTACTTTAACTTCACACGTCAGCAAGCACTAACCGAGTACCTAAACTTTGTAGGATACTCAAAAGGAAAAGCCATTGCTTCTTCCCTCAGGAGCCTATAGCTTCATACATAAAAGATAAGAAAGATAGCATGTGTAGACAGTTTCTGATGACCCACAGAAGTTAATGAGATTGTCCCTGATATGGGCTGAATTGCGTCCCCCAAAGTTCATTTGTTGATGCCCTAACCCCAGGTACCTCATATTTTTACTGTTTTTGGAGACAGGCTCTTTAAAGAGGTAACTAAGGTAAAACGAGGTCATGTCAGTGAGCCCTCATCTAATAGGACTGGTGTGCATATAAAAAGAGTGGATAGGACACACACACACACAGAGGGAAGACCAGGTTAAGACACAGGGAGAAGACAGCCACCTACAAGCCAAGGAGCAAGGGCTCAGAAGAAAGTGGTTCTGCCAACACCCTAATCTTGAACTTCTAGCCTCCAGAATTTTGGAGGAGATAAATTTCTGTGGTTTAAGCCACTCAGTCTGTGGCACGCTGTATGTATGGCACCCTAGCAAACTAACACAATCCCCATTTTCACCAACTCCTAGAACCAAAATAAGACTGCTTTCTTTTAGTTTCCCTCTGCCTATTTACCACTTCCTTCACTGAATTAGTTTTAACTCAGCTTTCTTAAAGTCTTCTACAAGGGTAAAGAAAGTCAACCCAGAATTTTGCAATAGCAGGCGCTTAAAGGAAGATTCCATGATAATTTACCTGCCTTGAAATTTGGAGTCAAACTTTGAGCCCTGAGACAATAAAAAGTGAGGCTTGGTGAAGGTAAATCCTGGTAAATGACGATGAGGATGTCTCTTGGCCTGGAAGCAGGAATCTGAGATGTTTACAATGGTGACCATTGGGAGTCTGTCTGAGAAAACAACCAGAAGAAAACATGTAACAGAACAAAAGGGAAACAAACGGAAATAGTTCAAAGGTCTTGTAAGGAAAGAGATAGGCTGGCTAATTCACCATCAACATCCAGAGAAATTTTGCGCTGTGAGTCCAAGATTCGAGGGTGGCCTCTCTCGATGCGGCGGATGGTTGCCCAGCATTGTGGATGCTGACAAACAGCCATATCACAGGTGGTTTCATCCCACTGGCTATCATCTGGCAAGTCCATAGTTACAAATGGTTTAGGACAAAAGCTGACCTTGCAACTTTCTGGCCCTTTGGAGAAACAACCACATAATTAGGGAGTATTCTACACTAGCCAGATCTTAATTTGGACTCAAAGCATAAAATATTTCCATCGAAAGCTTATAGGTAAATGGTGGTCACAGGATAATTAAGAACTGGGTAACAAGCAAGTAAGAAAACATCACAGTGTGAAGTAAAGTGGCAAGAGTTTGGGAACAGACTGACTTCAGGTCTCCTAATTTGCCATTAAGATTGGTTAATCTGAACTTCAACTTCCTCATCTGCAAAATGAGGATAAGTCTGTTTCACAGGGTCATTACAAAAATGAGTTAACAGACATTAAAAGGTCTGGCATATAGTGCACAGAATAAATATCAGCATCCTTTCCTTTTCCCCTTTATTAATCATTAGGGAGAAGATACCACCATCTCCAAAAAAGTCTTGTCAAAAAACAATGAATGTTGTTCCAGAGGTAATTAAGATGGTTCATACCTTTGGAAGACATGTTTCCGTTTTCAAAGTGCTCCAATTCTCATACAGGCACTGAAATATGCTCTGGGAATTAATGGATTTGCTCAAACAGCTCGTCTAGCAGACTTGAAGCCATTGGCTTTTCATTTACTGTGTGGTCCTAGGCAAGTGACTTCACCTCTCTTAGTCTGTTTCCTCATATGAAGTAGAGGAAGGGAAATCCCTAAATAGGATTGGAGAAGCATTAAATGAAAAAAATGTACTTTTATGTGTGGTAATGTAATAGGTAGTCAATAAATGTTATCATCTCTCTCTCTCTAGAAATTTTTATGCAATCGCTACCATCTGATTCACAATAACTTTGTAAGGATAGTATCCATTTCTACTTTCTTTTATTCAACATGTTTATTGACTACCAAACATGTGAGCATGGAGAGCAGTAGTAACAAAACAAGTGCCTGTTCTAAAGGACTTTTAATTCAGACAAAAGATAGCAAAATATTGGCCTAGGATTGCACCTGTCCTATGACTTGTTTTGTTTAGGCTGTACTTCGAGCCATTATTTTTAATGGAAATAGTCCGTAATGTCCAGATTTCTGGCTCCTTTCAGAGGTCAAAATATCTGACAACATGTGTGCGCAGTTCCAACAGGCCAGCAACCGACTGAGGCTGAGCATCTCCTGCCATCTTTAAACCAGGTCTGTCTTATCCAAGTGCAGTTTTTCCACCAGAACCAACAGTTTTTAACTGAAGCCGTTTCGGCTGCCATTTATCCTCAGATTGCTGTTGCCTTTTCTCATAATTGGGAAATATTTCTTACTCATTATCAAAAGCAGGGAAATAAAATGCGATGAGACATGTTTCATGAAAAAAACAGCAGTCCTCAATGGGAGTGAAGATAATGTCTTACGTACATAATACGAAAAATGATACAACTTTAAAAGCCATTGTAAAGCTATCTATGCTAATGCCTCTGACTGGGAAGGGTGTTCGATTAATGATTTTATAAGCTAAAAAAAAAAATTCTACGAGGGCTTTTGAATGAGAAAGTGATGTATTATTCTCACAACCTGCATGTCGCCCTTTCATTACCTAAGCAGAATGAATTGAGCCCTGACGTCTAGTCACGCCCATCTCTATGTTGCCAGCACTGGTGCTCTGCTGGCAAATTCATTTGCGTTGGAAAATTCTAGGTAACAGTATGTATTTCATAATACTACTATTACCAAGTTTGGAGGGGTGTAATTAATTATTAAAGATAAACATCAGCTCTGGTAAGAGTTGAAAAAAGATTCCCTGCTTCATTCTGGTGAAAGGGAAGGAGAATCCAGCCTCGGAGGGCCAGGATTTCGTGGAATTCACGCTTAGCCACACAGCCAGGAGCTGAAGCCCGAAGGTTAAACGCAGTTCCTCAAGGGGCGGTGAAGAGGCCTGCGGGCCCCTCCCACCAGGCCCCGCCTCTCACCCAGAGGAGCCCCGCCCCACCATCTCAGTCCCATTCTTCCTCCCCCCCCCCACCCCGCCCCCCGGCAACGCGCCAAGCTGCGCCGTCGCCCAGCAGCAACGCACAGCACTATGGGGAGTAAACGGAAGCCCCAGTGCGCCCAACTTATTCTGTTGAAGAATCACCAGACGTGATGATGGGGTGAGGAAGACAAATGAGCTTGGGAAGGGACATCGGGTGTCGGTGAGGCCGGACAGAACCCCAGGCGAGCCGAAACCATAGCAGCGTGGAACGTTCGGCTGCCCCGGCAACTGGAGGCGGAGGCGGGGCCACTGGAGTAGGGAGGCTACACCGCGCGGGGCAGTATGGGACTCAGTGGGCAACGTGGGCTGGGACGGAAGCCTCGTTGGGTCAGACCGTGGCGACGCGGGAAGTCCAGACGCTGTGGCTGTCTGAAGAGGAGGCCTGAGGCGGAGGTGCAGCCTTGGTGGCGGCAATGGCGGAGAGGCCGGAGGACCTAAACCTGCCCAACGCCGTCATCACTAGGATCATCAAGGAGGCGGTGAGCAGCTAGACTGACAAATGGACTAGGGCGGACGAGCGGGCAGGGGCGGGAAGCGAGACCTGGGCCGGCAGCTTTGCTCACCCCTGCTCTTCTCACAGCTCCCGGATGGTGTCAACATCTCCAAGGAGGCCCGGAGCGCCATCTCCCGTGCCGCCAGTGTCTTCGTGCTGTATGCCACATCCTGGTGAGGCGGCGGGCACAGCTAGCCAGAGCGTAACTGGCTCTGCGGCGTGAGGGAGGCGCAAAGAGACCCCTGGGTCGGAGGCCACAAACCCCAGTAACAGCGCCCTACCTCCTGAAGGGAGGTTCACTGTCCTCCCGCGGTCTTTGCAAGTTCTGAAGCAAGTTGCTTGAACCCTTTTGTACGGCGGGGTCAGGGGGAGTCCCCAAGTCACAGCACTCCGTGCATCTAAGACATGGGCTTTCCCATTGCACCTCTGGGTGCTCTTTTTTCCGCCCACGCCATAGGCGGCAGGCGATGAACTGACAGCCCTTAAATCTTTCTCCTTTTCTTATTTCAGTGCCAACAACTTCGCGATGAAAGGGAAACGCAAGACGCTGAATGCCAGCGATGTGCTCTCGGCCATGGAGGAAATGGAGTTCCAGCGGTTCGTTACTCCGTTAAAAGAAGCTCTGGAAGGTAATGAGCCTTTTATTTTTTCAGCCAAGGAGGTGCTTATCCTGTGTGACCTGCTCACCTGGTCCTAAAGGGACCCAAGTCTTTCTCAGGTTGGGTCCCTTTAAACCCAAGAAGCAAGTATTGGATGTGACTCAGAAACAGTGCGGTTAGCGCCGTCTGAGGTCTAGCGCCGTCTGTTTTGTAATACCAGGCAGGTTATTTTTCCTCCTGGGCCCACAGGTATAGTGTGAAGTCAGTTGCGCTGTCGGCTTGGTTCAGCCCTGCCTCCTAACCCCTTCCTTCCTCCTTTACAGCGTATAGGAAGGAGCAAAAAGGCAAGAAGGAAGCTTCTGAGCAAAAGAAGAAGGACAAAGACAGAAAAACAGACTCAGAAGAGCAAGACAAGAGTAGGGATGAGGACAATGATGAAGACGAGGAACGGTTGGAAGAAGAAGAACAGAATGAGGAGGAGGAAGTGGACAACTGAATAGGGTGAGGAGACTGTGGCTTCTGGAAGGCACCACTGGGAAATGTGGTGACGTTTATGCGAAGCTGTTTTCTACTGGGCAGAGCAGCCTTAGGCAGAAGAGCCTGAGAAGATGGAAATGAAAACTGGCTAGAAATATCAAAACCAGCGCTTCCCAAACTCAGAGCCTCTGAGTAGCAGAATCCTGTTTTGCTTAATCAGTCTGAAGGTTATGACTTTTTGGCAAGAGGGATTCCGAACTGATAATCAACTTGATCTTGTTTACTTCCCTGTATGATTAGGCTGTTTTTAATTGCCAGTTCCCTTCCACCTCCACCAAAAATAGTAACTTCCATGCCACCTGCTGTGTTCCAGATCACAGGAGGCAGCCGAGGCTCAGGAAAAATGGGGCTTAGATCATGGACAGCCTGTTTGTAGTGTTTGGCAGTGCCAGCTTACTACATGTGGTGAAAATGGCATAGTTTTAAGAAACTACTAAAAGGCTGTGGGAGAACAATGAAATCTGGGGTCTCCTCACTTGACAGTGACATTATTTCATTTTGGTTTGTACCGACCCGCTTGGCTTAGGACCCTTCTAGATTGCCTGTAGGCATTTGACCTGTTGGGGTGGCTGCACTCTGGGCACATAGGCTTTTAAATCCTTGGTATAGAGTGGAATCAGTCAAGCAAGTGTGCCAATGTCTTACTCTTACAAAAGGGATGGTTTAGTCTTGGATGCACCTCACTGTTTGCCATTGTGCAGCTTTAGAGTTTGTTGTCACCTCCTGGAAGGTATAAAATACCAGGCTTTCTCTTCCTGTAGTCCATTTACTGGACTTGTGACTGTGGCTTTCCATTCTTCCAGTTCATGACAAGTTCCAAACTTTATTTCTTCTAGACACAACTTTCTCCTTCTGTGCTTCCCACTTCCTGCCTCTCCTCTGCTCCCCATCCCCACCCTCTTCTCCTTTTCTCACTCTGCCAGTGCAGGGACTTTGATAACCTACTTAACATCCCAAAGTGCAGGTTCCTCTGCTTTCTTAGTTCTAATCTTGAATCTTAAAAACGATTTTTGTAAACTTCTGTGAACCTTAAGGGAAATCCGATGGTGCTCAGGAATTTAATCCCCCCACCCTGCCCCAACCATCCCATTTAACTGCTTCTAAAGTACCTCTGTTGACCTTTCTTAGGGTTTTTTTCCCTCTTTCATTTAGTGCTCCAAGCACTTCGTTTGTCTCTAAGGCATTTGACAGGTAGTGATGTGTAATTTGACACTGTTAATTGTTAAATTAATACAGTGAAAAATTTGTTGATAATGAGTGAAGAATGTTGAGAAAATTATAGTGCTTTGTACAAATAAAGAACATTGTTGTTACAAGTGACGACTCCTGTTTCATCCTGCTTGCTTGTGGTATGCTTTTGGGGAACATCTGATCATGCCCTATATAGTTTTGGGGCTATGGACCGGGGCTCATCTTTGTAAAAATGGGATCCTGCAACACCTTGGGTGACCAGCAGGTGCTGCTGGTTCACAGGCAAGGGAGCTGCTCTTCAGCCATCACAAGAGCTTTCCATGGTTCTGCTAAACACCCCATATTTGAGATGGTTAACAACTGCAAACACTGTTGAGTTCCTGCTCTGTGTCTGGCGCTGTGTTCCCTAATCTGCATAGTTTTTTCAAATCATGACTTAGTAAGTAACATTTCACGAAGATACAACTCCAACAGTCATTAGATTAGTGGGTTTTTTCTCTTCAGAGCAGAGAAGCCAAGTATGGCTTTTGGACCCTGAGTGGTGTGGCTAAGTGAGTTGGGTGTCATCCTGTAAAGTGAAAGGTGGCTGGTTCGATTCCTGGTCAGGGCACGTGCCCAGGTTGCAGGGCTGGTCCCCAGTTGGGGTGCATGTGAGGCAACCAATCGATATTTTTCTCCCTCCTTTCCCATCCCTCTAAAAGTAGACAAATAATATCTTCTTGGAAAAAGATCATTTCTGAATTCCCATGAGCATCACTTGGCTAAGCCCTCAAGTCCCATCTGGGGTCTTGTGGCTTCCTTTGAGCTCAGTTTCCTGCCTCATCTCCACCTCCCCTAGCTTTCCCTTTGTACTGCTTGCCAAGCGGATCTTCCTGGAACATTGCTGTTACAGACCCTTGCTGTTTGCTATTAAATCAAATCCATACATCAGATCAAATCCACTGTTAATCAAAGCCTGCTTAAAGAGGGCTCACCATACCATCTATTCTAATCTACCACTCCAACATAAGGCTCTAGTCAAGAAGGAACCCCTAAAAGAACTCCCACATGGCTTTAGTACTTACCCAACCTTACCTAAGAAAAGTCATATTTCCCGACAATGGGGACTCTGACTTAAAAGTACAGAATTTAAGAACTGGGAAGCATGTGTGAGGTCATCCATCAGTTTTTCTCACCTCTCATTCCCATAGTGGTATCTGGGTTTTGAAGATTCCTTGCTAGGCTAAGGTAATGTTTCTCATGTTTTTTTAACCACAGCCCTTCATACCTAGAGATTCTGATCTGGATTTGGAGGGTGAAACAGTTATATTTTCAGTCATGCAAAATTGCTTTTGCAGCCTAACCTATTTTTACTGATGGGACCCTGAAGCTCATCAGAGAGAAGAGTGGCTCGCTCAAGATCTTACCATTAACTTATGAAAGTGAGACCCTGGCCCTGGCTGGTGTAGCTCACATCCGAAAGAATATAGTTTCTCTCCCTCTCTCCTTCCCTTCCCCTCTAAAGATAAATAAATTAAATAAATAAAATATTAAAAAAAAAAAAAAAGAAAGTGAGACCCTGTTAAAGTGGCCCATGGCCACCTTTTTTTTTTTTTTAACTTTTTACTTTGGAACTTTTTTTACTTTTTATTTTACACTTACAGAAAAGTTGTTGAGTACAGAGAGTTCCCATATAGCCATCCAACTTCCCCTCATGTTAACATCTTATGGTGCATTTGTCAAAACTAACATAAAACTATCAACTAATTTGGCCAAACTATTTGTATGTCATCAGTCTTTCCATTAACTTCCTTTTTCTGTTCAGGATCCAAAGCAAAATACCACATTGCACTTGGTGAACCAATTTTCCTTTTTAATTGAGATGGAGAACATAAAATTAACCATTAGAAAATTAGCAATTCAGTGGCATTTAGCATAATGCAATGTTGTACAATGGCTTCTGTCTAGTTCCAAAACTTTTCATCTCCCCCAAATCAAACTCCATACTAGTCAAGCAGTTACTTCCCATGTTTCCCACTCCCCACCCCCTGGCAATCACTAATCTCCATTTCTTTTTCACTCCTCACAGCATTTAGCACAATGTCATGTACCTACCTGGGAGGCACAATAGTTTAGTGGGGTTAAGAGGTTTTTTGGGCTGGGGGCAGTGGTGGCGGTCAGGGTTTTATTATACATACTAAAAGGTGCATATGCGTTTAGAGACTGATGAATTTTCACAAAATCAGATCAATAAACAACATGACCAGTAGCCTAAAAACCCCTTTGGTCTCCCAGTCATTCCCTGTCTCCCCCCCCCCCCCCCCCCCCCAGTGGTAACCGCTCTCCTGACTTCCAACAGCACAGATTAATTTGGCCATAGTTTGTATTTCATAGCAATGAAATGATACAACATGTATTCCTGTGTCTGACTGCTTGTGTTCCATTTTATGTTTATTCATATCGTTGCATTCGTAATACTTTTTTATGAATCGGAGTGAAAGATTAAGGTACAGTTTGAGGGTGGGGCTGAGAACAGGTCTTCCAGTTAAGAGTGAAATGTGGGAAAAATAGATTACATCAAACAATAACATTTTTAAATTTTCCACTGTGGGCTTTTAGAGGTAGATGGTCCTAATTATTTTTTAGTTGTGAAACAGGTATTATAAAAGAAATGTTGGGTGAGAGATCTAAATTGAAGGGGGGGGATGAAGAACGATCATCCCTGAGTTGAAGTAGCATGTTTAGCAGGCATTGTATAGTAAACCCAGTGTGAGGTGGGACCAATTATGTAATCTCCCTGGTGATTGTTCTCCCGATCTGTAAAATTAGGTAAGTGAATGTAAAGTGCATGGTACTGCCCCTGACCTTTTAATGCACAAAAATCATTACTTCCTGTCAACTGGGTTCAAATGAATGAGGAGGCTTTGCTAAAATTAAATATAGCAAAGTTTCATTCTAGTGTCTAGGTTTGCAAACCTGAAACTAGGCAATACCCAGAGTACCCTGAAGGAGAAAGAAGTTTAAGAGTTTTTATAGTAAAAAGTACATTTGTGAGAAGAGTCAGTCCTGCATTCTTAGCCTTTGAATTGATCTGAGGTGGTAATCTTTCAGGTGTCCAGTGGTCTGGTTCACCTGAACCAGGGTTGGGCTGGGTTGGACTGATGGTTATCTTTGGAGTTCATGTACACCCAGGCATGGATGCACAACTGAAAAGTTTAAATTCCCAGGCTACTTAAAGCAAGAATAGAATTGTTTCCTTATGCCTCAACCTACTTGATTTTAATAATTTAACAGCTTGACCATAGTGACTCCATTTTATTTCTTCACTCTTCTCATTCCTGTCACCTTCCTTATCTGAATACAGATCAGAACTCTAGTAGTTGGGAATTAAGCAGGTGTCATATTTCCTTAACGTTAGGCCTCTCTACCTCTTTAACTTGGAATACAAAGAAGGTATAAAACAGGTTTAGGTTACAGATTTTGAGAAGCAAAAGCTTAGAATAAGGGTAGGACAATCGACTGGCTTTCTCCACAGTTCAAAGTTCACTTTTCAATAATCCCTGATTCACCTGTATAAAAGCATTCCTTTGTTAGGGTATTGATCCCCACCCCCACTTCACTCACCCAATCCGACCAATTGACCCTAGCCCCCAAAGCCTTACTAGATTTCCCCCACCTCTTCTCATACTCTGTCCCAAACTGCCCCTTCCCCGCCCCAACCAAGACCTGAGGTCAGATATATTCACTAGACAGGTCTAATGCCTACAGTGTCCATGTCATTCAAATCACATCTCCCAACCACGGCACAGAGTAGACCCTCAGCAATTACGCTGGAATAAATTTTCTCTTAAAAGTTGGAAGGCAGCCTGGTGCTGAGCTCAACAACTTTAAAATGTTTGGTCCGTAAAAATGAACTTAGCGATTGTGTTGGGCATTACAGTGTTGTTTTAATGTCCTGGCATCCTATTATTCTTTCAACAAATAATTAACTAGCGCCAAGAATACTCTAAGTCGGGGAGGGGAGGACTGTAAAGTGACCTCCGGTGCTGGAACCGAGGCAGGTTCACTCCAAAACACCCGTGGTTTCCTCTCTTCTAAACTCAGGCCTTTCCCTGTCACAGTGCTGGCCACGAGCCGGGAGGGGCGGGCTCATCAGCCCTTCCGCGCACCCGATTGGCCAGGCCTTGAGCCTCCTGTGACCTTGAGAGTCAGGGGCTGGAGCCGCTCAGCCCACCCGCAAAGTGTCCCCTGGGGGTGTTGGGGCGGAGTGTGAGGAGGAGCGTTGCTTCCGGGAAGCAGCTCCGCCCAAATGTGCTGGGGACGCAAGGGTGCGCGATAGCTGTGGCGGTGGCAAGAGCGTAGACTCGCAGCTCTTGGGAGGTAGGTAAGGGGGGCCGGACTCTGGGAGGTGGCGTACTGGGAGGCAGGGGCTGTGGCACCAAGAGTCCCGTGTCCGTAGACCCACATTGTGCTGTGCGCCTTGGAGCACTGGCAGTGCAGCCAGGGACCGTCCTGTGGGGAAGGTATTTTTGCTCTGAGAGGTAGACTGTCGTGCTGCAGTCGTGTTGGGGTCTCTGCGGGACCGCAGCTCTGGAGGGCCACTGTCCGGGCCCCGCGTTTCCTCTCTGGGGTTTACTGCCTTGGACACCTCTGGAGCTGTGCTGGTGGAGCGGTGCTGAGCCCGAGGTACGGTCGCCGATGAGGGAGGGAAGTGGAAGTAACAGCCGTTTTGTGCCACGCTTGTACGTACGTTACATACATTGGCCCATTCAGTCTTTACAAACAGCCCATTGAGGGCGGTTGAAGTACTCGTTTACCAGATGAGAAAACTGAAGTCACACAGCTGGAAAGTGACAACTAGTATATGAACCCATGTGTGCGGACTCAAAAATCCACGCAGCCCTCATGCTGCCAGATGCAGCCAGGTTTAGAGCCGCTGGTCTGCGCCTCCCCCGCCCCCCCCCCCCACGTCGGCTGCACCCGGAGCTGCCCACAGCTCTGCTGTGGGCTCAGCAGTCTGCACCTGTGTGTGAAGGGGTAAGGTGGGCAACTGAAAACTGGGCTGCAGGGGAGCTGAATTCTAGCCCTAGAACAGCCACTGACACACCCACCCCCCCCCCCCGCCCCATGGATCTTGGGCCTATGTCTGTCCTTTGAGCCATCATTTTGATGATGTAACCTGGCAAACTCTCCTGATAGCTCCTCACAGCTTAGCCCAGAGGAAACTGGGCTCTTCAAAGGTCCAGGTCAAGGCCCAGGTCTCATTCTTGTTTTTAATTCCTGTATGTAGCCCTGGGACAGGCCCAGAGTGGATATTCAGGAAATGTGAGTTGCATAAACAAGTCCGTCCCTTTTCCGAACTGCCTAACAGCTGCTGTTTCAGGCCCCTCCAGAGTTTTTCAGCCCTGACCACCTTCTACCTAGCCAGCCCTCCTGACTGCCTCCTCCCCAGCTAGCGGCGGAGCCTGCCAGAGCTGGCAGCAGCTCCCACCTCCGCGCCAAGACCACAGCCTCTGGAATCCTCAGCTGTGCACGACATAGGGGTTTCAGACCCTGCAGCTCTTTCTCAGCCCCTCCTGGTGGCGGCCCTGAGGGCCCGACTTAGCCTACTCCCAGGTTGGGGGACTTGCTTTCTAAGGAAGGCGACACCTTAACAATCAGTCTGAAAAGCTGCTTATCCCTCATTGTCCCCTCTTCCATGAAGCCTTCCTTGACTCCCACAGCAACTGGGCCATCCCTCTACTGTAGTATCTGTGTGGTGATTATTTCTCCTCCCTCACATAAGCTGCTCCAAGGCAGGGACCTCCCCCTGACCCCCCACTTCGGATGTCTTGGAAGACCCTGTAGCCCACACAAATTTGAGTGAAAGTTCTCCCTTCTGGGTGTGGTGCAGGAGGCAAAGCTATGAGGGCATGCCAGGAGATCTAGTTCCAGCTCAGTTCTATATCTTATATAAAAGTAGCTACATGTTGACTGCGTGGCTAGGCACATATATACCTCTTCCCTATCTCTAATCTCTGCAGCTTTGCCAGTTGGATACTTTAGCTCCCATTTCATATATTACCAAATGAAGAATCTGAAAAGCCAGCAACCTTTCGGAGTCACGTATAGAGCACAGACCAGACCTGGGGCTCTTTGACCTTGCAGTGTGGTTTTTTTCCTGCACCACCGTTTACTGCCTTCCAGCTAAGCTAACCTGTTCTAATGTGGCTGAGCATGGTGCTGGGTCCCATGGTGACTTGTTGACTTCAGTGAGGTGTCACAGGATTTAAGCTGTGACTGCAGGCTCTCTTGATTCGAAGAAGTGCCCTCCTCCCAAGTGTATGAACATTTCCCAAACTTTTAGGGACTTTTTGCAAGGCCCAGGCACAGCTTTGGCTCTGCAAACAGAGATGCAGCTCTGTTGTTCAGAGATGTTTTTCGACCCCAGAGATAATGATTCAGCACCAGTTGTGACAGAGCGACCATGGGTTGTGTAGGTAATGGAGTTGGACCGGAAGCCAGGAGATGGACGGTCAGACCCAGCTCTGTGCCCGCCCCGCTGCTCAGTGTCAGACAAGTCCTGTTGCCTCTGCACACCCAATTTTCCACATCGGCATGTAAGAGTTAAACAGGATCCGTGATTGTCAACTTCACTGTTTTTATTACTGACACCCGTTCTCAAATCAAATCTCTGAACCCTAAACTCTGAAAAAAAGAACGGCTTAAAGGGAGGCTTCCACCTCACCATTCTCACCCTCCTCCCTTGTCCCCCACCCCCTAAGCTCCAGTCTCCTCAGGGTGAAATTTGGACTGCAAAGCCCCTAGGCAGCTCTGCCCTGTTCTTTCTGATAAACAGAAGGCACTTGCTGCCTGGGCACTTGCTGCCCCCATCCCTGCCCCGCACCTCCGCCTTCTAAAGTAGAAGCAAGGTTAAGAAGCCAGTGGAATGCAACTTTGGATTCCAGAAGCTGGGAGCCTGTTTACAAAGGTTGCTATCTCGGAAATGGATCAGAGACAAGCATAGACCCAGCTTCAGAATCTGACATTGAGCAAGTCAGGTTACCTCTCTGAACCTCCATTCCCTTATCACTAAAGGTTAGAACGATTCTCTGCAATTAAATGAGATAATGTATACGGTGCACATAAAGCACCCAGACCGGCACATAACATACGCTCGGTATATTTTTCTCGTATTTCCTCCATCTCTCCAGCCACCAAAGCAAAGATAGTGAGGCAGAGAGGTGCCTCCTGGATCAGGTGTGTACCAGCAACAGTGGATAAAACCCTGCACTCATTGTCTAGAACAGATTCAAATTCTGGCTCACTTACTAACTCTTGGGCAAGAGACTTAAGCTCTCTGAGCTAGGCAAATCCATGGCAGACCTCAGAGCAAAATCTTGCACAAAATGGGTACTCAGGACTTTGTAACTACTGAATGATTGCTCGTTTGGGGGTTGGAACAACTTTGGGGAGACCTGGCTTGCTGCTGTGTTAGATGATGTGGCTGGCTCAAGGGTGGGGTGGCAGGGTGGGTCAGTGTGTGGCTCCTGATAACCCCGACCCTGACAGGCTGGAGGATTGGATAAAATGGGCCCTGGGAGACTGTGGGGAGAAGGCATCTTCCATGTACTAAAGGACTCCCCGGGCCCAGGGAGTGTGTAACGTTGGATAAGCCCCTGCCTTGAGGTCCCAGGCATGCAGGGAGAGATGGGTGGCTCTTGGCTCTTTTTTTCCCCCCTACTGGGCTACTGAGTGTTCCCCCAGGCACCTTGTCTGAAGGCAGGTTGCAGGTACATTGACCACCAATCTGTGCTGTCTAGAAGCAGGCGAGTTTATTGACTAGGATAGAATTTATTACAGGGAGTTTACTCACAGGAAGATTGATTGGGTCATGGCAGAAGAAATGAGCCGGCAGAGTGCACAGATCAGCCTCCACTTCAAGACGGTGCTCTGATAAACAGTTTGTAGTACAGCTGAGCTACTAACGGTTGACAAGACAAAGGGGCAAAGAATGCAGTGAGCCAGGAACCATGCCGGTAGATTTATGATGGATAATTGCTTAGAATTAATGCCACCACCTAGTTTGACATTAATTTCAGTTGCTGTACCATTCTGGCCATTTACTCATAGGAATCTATATGGTTACATCAGGTAAGCATACAGGACACAGCTAATCATTAACTTGGGACTTTGGTGCTGGTTGAGACTAGTTAGGTCAGAGTTCTCAGCATGGAAAAACAAAAGCAGGGATACAAAGATGGAGTCAGTTTTGTTCACATTAACACGTGTACACACCTCCAAAAGGAAGTGTCTAAAATGGAGAGCTCCACCTCCTCTCTAAGCTCTGCTCCCCGCTACCCTCCCCCTGCCTGGTCCCTGTCTCCACTGTCCTCCCAGTCAGGTAGGCTCAGAACATCCACCCCAAGAGACGGCCTCTTGACTACCTTACGATGGCCCTTCTTTCTCTGCCCCTCTGATCCACAGCGCCTGTGCTCCTCTGCTTCCAATCTGCTACGCTTAGCTAGTAAGAATTTTCTTCTTATAGCCAGGCTTGGACCAGGCAACTCCCTGACCCCTGGTCAGAAACCTTCCCTGTCCTGGATCTGGTCCCCTCTCACCCCCTCCCTTCTATACACACAGGGCTCAATGGCCTCCCAGGTCCTGGGAACAGTCCATAGCCACCCTCCCCCACACCCTTCTTCCCCACCTTTACTCCTCTACTCCCTTCCTGAGGGAATGTTCTCCCCTCTCCCTCTGACTAGTTGAACCCACTCATCCTGCAAAACCAAGTTCAAGTCCTCATCTTCAACAAGCTTCTTCTGGCCTCCAAACTTACATTGAAACTCATAGTTCTTTCAAGGTGGGCTCCACCTCCCCGAGATGCACTCAGTCGGCACTGCCTCCTAGGACTAGAGTGCCAACTCAATGAGAAACCATATGTGCAAGTGCCCAGCATGGCCTGGCACAGAGTAGGTGCTCAAGAAACAAATGATTACACCCCAGGCATTAATCGTCTGGTATTCCATGTAATTAAATATTTACTAGGTGGCATAGTAAATGGAGAAGGCAAAAAATGAACTCACTGTGGACCCTGCCTTGCAAAAGCTCTGTCTGTTGGGACAAGATAAGATAGACCCACAGGGACCCGTTACGTAAGAGCGAGTGTGAACTGGGCAAAACAAGAAACTTCAGTGGGAGAGGGAAGGAAGGAGTGCCTTGCGGAGAACCCAGTAGGGTTTGGGGCTGAAGCTGTGGAGAGAGCACAAGCCTTCTAGATAAAAGGGAGTAAGGTGAGCAGAGCCAGAAGCTGGCCAAGTGTGGCTTGTGCATGGGGAGCAGCTGGAGGCTTTGGGGCTGGAAGAGATGGCATCAGTGGCCTCTCTACAGGGTGTGTCTGTCTGTCTGTCTGTCAGGTACAGAGCTATTTAATCCTCTTAATGTGACCTGCCTGACCAGAAGTCCATGCACCAAGGGGTTAACTATGTTTTTCTCTAGAAATAGAATTACAAGAAATTTTTTTCTCTTTTGGCTTAAAGTGTCTAAAATATCTGCCAAGTATGTAGACATTTTTCATGGAATAAACAAAGTATAAATGTTGACCAGATCAGTGCTTCTCATACTAGCTTCCAATTCAGCTAAGATTGATCGTTTGATAACACGAAATAAAAATGAATTACTAGAAATAATGTTATTTAAAAAGAAAAAGCCCTGGCTGGTGTGGTTCAGTGGATTGAGTACCGGCCTGTGAACCAAAGTGTCACTGTTCGATTCTCAGTCGGGGCACATGCCTGGCTTGTGGGCCAGGTCCCCAGAAGGGGGCACTCAAGAGGCAACCGCACACTGATGTTTCTCTACCTCTCTCCCTCCCTTCCCCTCTCTAAAAATAAATAAATAAAATCAAAAAGAAGAAAAAGAGAGGCCATAAAAATAGCTCAGATTTTATATTATCAGGTTCAGATTGCTATGAAAGTTTAAGCCTTACTTTTATTTCTTTACTTATTGTATAGTCCAGCAGGGATTGGTGAACCACACTCAGAGGAACACGGGTTGGAGATCAGGAGAGGCAGGGACCCAGGAGAGCCTGCCTGGCTCTTTTCTCCCTGGGTACAGGGACCATGTCTCATGTGTCCCCCATTCCCCTACATAGCTGAGCATCTGGCAGATATCCCGGGAGCCCTCACTTCCACCCAGCTGGCTGCCCTGTGCCCTCACTGCTCACCATGCAGCCCCAGTCTGTTCTGCACAGCGGCTACTTCCACCCACTGCTTCGGACCTGGCAGACAGCGGCCGCCACCCTCAGTGCCTCCAACCTCATCTACCCCATCTTTGTCACGTGAGTCCCCAGAATGAATCGAGTCGCTAACCGGCAAGGTGTGTGTGTGAGTGTGTGTGTGTGAGTGAGTGAGTGTGTGTGAGTGTGTGTGTGTGTGTGAACCAAGCAGGCATCTGTTGGAGGTGGTAAAGTGAGCTGTCAGCTTGGACCTCACGGTATTGGAAGTCACCTACTGAGTTAAGGACAGCTGTCTTAGGAACAAAACAAACCTTGGCAAGAACCCAGTCCTCCCTTTTAGAAAAAAAGAATAACCCTCACCTGCCATCCTCAGCTTTTGAATAAGACAGAAGCTGAGAAGGTAGTCTGTAGACTGTAAAGTGTACCTGTACATGTAACAGGTGGCAGCCAGGATTATTAAAAATAGCAGCAGCTGACATTTATTGAGTACTTGCTGTGTACCAGGTACTATAAGCATCTACATCTGCTATCTTTCAGTCCTGACAGAATCCGTCTGAGGGAGGTGTGCATAGTGTCCCCTCGATTGTCATCTCCGTGAGGGCAGGGGTTCTTGTCTGTTTTCTTCACTGTTATACTGCCAGAGCCCAGAACAGTACCTGGCATATAATAAGTGCTCAATAAGTATTTGTTGTATAAATGAATGAATCCACCCAGGATACAGATGAAGGGCCTGAGGCTCAAAGGGATGGTACAACTTGGCCAAGGTCACCCAGTCAGTATGTGACTATGATAGCAAGCGAGGACCTTCTGACTTCAGAGTCCAAGTTCTTAACCACTTGACCGCTTCCTAGGATTACTCATCTTTTAGTACAGTTGCTCTCGTTGTCACTGTCATTCTTCTTGTTCCTATTATTATTTCAGGCCCTGGGCTTGGCCAGGCAGGGGAACCAGACTCTGGACCCAATCCCCATCCTACCATCTCCATTTCCATGTTCCTTCCCAGCTCCCCACCCGTCCCCCTCAGTCGCCCCCTCCCCCACAGGCCCTCCCCACAGCTACCAGTCCATAGCCCACCCCCACTTTTGCAGGGATGTTCCTGATGATGTACAGCCTATCGCCAGCCTTCCAGGAGTGGCCAGGTAGGAGCCACAGTGGGGAGGGCCGGGGGTGATGGAGGGAGAGATTTTACAGGTGGAGGTGCCAGGAAGCAGAGGCAGACCCAGGAGGCAGAAGATGCAGAGAGTCTGGCTTCAGCTCAGTAGAGAGAAGGATTTGGTCAGGGTCACAGTTGTTCCCCAACAGAAGAGGCAGTCCTGCTCAGTGATGGGCTACCCTTCACCAGAAGCACCATAGCAGAGCCTGGGAGAGGAGAGCTTAACTTCAAATGGGAGTTCAAAAAAAGGGCCTTGGAGGGCCCTCCCACAGCTCAATGCCATAGCTCTGCCACTTGGCCACGGCTCCCCCATCTGTTTGGTGGGAACATTTCTGCCCCTCCCTGTTCTATGGGGCATGAGTCCTCTTGGTACCAGGTGCACCTTGGCTCTGAACAGAGGCACAGTGTGGCAGGGTGGGGAGAACCGTTTCCCAGGACCTGCCTCACTTCAGCTCCCCTGTCCCCCCCCACCCCGGCAGGTATGGTGTGAACCGGCTAGAAGAGATGCTGAGGCCCCTGATAGAAGAGGGCCTGCGCTGCGTCCTGGTCTTTGGTGTCCCCAGCAGAGTTCCCAAGGTGAGGAATCAGAGGAGGAGTCAGAGAGGAGGGGAAGGGAAGGTTGGGTGATGTTGAGCCGAGGTTCCACACTGACCACACCTTCATTCCCACCTTGTGCCAGCCCTGGGGCCGCAGGTGAATGGACATGGCCCCGTTATTAAGGCAGCACCCATGGAGGGTCAAGAAGCTAAGCAGGAAAACCACAATGAGATACCACTTTATACCGGCCAGGATGGCTATAATAGACAAAGCAACAAACAACAAATGTTGGAGAGGGTGTGGGGAAAAGGGGTCCTTAGTTCACTGTTGGTGGGATTGCAGACTGGTACAACCATGATGGAAAACAGTATGGAATTTTCTCAGAAAAAAAAAAATCGACCTGCCTTTTGACAGTCACAGCAATTCCACTGCTAGGATTATATCCTAAGAATCCTAAAACATCAATTTCAAAGAACCTATGCACCACAATGTTCATAGCAGCACAATTTACAATAGCCAAGAGTTGGAAGCAACCTAGGTGCCCATCAGTAAATGAATGGATCAAAAATTGTGGTACATATACACAATGGAATTTTATGCAGCAGAGAGAAAGAAGGAGCTACTACCCTTTGCAACAACATGGATGGAACTGGAAAGCATTATGCTGAGTGAAATAGGCCAGGTGTTGAAAGACAAATACCATATGATCTCACCTTTAACAGGAAGCTAAACAACAAAACAAACAAGCAAGCAGAATAAAATCAAAGACACTGAAATAGAGAACAAGGGGACAGTGACCAGAGGGGAGAGGGAAGGGAATTTAAGGGGAAGAAAGGAGAGGGATTTGGAGGAACAAATAGGAAGGACACAGGGACGAGAACTAAGGGGGGTTGAAATGGGAGGGAGGTGGGTAGCACGGGGTGGTGGCTGGGATGGGAGAAATAGACAAAAAACTGTAGTTGAAAAATAACTAAGTAAAATTAATAATAATAAAAAAAGAAGCTAAGCAGGGCTATGACACCCTGACTGGGCGAGTCAAGTCTCCTCTGCAAAATGGGGGACAGTCCTCACTGTGCCTCCTCGTCCAGGGACTCTGCTAGTGATACAAGGAGAGGGACAGGGCTGCACTCTGTACTGATTATACTATTACAATTGTCCCAATTCTTCCCCCTTTATCTCCCCTGCACCCCCTAACCCTCCAGCCTTCACCCCCCTTAGTTCATGTCCCTGGGTCATACATATAAGTTTTTTAACTTCTCTGTTTCCTATACTGTTCTTAACCTCTCCTCATCTATTTTATTCCTACCAATTATGCTTCTTATTCCCTGTACCTTCCCCCCTTCCCCCGTGAAACCCCTCCATGTGATCTCCATTTCTCTGATTCTGTTTCTATTCCAGTTGTTTGCTTAGTTTTTGTTTTCCTTTTTTTTTTAGATTCAGTTGTTGATAGTTGTGAGTTTGTTTTCACTTTACTGTTCATAGTTTGTTTTTTTTTTCTATTTTTTAGATAAGTCCTTTTAACATTTCATATGATAAGGGCTTGGTGATGATGAACTCCTTTAACTTGACCTTATTGAAAAGCACTTTATCTGCCCTTCCATTCTAAATGAAAGCTTTGCTGGATAGAGCAATCTTGGTTGTAGGTCTTTGGTTTTCATGACTTGGAATACTTCTTTCCAAGTTTTTTGGAACCTGAACACTATGCCTGAACAGAGGCACTTCCTCTTCTTGCCTATAAATTTTCTTTAGAGAAATGATCTGATAGTTTTATGAGCACTCCTTTGTAGGTAACTCTCTCCTTTCCTTTTGTTGCTTTTAAGATTCTTTCTTCATCTTTAATCTTGGGTAACTAAATGATGATGCGCCTTGGTGTGTTTCTCTTTGGGTCCAATTTCTTTTTATTTTTTTAAGATTTTATTTGTTTATTTTTTCGAGAGAGAGGAAGGGAGGGAGAAAGGAAGAGAAATATCAATGTGTAGTTGCCTCTCACACACCCCCTCCTGGGGACCTGGCCTAAAACCCAGGCATTTGCCCTGATTGGGAATTGAATCGGTGACCCTTTGGTTCAAAAGCCAGCACTCAATCCACTGAGCTACACCAGCCAGAGCCTGGGCCCAATTTCTTTGGAACTCTGAGCTTCCTGGAGTTCCTGGAAATCTATATGTTTTGCCAGATTGGAGAAGTTCTCCTTTATTATTATTTCAAATAAATTTTCAACTTCTTGTTCTTCCTCTTTTCCTTCTGACACCCCTATGATTTGGGTATTAGAACACTTATAGGTGTCCCAGAGGTTCCTAAGCCTCTCTTCATTTTTTTTTCAATTCTTGTTTCTTTATTCTGTTCCAGTTGATGTTTATTTCTTCCTTCTGCTCCAAACCGTTGACTCAAGTCCTGATTTCCTTCCTGTCACTGTTGGTCCCCTGAATATTTTGCTTTATTTCACTCTGAGTAGCCTTCATTTGTTCCTTCATTTTGTGACCAATTATGAGCATCCTGATTACCAGTGTTTTGAACTCTTTATCGGATAGGTTGTCTATCTCCTCATCACTTAGTTCTTCTGCAGTTTTGATCTGTTCTTTCATTTGGGTCATATTACTTTGTCTTGGTGCACCTGTTATGTTGTAGGGGGCGGGGCCTTAGGTCTGCTCATCCGGGGGACACCCTCTTTGCTGCATTGTGGTGCTGTTTGTGGGGGAGGGGTCAGAAAGGGAACAATGTGTCTCGTTTACTCTGCTCTTGCCCCACTTTCCAACAAACTCTGTCTTGTGAGACTGGGAGTTTCTTCTGCTGTGGCAACCCCGTGGTAGTTTATAGCTAGCTTGAGTTTTTAGCTTCCCGTTCAGCCAACCCCACCTCACTCACACAGTCTGTTGCCTTGCTCGCCCGGTCCTCCACCTTGCCAAGGGTCCTCTCTGCCTGCTGGCTGCCTGTCTTGGTCTCTCCTACCAATCTGGAGAATGTTTCTTTAACTCCTTGGTTGTCAGAGTTCCATGCAGTTTGATTTTTTGGCACTTCTGGTTGTTTATTGTTTATAGATTGGTGGTTATCTTCCTTTTGGTTGTGCAAGGAAGTGAAGGGTTTCTACCTACGCCTCCATCTTGGCCAGAACTTCATTGTGCCTGTTGAAGGCTTCATGTGACAGGCACACTGATTTGTCCTTCCCTGCACTAGGACGAGCTGGGCTCTGCAGCCGACTCCGAGGACTCCCCGGCTGTGGAGGCGATCCGTCTGTTGCGCAAGACCTTCCCCAGCCTCCTGGTGGCCTGCGACATCTGCCTGTGCCCCTACACCTCCCATGGTCACTGTGGTGAGTTTCCCCCTGCACCAGCCCCTCTGCCGATGGCACTGCCACTGCCCACCTCTCCCCACAGTGGGGTGGGCCAGGGTCTAAGATGCCCCTCAAACCCAGCTGTCTGACCCACAGGGCTTCTGAACAAGAATGGGATTTTCCTGGCTGAGGAGAGTCGCCAGCGGCTGGCAGAGGTGGCTCTGGCCTATGCCAAGGCAGGTGAGTGAGCCACCAGCAGGGATAAGGACCTCTGGGTCAGGGAGGTGACAGAGTAGACAGGAGAGTCCCAGAGTTCTGAAGTCCACCCTCTGTCCCTCAGGATGTCATGTGGTAGCCCCGTCGGACATGATGGATGGACGCGTGGAAGCCATTAAGAAGGCTTTGATGGCACACGGACTTGGCAACAGGGTAGGGGCAAGGAGTGAGGGAGGGGGAAGGGGAGGTGAAGCAAGAGCCTGTGACTGGACCAGCCCTGCCTCCACATCTGCCAAGAATCATAGAACTGAACATATTCGATTCCCAGTCAGGGCACATGCCTGGGTTGCAGGCCAGTTCCCAGCAGGGGACGCAAGAAAGGCAACCATACATTGATATTTCTCTCCCTTCCCTTACCCTCTAAAGATAAATAAATCTTTAAAAAAAAAAAAGAACTGAAGACAGCACTGGACAAGGCCTTTGGGATCTGTCTCAACCTCTGCACCTGAGACAGGCAAATCAAGGCTCAGAGCTCCGGTGGGACTAGAACACGGGCACGCCACTTCCCAAACTGGGTCCCTTTCCTGCCACATGACCCCGGAACATCTGGAAAGGGCTGACTGAGCCTCAACCCCCATTGTCTCCCCACAGGTGTCAGTGATGAGCTATAGTGCCAAATTTGCTTCCTGTTTCTATGGACCTTTCCGGTGAGTGGGGGCAGGCAGGGGTCTGCTGTTAAGTCCTTGACCCGTTAGCCCGAAGCTGGAGCCCACCCTGATGCCTCTGCTTCCTAGGGACGCGGCTCAGTCAAGCCCGGCTTTTGGAGACCGCCGTTGCTACCAGCTGCCTCCCGGAGCCCGAGGCCTAGCCCTCCGAGCAGTGGTGAGTGACCAGAGCTTAAGCCCCAGCCCACCGGTCCCCTCTTCCCTCTCCTCCTGGGCACTGCCCACAGCACACCTCATCCCTCAGGACCGGGATGTGCGGGAAGGAGCCGACCTGCTCATGGTGAAGCCGGGAATGCCCTACCTGGACATCGTGCGGGAGGTGAAGGACAAGGTGAGCACCGAGCAGTGATGGGGGGCTCACGGAGATGAGAGAATGTGTCCATGGGCTCTGGGACCTTCGACTGCAGAATCTCAGAGTTGGAAGCAGTCTGCCCCTGCACAGGGACCCTCCTGACTCGGCCCCTACCCAGGAACCACCAGTGGGCAGAAGTCTTTGAACAGTTTTGCTTTAACAGTTTAAGAATGGGCCAGGTGGCCAACAGCTGTCATGACGTAGGGCATAGGGTTTGAGATGGTCGGGAGTTGGGCAGGGAGCAAGGGACACTCCTGGGGACACACCCGCCGTGCGCATCTACCTCCTGCTGCTTCTCTGCAGCACCCGGAGCTCCCTCTCGCCGTGTACCACGTGTCTGGAGAGTTTGCTATGCTGTGGCACGGAGCCCAGGCCAGGGCATTTGATCTCAAGACTGCAGTCCTGGAGGCCATGACCGCCTTCCGCAGAGCAGGTAAGCGGAAGGGGTGGGGTTCTGACTTGTGACGCACGGACTGATAGGCACTTTGCCCATAGAGAGAGGTGAAGTGGTGAAACAGCCTGGAAACACCAGTCATCTAACAGACACTGGCCGAGCGGAAGAGACATGTAACTAGAACAGAACGTGGGACAGTTATTCTTTGCTTGTGAGACCTCGGCCTAGCCACTTCTCTGAACCTCAGTGCCCTGTCTATAATAGAGAGAAGATCCCTGGTGCATGGTTCTCGTGTGGATTAAATGAGACGATATGTGTGATTGCCATATGCTTATCGCTCCATAAATGAGAGCTGGTTTTGTTGGGATGTGCACACTGTGAGAAGGGAACTTACAGCTTATCTCTTTCCTTGCTGTGCATTTTTTTGAAATTTTATTTATTTATTTTTAGAGAAAGGGGAAGAGAGGGAGAGAGTCAAAGAAACATCAGTATGTGGTTGCCTCTCACATGCCCCCCACTGGGGACCTGGCCCATAACCCAGGCATGTGCCCTGACTGGGAATTGAACTGGTGACCCTTTGGTTCGCAGGCCAGCACTCAGTCCACTGAGCCACACCAGCCAGGGCCCACTGTGCATTTTATACATGGGCAAACTGAGGCCCAGAAATCGAAAGTGACTGGTCCACAGTCACACAGTGTACAGAGCTAGAACTGACCAGGACGGGACTCAGTCTCATGTTGTGTCACCCACTGACCGTGCCTCTTCATAGCAGCCTTCTCCATCCACTGGCCCTCCTCTCCCAGGTGGTCAGGGTCAATGCTGTTCCACAACAGAAGAGGCAGCTGACGCCCAGCCCCTACCCTGCTCTCTGTTTCTCTCCCACGAAGGTGCCGACATCATCATCACCTACTACACACCTCAGCTATTGCAGTGGCTGAAGGAGTGATGGAGAGAGCGTGCGAGACCCAACAACTAGGACTTTACAAAGGTCCCAGGGCCTTGGAGAAGTGAAAACCGAAGTTAATGCTGCTTTTAGAACTGTGCCCTCCTCCTGCTCACATGCTGGCAGGCACCCAGCAGTTCCAGGTGGTTTCTGCCAGCATGCCAAACCACCATTGCAGCCGCATCTCCCCGGGCTCCCTCAAGCTTCTCCACCCTCCTCAGGGCCAGCTCTGAAGCCACCTCTGCCGCTGTAGCGCCTTCCTCTGAAGAGGCGTTCTCAAGAAAACCCCTCGGAGTCACGGGCACAGGTTTGGGATGCCTAGGAGAGGGGTCTGGAGCATTAGGGGAAGAGGAACGCAGTTGGATCATTGGTCCTCAGAAGTTCTGGAAAACCCAAGGCCTCTGGAAGCACTGCTGGGCCCAGGGACTGAGGCCTGGATTGACCTGTCCAGGTTCAGAGTTGAGATTTGCTGTGATTCCACTGGAAGGCAAGTCGCTCAGGCCAGTGTTTGCCAGGCTGCCTGAGATCTGCTCCACCCTGAGCCATAAACCCAGAAAAGAATTAACTCTACTGAGCAGAAACATTGCCTGGGGGTTACAATGCAGAAGCAAAGAGAGAGTTCCTGACTGTTGGAGATGTCACCATTGAACAGGTGTTTATTAAAGAGAGATATTTTTGAGAGCGCGTGCACAGTGCCCGGGCATGGTGCTGGGTGCGGAGGATCTAGCCGGACAGACCTCAGCTTGTCTCTCTGCATGGAAGCTATACAAAGAGCATGAGAGAGACAGATGACAAGAAAACATGAATAGAGCAGTCACAAACTCTAATAAATGCTTGAAGGAAATAAAGGGTCTCAGATGGAGAATGACAAACGGCAGGGGGTGGGGGAAGGGTCCTTAGAGCACCAGAAGCCACAAGGATGATACCAAGTGTGCAAAGATCCTGCAGTGAGAGGCACGAGGCAGCACTGCTGGGAGCAGGGTGCAGGGAGGGATGGGCGACAGGACTGCAGGTCAGAAAGGCAGACCCCGCACCCTTTAGGAAGCTTGGGTTGTATCTTCCCTCTGGTACAAAGACGACTAAAGAATCTTAACCAGGTGCGCATGGTCCCATTTCCCATGCATGCTATGTTGCTATGGGGGAAATGGAAGGGTGCAAGAAAGCCTGGTTGGAAGGCTACTGCAGACCCCAGGGGGCAATGGTGGTGGCCTGGACCCTGGTGGTGACCGTGGAGGTAGGAAGAAGCATATGAATTCAGGAGACATTTTAGAGAAAGAATTACCTGCTATTGCTGGCGCTTTAAATCAGGGGTGTGGAAGTGGTAGGGGGAGGCTCGTCAGGGGTGAGGCACTGGGAGGAAATGAGGATGCCTTCACCGGTCTCTGGCTTGAGCCACTGGGTGGGTGGTTTCAGTTTTCTTCTGAGACTGACAGGACATAAGTTTTCCCTTTGCAAAAGTTAGGGCTCAGCCAAGGAGGGACCTGTTTGCGAGTCTACCTGCCTGCCTACAAAGTGACAGGGGTCCCCAACTCCAGGCCCGGAGTCAGCTCAGTTTGGACTGTTAAGTCATACAACCCACTGTTAAAATCTGGAATTATAAACTCAGCAGCTTCTGTAGTCAGACCAGTCTCTGACTCTTGGTAGTCTTCTCCAGAGCTGTGGCCGACTTTTTTGAAGACGTGCCCTCGGCCTGTGGGGAGGTGGCCAGCCAAAATCAGGGCTTGAAGAGGTACAGAGCTGGGCCTCTCAGGGAGGCTGAGCCGGATCCACCACCCAGGGGCCTGCTGCACTCATCGGGGTGATGGCTCAGTGTCTCGGGGCTCAGACCAGACCGTGACCTTTGACCATCTTAGCTTCTTGGCTTCCTGTCTCCTGGCCCCTGACCTCTGAGCTGCTTTCTAGTTAGAACGATTCCTGTGAAAAGGAAGGCTCTTCAAGACCGCCCCAGACTCATCACTGCCAATCAAATGCAGAGCCTGGCTCTGTTCTAGGCAGAGAAAGACAGTAGACAGACAGACACTGCCCTTTCGGAACAGATGGTGCACAGGGAGCAAATGACTTTGTGTATAAACCCCCCTCCCCCAACACACACACACACACACACACACACACACACACACACACACACACACGAGGGGCAACATTAAGTGGAATGAGTCTCCCTGAAAGCCAGGAGGTGTGTGTGTCACCAGTGACATAGTGTCAGGTGCTCTGAAGGCCGTCACCAGGACCTGAACACGTTTGAAGGATCAGAAAATGCTTCCCTGAGGGACTGGTATTTAAGCAAGACCGGAAGGATGAGGCACCAAGCTAAAATGTGTTTGCGGAAGAGCATTCTAGGCAGAGGGAATCCTGGGGCTAGAAAGAGCTGGAAAACAAGGCTGGTGTGTGAATCATAGGGAAGAATGGAGAAACCTCCTCCCAATAAATTGGTAGCAAAATTACAGATCTCACATGACGCTACTCCTAGCTTCAGTAGTGGGGCAGACCAAGGGCCTCAGTTGCTTGCAGGCATTATGGTCTAGGCAAGTGGCGCTCTCTTGAGTCAGGACTTGTCACCTGGGTTGCCAGTCTTGTATCCCCTCCAGCCACCCTGTGTTCTGTCTACAAAGGCAGTCATGGCCGGGCAGGCAGCTGGAGGGGTTTGGGTGGTCCCGGGGGAGCCTGGTTCCTCCACAGTCCCATCTCCTGGTGTGGACCCTGCTCTTGCTAGCAGCAGTTGTACCCTTGGGCAGAGAACTCAGCTTCCACGGTTCGCATGGCACATTATTCTCTGGCTTCCAGGCATCACAGCTGATTAGTGAGCATCAAGGGGCCTGTCTTCACAAGACATTTTCCTATTTCTTGCTGGGATGTGCCAGTGTGACCCGGAGCTTGTCTGTTTCTGACAGGACCTTCCTGCCAGTCACAACCAATAGCCAGCCATCCTCTCTTTGCTTTTCCAAGATCCCTAAAACAACAACAACTTCACTGGTCAAATGGTTGAGGGTCCCACAAAGCAACAGGCATGTTAACCCGCCAATTTATTACCAATTTTCCAAATTTTTTTTTAAAAAAGGAATCCTGCTGCTCCATACCCCGTGTAGACTGCAAAGGCCACACATCAGGGCCTGTGGCACAGCACCCGTAATCTGTACTCGGCTGGGTACACTTGGTTGCAAGTGACAGAAACTAAATTCAGTAGCAAAGGAGGAAGTGACTGGTTTTCATAAATGGATTGTAGCAAGTCAGGAGTGGCTAAACACAGGGTCAGAGGCTTTCACAGAGACCTCCCCTTCCTAGCTCTGTCTGCCTTAGCTTGGCTTTATTCTCAGATGGTTTTTGCCACTTGACAGTAACATGATACTTGGATGTCCTTTAGACTTAGAATTCCAGAGAAAGATTTTCAGTCCCATCATTCACATAGCAAATCTCCGGAGGACCAATTGGCCCTGTGCAGATCCGATGGCTGGCGTCAGCTCAGTCACTGTAAACAAGGACATGGGAGATGTGACACCAGGTCTCATCACACAGGAGGCTGGCGCAGTCTCAGTGCTTCTGTACCAGTGGTCCCCTCTGCCCGGAAACGCTTGCCCCCTAAAGCTCTATGGCTGTCTCCTTTTCTTGTTAAAATCTTGGCTTAAGTGTCACTTCCTCAAGGCAACCTCTCCTGACACCCAGTTTAAAGTCATTCTCCAGTCGCTCTACTAAGTTCAGTGGATACAGCAAAAGCCAAAGAAACAGCAGCTTAAGATGGAAGATCTCTGAGCAGTCCAGAGCTGTGTCAGCTGCGTGGTAGGGGAGGTCGTGGCCCCCGCCTCATCTGTCATCATCAACACATCTCCCCCTCTGTCTTGTGATCAGAGATGGTGGGTCCAGCTCCCACCAAGAGGTCCTCTTCAGCCGTCAGGAAGAGAAGGGCAGGTGGAGGGCACGGCCCTTCTTAATAAGGCACAACCCAAAAGTTGCACGCATTACTTCTGTGCACGTGCCCTTGTCTGAACTTAGTCATATGGCCACACCTACTAATGTACGTGAGGCTGGAAAATAGAGTCCAGTGGGGCAGCCAGGTACTCAGTAAATCCCAGGGGTCTAATCACTAAGGAGGCTAAAGAGAATGGATATTAGGGCAGATGACCATCCCCATCACATGGAGTTTCTTGTAATCACAGAAACAGTGGTCAGAAGAGCAAAGTAAAGAGGTGCTTAGAGATGGAAGACAGACCCAGAGAGGGGACTTGTTGAAATGCACACAAGCCAGGGATAGAGCAATGCTGGGATGTAGGTCTCCTAACTCCAAGTCCAGTGCTCAAAACTGGAGAAGGCATTGCCAAGGCGTAGGATGAGGGATTGATTTTAGAGGGACTTTGGCTTTCTATGTATTATCTTAGCTTCAACTTTATTTTTATATCATGTATGATATATATCTACCAAGGATTTGTGTAAATAAATGAAAACAGCCAATACATATATGAAAAGGCATTCTCTTCATTAGTCAACAGAGAAACTCAAATTAAAATCACAGTGAGAGAGCACCATACATCTGTCAGAAGGCCTGAAATTGTGGAGAATGTGGAGTCACTGGAACTCTCAGGTATTTCTGGTGCAACCACTTCAGAAAACTGGCACCACGTGCTAAAGCTGAGCACATCCTTGTTGCCTAGTGACTTCACATCTAGGGATTTACCCAACAGAAATGTGTACACACGTTCACTAAAAGCCATATTCGAGAATGTTCATAGTAACATTTTCTAATATTTGTCATAACCGAAAACTGGAGATAAGTCAAATGTCATCAACAGTTAAACAGTATATTCATATAATGGAACGTCACAGGTATGAGAATGAATGACCTACACACAGCAACATGAATGAATGAATCTTGTGAATAAAATTTTAAGCAAACAAGACAAAAGAGTGCATGCTGTATTATTCCATTTTCATACAGTTCAAGAACAAGTAAATATGCAATTAAGTCAGGATAGCCCTGGCTAGGTAGCTCAGTGGTTTAGAGCATCGTCTCAATACGCCAAGGTTGTGAGTTCCATCCCTGGTCAGGGCACATACAAGAATCAACCAATGAATGTAAGTGGAACAACAAATCAATGTCTGTTGGTCTGTCTCTCTCAAAATCAATTTAAAAAAAGTCAGGATGTAGTGTCTAGCCTTTGGGGGTGGAGGGGTAAGCAACTGGAAGAAGCCAGGGGCTCTAGAGTTCTGGAGCTGCTCTTTCTCTCGGTTTGGGTGTTGGCTGCACAGGCATGTTCAGTATGGAAAAATCTGAGGACACTTACACATCTGTGCACCTTTCTGTATGGATGATATCTTTTTACCAGGAGTTAACTTGAAAAAATAAGATGAAAATGGAAAAGTACAAAGAGAGACGTGTCTGGTGCACCCCACCTGGGTTTACTTAGTACAACACCATCGGTGTGCGAATCTCAGGAAAGAGCCCTCCCGTGCTTGTTTTCTCAAAGAGAGTAACCAGCATCTGAAGTAATGACATAACAAGGACCTCCGGGAGCAGTCACCAGGCAGGACTCACAGGACAGGTCAAGGTCCAAAACCTCTGAGGACTCAGAACACTACATCTAGCGAGTACACCGGTTTTTGTTTTAAGACTTTAAAAATATATTCATGTTTTAGAGAGAGGGGAAGGGAGGGAGAAAGAGGAGAGAAACGGACGTGAGAGGGAAACACTGACCAATGGCCTCTTGCGTGCACCCCAACAGGGACCCCATCCCACAACCCAGGCACGTGCCCTGACTGGAAATCAAATTGGCGACCTTTCAGTTTGCAGGATGATGCCCGGCTTCCTGAGCCACACCGGTCAGGGCAAGTGTACTTGTTTTTACACTGGCAAATCAGAAGCTTGTTTCAGAATACCAAGGACCTACCGTAACACACGAATCCCCCATTTCTCTTCTGAAAAAGTTAAGAGGAAGGCAGAACCTAAAGGACAATAAAATAAACGAGATTTCAGGGCCACAGTTCTAAGGGCACATTCACGTGGACTATGATGGACATGCCTCCCTGAAGTGATGGGTGCCCTGGGTTGAAATAGGTAATGGAACAAAACCCTTAATAGCTCAGGTGACTCAGTTATCGAAACAGAAGAGTGGTCTACTTCTCAGAGAGCTTTTCCATGCGCTCTCATTTGATCCTGATGGAAACATGCCCTTTGCCCGGGTTCCAGGGGCAAAGTTAATTATCTCGGAAGTTCACTTTTATGCTAACCTGAATTTCAGTTGGAAGTTACTTGGTCCTGTCCCTCCAGTTTGTGTACTGTGAGGCTGAGGCCCAGAGAGGAAGAATTTAATGGCGGGCTCACAGAGAGTCGGGTGGCAGAGCTGGGAACAGGACCTAAGCAGCTGGGTCCTGGCCTGGTGGCTCCATTGCTTGGAGCATCACCCCGTGCACCAAAAGGTCCCAGGTTCAATCCCTGCTCAGGTCACATACCCGGAAAGCGGCCGATTGACATCTTTCTCTCTCTCTCTCCTTCTCTCTCTCTCTCTCAAATCAATGAACATATCCTTGGGTGAGAATTAAAAAAAAAAAAACAAAGCCCTAAGGGGTTGGGTTTCAGGTGACAGTGAAAAGTGGCCAGTCTCAGACACTGCTGGATTCTGTGAAATGCCATCACCCTTTTCCTACTCCCACTTCTGGGAATCATGCTTAGGACACAGAAGTTTCACTGGCAAGTCCCTGGAGCCAGTCAGGCCCTCCCTTGGGGCCCAAGGTCTGTGAGTCTGCACTTGGTACCTTCTCCCAGGCCAGAGCCCAGGGAGGGTGAGGCAGTTCTGAGTAAAGTGAACAACAGACTGACTTTGGAATACAGAAGGAAGTTTTGTGAAAGAAGGAAAGAAAAGTAAGGAAAAGGAGGGGCAGGGAGAGAGAGAGGAAGGAAGGAAGAAAAGAAAGAGGGAAAAGGAGAGAAAAAAAGAGGGGTGGAAGGGAGAAAGAATATTATACGCACGCATATTTGTGTGCTCCCAGAAATGTCTGATAGCATAATAACCAAAACCGCCAATGAGTAGGGAGCGACAGGACCCTCCCCCCACGACCCCCCACCCTACCCAGCCCCCAAGGCCACTTCTCTTGCTCAGCAAGCAGTGGTGGTGGTGGGGGGGGGCAGTACCTCTGCGCTTGCCAGTTCCTTACATGTCCTTTAATCTTCCGCCTGGCTGCCATGCAGATCTTCACTCCTCTTCTGACCATCTCATTCAAAGACCCGCTGCGCCTCCACCTAGCACCCCTCACTGTCCAGGACACCACTGTTGTCTTTGCCTCCACAGCACCAGTCCTTATCTGAAATGTTGTTTATTTAGTTGCTTTTTGTCTGCCCCACCCTCGATCCATAAAGATAGGAACTCTGTCTTGTCTCCCACTATATCCTCAGTGCCAGACAGGGTCATACCTAGAGCAGGAGCTCTATGAATACTTAGTGAATGAGGTGGGCCTTTCACTTTTTTAAGAATTTTCCTTTATTTATTTTTAGACAGGGGGAGGGAGGGGCAAAAAGAGGGAGAAAACAAAAATTTGAGGTTGCCTTAGGCAGGCCCCCTACTGAGGGCCCGGCCCAACTCAGGCACGTGCCCTAGACCGGAAATCCCACCGGTGACGCTTTGGTTCTCGGGATGATGCTCAATCCACTGAGTCACACCAGCCAGGGTGGCCTTTCACTCTTTACTTTGTACAGTTTGTATTTTTAAACACTTTTGAATGAACGTGAGTAGTGTTTCTTCTTTTCTTTCATCAAAACGAAAAGAAAAGCAGCTGGGTCACTGCAGAGGACTCTACCCTCGGCAAATTGTCTTGAGTTAGGCAAGTTTCCAGCTCCCTCCTGGTGCTACCTGGGGACTCAGCCCAGGACGAGTATGGCCTTGGCCAAGTCCACATGGGACTCAGCAAGCCTTGCGGGGATGCAAATCCTCTCTTCAGCCCTGACTGGTGTGGCTCAGTTGGTTGAGAGTCGTCCTACAAACTGAAAGGTCGCTCATTGACTCCAGGTCAGGGCACATGCCTAGGTTGGGGCCCGTGGGAGAAGCAACCTATCATGTTTCTCTCCCTTTCTTTCTCCCTCCCTTCCCCTCTCTCTAAAAATAAATAAATAAAATTTTAAAAAAATCCTCCTCCTCCCAAGTCAGCCAGAGCCCTTCCCAAAAGCGACAGTGCCCAAGGGAAGTGGAGACGTTTGGGGGAGGGAAAGGGGTCGCGGAGAGAGCGGAGAAAGGGCGAAAGGAAAGAGACTGCAGAGGGAAGGGCGTGCAGAGGGGCGTGCTAGGTAACAGTGAGACGTGGGAGGGAGATGGGGCCCGAGAAGGTGTGGGGGTCTTTCGAAGAGACGGAGAAGAGACCTAGGAGCACAGCGAAGGAGAGTGCCAGAGGGCGCCGGGTGGAGGGAGGTGAAAGTGCGGAGGGTGTGCGGAGTGCTACAAGAGGGCGTTAGGAAGCGGAGAAGGAGGGGGCGGAACTGGAGGAAGGGTAGGAGGAGGGGCGAAGCCAGCGCGGGACGGGAGCCGAGTAGGGGAAAGTCGGGTGCTGGAGGGAGCTTCTGCGGGTCTCAGCTTCTGCTGTGGCAGAGGTTCTGCCACAACGGCAGGCGTCCTTGGGCTTCACCGCCACCAAGCCCTAGAGAGAGTGGGAGGCGGGGTGAGACCAGTGTCCCCACCTCGGCTTCTAGAAATAGAAAACGCTGTGAGTCGGGAGCCAGAGCTTTTTGTTCTCGTCTGAGCCCTGCCAGGGGCTCCCTGCGTGACTTCGGGCGAGTTCTGCCCCTCACTGGGCCTCCATCTCCCCACCTGCAAAGTGAGAGGGCTCTTTCGGTGGATCTAAGTTCCAAATGGAATTAAATTCACTTTTTTAACCAGCTTCCTCTAAGACGTGTCCCAGATTCACCAGCCACGTCCCTTCTCCCGCAACGTGGCTGCACCCTGACCCTTGGACCCTCAGGTTTCAGCTGGAAACTTGTATCAACTTTGGGGGAAGAAGCAGCATCTAGCCTGTGGAGAGGAGGCTGAAGAATTTGTTTCCTGTGCGTTGAGGCACTAATCCTTTCACTGCTGTCCACCCAGACAGATGTTGTTACCTCTATTAAAGACGAAGCTGGGGCGCAGAGAGGCTTAGAGACAGGTAGGACCAGGCGGCTCTGTTCTGCTTTTTGTCCTATGCGGTACAGGTTTGCCAAAAAGAGATTTTTTTTTTTTTACATTCTGAAGACTACTAATAAATCCTAATATTATTTTTTAAATTATATTTTATTGATTATTGCTATTACATTTTCCCCCCTTTGGCCCACTTTACCCAGCATGCCCCACTCCCTCAAACAATTCCCCCCACCATTGCTTATGTCTGTGGGTCATGCATGTGAGTTCTTTGGCTACTCCATTTCCTATACTGTACTTTACATCCCCATGGCTATTCTGTAACTACCTATTTGTACTTCTTAATCCCCTCACCTCTTCACCCATTCTTCCCACACCCCACTCCCACCTGGCAACCATCAAAACACTCTGTATACAGAATTCTCTGTGTGTTCATCTTGTTTGCTTAATTTGTTTTTAGATTCAATTGTTGATATGTTGTTGTTTTGCCATTTTAGTTCATAGTTTTGATCTTTTTCTTAAATAAGTCCCTTTAATATTTCATATAATAATGGTTTGGTGATGATGAACTTCTTTAGTTTTTTCTGGGAAGCTCTTTATCTGACCTTTGATTCTATATAATAGCTTTGCTGGGTAGAGCAATCTTGGCTGTAGGTCCCTGCTTTTCATGACTTTGGATATTTCTTGCCAAATGCTTCTAGCCTCAAAGTTTCTTTTGTGAGATCAACTGGCAGTCTTATGGGAACTCCCCTGTAGGTAACTAACTTCTCTTACTGCTTCTCAGATTCCCTCTTTATCTTTTACCTTTGGCATTTTAATTTTGATGTGTCTTGGAGTGGGCCTTCTTGCAACCATCTTGTTTGGACTCTCTGTGCTTCCTGGACTTGCATATCTGTTTCCTTCACCAAAATAGGGAAGTTTTCTTTCATTAATTTTTCAAAGAGATTTCCAATTTCTTGCTCTTTCTGTTCTTTTGCCACCCCTGTGATGTGAGTGTTGAACATCTTGAAGTTGTCTCAGAGGCTGCTTATGCTACCCTCATTTTTTTGGATTCCTTTTTCTTCTTCTTGTTCTGATTGGTTACTTGCTTCCTTGTGTTCCAAATCATTGATTTGATTCTGTTTCATTCACTGTACTGTTGTTTCCCTGTAAATCGCTTTTTATTTCCATTAGTATGTCCTTCATTTCTGACTGGATCTTTTTTATGCTGTTGAGGTCCTCACTAAGTTCCCTGAGCATCCTTATAGCCAATGTTCTGCATCTGATAGATTGCTTAGCTCCATTTTGTTTAGCTGTTTTACTGGAGTTTTGATCTGTTCTTTCATTTGGGCCATGTTTCTTTGTCTCCTTGTTTTGGCAGCCTCCCCGTGTTTGTTTCTATGTGTTAGGTAGAGCTGCTTTGACTCTATGTCATGGTGGAATGCTTTAATGTAGTAGGTGTCCTGTAGGGTCCAGTGGCACAGCCTGCCCCTTCACCCAAGCTGGGTACTTGAAGTGCTACCTTCACGTGGGCTGAGTACATTCTCCTCTTGTAGTTGAGCCTTGGTTGCTGTTGGCAGATCAGTGGGAGGGCTTTACCCAGGCCAGTCAGCTGCAAGGATTGGCTGTGACCACTTACCACCAACCTCTGCCCTCTATGGAGAATTAACTGTGCAGGGGCAGGGTGGTGGTGCTCCGGCATGGTCTGTATCTGTCCACTGGGTGCTCTGGCCTTTGGGTTTCCCAGGTGGTGCAGGCCAAAGTCAGTCCCAACCTGTGTTTTGCTTGGGGCCACCCTGCCTGAGCTATAGATCAATCTGAGATGGCTGCTGCTTGTGCTAGGCTTGGAGATTCCCAGGCGAAGCCAAGCCATTTGTTAACACTTTGGGAGGGGTGAAGTCTCTGGGGATTTCTAAAACAGGTCAAACAGTTTTAGCCAGGTTGATGGATTTTCAGACGTGGCACCCGCTTGCTGGCTCTGTGGGGTAGGTTTTAGCAAAGGGACAATGACCTTTGCTTGCCTTGTTGCCAGACACTTCAGTCTCTCTTTGTACACCACTGGTGCCTTTCAAGCTGCTAACCCTGGTCCTGGAGCTGAGAGGGAGTGAGTCTGAGTAGGTGAGTCCACGTGTGGGTTCTTTAAGAGGAACTGCTTGTGGCTCCAGCAGTTTCTTCCACTGACTCACACCCCACTGATTTTTGCAGCCAGAAGTTGTGGGGCCTAAATTTCCTGGCACTGGAACCCTGGGCTTTGGGGTCTGGTGTGGGGCTGAGACTCCTTGCTCCCAAGGATATTGCTCCCAAGATTTTTTAAAGATTTCATTCATTTATTTTTAGAGAAAGGGGAAGGGAGGGGGAAACAGAGAGGGAGAGACACATCAGTGTGTGGTTGCCTGTTTCATGCCCCATACTGGCGACCTGGCTCACAACCCAGGCATGTGCCCTAGGCTGGGAATCGAACCCGAGACCCTTTGGTTCGCAGGCTAGCACTCAATCCACTGAGCCACACCAATCAGAGCTCCTTCCTGAATTTTTGTCCACCATACATGGGTGAGGGACCAGCCAGTTCCACATCTATGCCCCTCCTACCAGTCTGGATGGATGTGGTTTCTTTAATTCCATAGTTGTCAGACTTCCATACAACTTGATTTCTGATGGTTCTGAGTGATGGTTGTTCTATATTTTAGTTGTAATTTTGATGTGGTTGTGCAAAGAGGTTGTCTGCCTATGCCTCCATCTTGACCGGAAATAAATCCTAATTTTCCAGATTTTTTTTTTAATTCGAATGTGTCTAAACAGTGGAAGGGAGCACTGGCTGGAGAGTCTAGGTTATGCTGCTGACTCAGTGAGATCTTAGGTAAGTATTTACCCCTCTCTGGCTCAGTCTTCTCTGCTGAACAGCCAGAGTTTGGTCACATGGTCTGCAAGGACCCTTCCTGCCTTTAGCATTGCTAACAATAGGAATAGCAATCGTAATTGTTTCTGTACCTCCATCTACAAAGTCCTGCCTCAGCTGACTCCTATCTACCCCAAGCACCAGACTCCTGGTTCTGCCTCAGGACCTTTGCACTTGCTCTTTCCAATGCCAGGGGCACTTAACTACCTCATTTTCCTACACAATCATTCTTCAGATCCCCACTGAAAGTTCACATGTCTAGGAGGTCCTCTGACAAAGACTAGATGAGGTCCTAGGTTTATAACCTCATGGTTCATGCTGAATTCATTAGACTTAAGTGTTTGTGTAGTTCTTTGTCTAACATCTACATCCCTTATTATTTAATGCCTATAAATGCCATGAAGGCTGAAACCCTGCCCTATTCCCAGAATCTGGCACATAATCAGTGCTCAGAAATTTGTTGTGCAGTAAACAGATAATCACATTTAGTCCAGCAATCTTGCGAGGTTGGGCCCTTGTGCTCTTATGCACAAGGAGACAGCTTCAGAGACAGACACTGCCAGGGTCACGCAGTGAGTGGGCAGCACTAGAATTTGAACCCAGTCTTTGTGACCTAAAGCCTGAACTTCCACTTGCATCTCATTCCAGGATCTTCTGCTGGGAAGACAGTACCCAAGTGCCAGCAATCCTGGCCCACGTGGCCTGGAAAGAGACACCCGTCAGATCAAGGAGAGGTTCTTGTCCAGCCTGGTTTCCTCTTGGCCCTGGGAACCTAAGGTGGACCTGGGGTGGATTCGGTCCCCTCCTATAGACCCATGGCTCACCGGCGGAAAATACAGCTGTTGACATGGGACGTGAAGGACACGCTGCTCAGGCTCCTCCGGCCCGTAGGGGAGGAATATGCCTCCAGGGCCCAGGCCCACGGGCTGGAGGTGGAGGCCACAGCCCTGGATCGAGCCTTTAGGCAGGTGTTCAAGGCTCACAGCCAAAGCTTCCCCGGCTATGGCCTGAGCTACGGCCTTACCTCCTGCCAGTGGTGGCAGGATGTGGTCCTGCAGACCTTCCATCTAGCGGGTGTTCAGGATGCCCAGGCTGTGGTCCCCATCGCTGTCCAGCTGTACAAGGACCTCAGCAGCCCCTGCTTCTGGCAGTTGTTGGAGGGAGCGGAGGCCACCGTAAGGGAATGCCGGAAACGAGGCCTGAGGCTGGCAGTGGTCTCCAACTTCGACCAGCGACTAGACAACATCTTGGCAGGTCTTCATCTGCGGGAACATTTCGACTTTGTGCTGACCTCTGGGGCTACCGGCTGGCAAAAGCCAGACCCCCGCATTTTCCATGAGGCCTTGCGGCTTGCTCAGGTGGAACCAGCGGTGGCAGCCCATATTGGGGACAGTTACCACAATGATTACCAGGGGGCACGGGCCATAGGCATGCACAGCTTTCTAGTGGTTGGCCCAGGGCCTCTGGATCCTGTGGTCAAAGATTCTGTGCCCCAAGAACATATCCTCCCCTCATTGCCCCATCTCCTGCCTGCCCTTGACCGCCTGGAGGGCTCATCCACAGGGCAGTGAGGGAAGCGGCTGGGCCCAACAAACCCTGGAGACAGGGAGCCCTTTCCTCTCCAAAATCTGGCCTTTACTCTCTCCCTGCAGCCTCCCCTGTGCATTCTGACTATAATGCAGCAAGCGTGAGGCTTTTAGCCCTTCCCCACTAACCAGCTCCTGGTCTCTGAGATGGTTCATTCATCACGCCTGTGTCCCTTTGCCACCACAGGACCCCCTCACCTCCAACAAGATTCCCTGAGGGCCCACCAACGTTTTTTCTATACAATGGCTCTAGTAGCATTTAATTGTCTTTAATGTCATTTGAAACAATTTTGTTAGATTGTATTGTGACAGCTGTCCTATCAGCATGCATTAAAAAAATCAATTGGTGAAATTTTGTGTAGCCATTTTAACATTGAAGATGTGTCGGGAGCCAACTAACACCCATCCCTTGACACAGTCGGGATGGATAAGCTGCATCTGCACAGCAGAGGCAACTGAGGCTGGATTTCCTGTCTGTCTCTCCTTGCATGTCTGTCTTTGCGATTAATAGGTGGTGGGATTTTTAGACACCTGTATTTCAGGCCCAATGACCCGCAGAATTCCAATGAGGTCGTACAAAATGGTTTCTTGTCCGTACAACAAAAGTTCCCCATGATGGGGTAGCCCCTGAATGTCTAAAAGTTGGTAGAGTAACAGCCCCTCCTCTACCTTGGACAGGAATATATATTAATTAGAATTGGACGGGTAAAGAAGGAGAAGCTGGTTAATTATTACAAACTAAGCACATAGAAACAAGTATTAAGGAGTCAGAGTCCAAAGTACATAAAGTAAGATTCTAGACAAGAAGGTAGATAGCTAAGTTAGACACCACAAAGGCCTTGTAATAAATTTCCTATAACGACTATTCAGTCTAGTGTATCCTTTTGACCCATGTCAAATTCTAAGAACTTTAATAAATATCTGTTCATCAATAAGACATTTAAAACTGTACATACAGCTATTTCTAATTGTCTGATTAATGGCTCTCCTGGTCAAAATAACCTTTGTTTAACATAACTGAATCTATGGAATTTCCTGTACTTTTCCTAGTTACCTCCGACCCCTCAAAGCCTGAGGTCAGAGGAGATTCAGCTGGAAATGTGCTCTAGGACCATGGAGACTAAACGGGAGATTTTCGACACGGACCACCACAATTCCAGTCACAAGAAGAAACATGGTTCTCCCCCCACCCCGCCACGTCTTAGGCACTCTGCTGGTCCTTTACATGCATATAGAGCCCTCAGAGCTACCTAGTGGGCACAGCTAGTGTGAACTGCACTTTACAAGGGGTTCAGAGGTTACATCGTCTGCCAGAGGGCACAGCTAGTACGTGAGGGGGTTCCAATTCAGGCATGTCTGACTGCAAAGCCCATTGGTTAGACCACAAGGTTGCAAGTAGAAAGGGATCCATGTCACGAGATACAGTGCAGTGGAGATCCTGGGAGAATAGGGAAGGTGTCTTAAAGGATTTTAGTCCGAAGGACAAGGACACCCCAGTCATCGGGGGTTGGCATGTGGGGAGGAAAGCGCAGGGAATGGGGACCGGAGCCCAAGGAGGCAGAAGTGTGAATGTGGGGAGAATTACAGAGGCTGAAGAGTAGGCTGGGTATTTTCAATTCCAGGTCTCTTCCTGCCTTTCCCCTCCTCACTGACCCCTGCGCCCTAGCCAGTGCCACACACAAGGGACACTGCAGGCAAAAAGCACAGACAGGGACATGCATGTTATGTTCTTGTACCAACAGCCAGGAAAGACTCTGGAGTGGACCCTGAACTTGGGCTGGCATTTTTTTTTTTAATATTTTATTTTCAGAGAGAAGGGGAGGGAAGGAGATAAACATCAACGTGTGGTTGCCTTTCACAGGGCCCTGCAACCCAGGCATGTGCCCTGATTAGAATTGAACCAGCAACCTTTTGGTTCTCAGGCTGGTACTCAATCCACTGAGCCACACCAGCCAGGGCGGGATTGGCATTTCAATGGGCAGAAGGATAAGGTATCCCCAGCAGCAGCCTGTGGACTGGGGCCTGAAGGCTGCTGTGGGCAATTGGACTGTTAGTTTGGGGAGCATGGGGTAAGGGACTTCGGGTGCCATCTGGAAGAATTTGGCTTTGACTGTGGTTTAGGGACAGGGAAACTCTTCTCAGACAACTTCTTGAGTGTCAGGCAGTGAGGACAGGGTCATAAGCTGTGGTCTTAGAGCCACAAGGGCCTCAGAAGTCACTGCAACCAAAAATAAGTTGCCAGTAGGTTTGTGGACTGGGTTTGATCCACCCATTGTTTCCAGTAAATTGCTGGGCACACTTCCAGAGTGGGGCGGGCTCTGGCCCCACCTTGGAGCCCAGGAGCCTGAAGTTGTAGGTACGATGGCCTTTCAACTGTTCTCCAATAAAACAAAAATGTGAGGACCACTGCTCTAACGTGACCTTAGTGACCAGGAAGGGACTTGCCCTTGGCCCCAGCAATGCAGGGCGCAGAGCAGACTCCAGTCCTATAGGATGTGTGTGCTGAGCTCGGCCACCTGCTCACATCTAGGAGCGCGCGTGAGGATGAGGAGGACATCGAATTCTCAGTAAACGCACTCTAGGATTTGAGCTGGCCCTTGTGGGGCTTGCCCAATTACCAACAAAGAACTTGGGAGTAATTTTCCAATCTTTTAAAACCTTTAATAACATACACTGCTCTAAGGCCGGCCCTCTAACTCCCTCAGCTTTTTCTAGCTGAGGTTCTTGCCCCAGGTCTCCACATGATGTCGGAAGGGGCCATCAGTTGCCACACGCATCAGCTGCCCTTGGTGGGGGGGGGGGCAGTTTGTCCCTGTTGGTGCAGTGGGCACAGGCTGGAGGTCAGCCGCCAGATCCAAGGCAGAGCTGCTGATGGGTGTGTTGCAGCCAGGTTACCTGGAGATAAGACTTCCTCGGTCTTCTGAGAGGCCAGGTAGGACTAGGGAGAGGACACAGCTCCCCAGGCTAGAGCCCTCTCACCAGAGCAGCCTGACAGGAGCTCTAAATCCCTTCCAGACTGTCCTCGTGTGCTAGAAAAATATTTCTGTAGGAGCCAGGTCATGAAAGGGACGGGAAAGCGCTGAATTGAGGGGAGGAAAGGACTTTGGCCACAGGCTTTTCTGCCAGAGAACCACTTCTACACACACCCATCTGCCCACCCACTCACTCATCAAATGCATACTGCACACTCAGGCACCACGCTGGGGGGCAGAGATGAAGCAGCACACGAGACGGCCTCAGAGGGTGCATTTGGGAGGCTGAGCCCAGGGAGCTGCAGGTTCCCCACAGATAGCAGCATTTCATGGTTGCACCCAGATCTGAAATGGTTGCCAACCCCTCCTAAAGCCACCCAGTGGCCACAGGTAACATTTGGGAAAAGGATACTGGGTGGAAACGTGGCCTGCAAGGGTGGGTGGGGAGGCATACCTGGCCTCCCCCGTGCCCGAGGTCAGTGGACAATGGAAATGGTCTGGTCAGCCACAGCAAAGACTGGGAAGAGGGGCCCAGGGAAGGACGCGCGGTGGGTGTGGAGCACCGTGCCCGAGGCTGGGTCGTAGAACAGCAGCTCCTGGGCCTGCAAGTCCAGTAGCATGCCCAGCTGTGCCGGGCACCGCAGCAGCCCCAGCGGCTCGTGCTGCCCGTCGTGTGAGAAACAGAACTCTTGGTCGTAGCGGGAGAAGACCCAGGAGAAGGCATTGTGGCCCAGACGAGAGTCACTGCCAGAACCCTTGCGGGGCAGCTGGCCTAAGGCCACGCCTACCTTGTAGGCGCAACTGTTCTGCACACTCACCACCCAGGCGTGCAGCCCAGCCTGGAAGGAGGTGGTGGCCAGGGCGTTGGGCCAGTGGTCAAAGCGCTCTGGGCCATCCGCATAGGCCTTGGACTTCTTGGCGTTGAAGGTTAAGGTCCTTCCATCATCCGACAACTGCAGGAAGGGGCTGACAGTTCTCTCGTTGATACGCACATCGTCTGTGCCTGCCAGAAAGAATTCTCCAAGTTGCCCAAGGTCCTACCCTGGTCCTGCCAGGTAGCGAAGGGCTTCCTTATCGCTCACTGGCAGTGTGACTTCATACAAGCCATTTACTCTCTCGGAGCCCTAGTCTGCCTAATTTAAAGCGGGGATCGAAACAGGACTTACCACAGGGTGGATGAGAGGATCAAATGAGACAACACATGGAGAACACCTAGCAACGATATGTGCCCCATAAACGGTGGCCATGGCAACAGCAGCTATTATTATCTAAGACCCTCACCTGTAAATGCCAATAGAAATAAGGCCCAGAGAAGAGGCAAGTTGCCCACGGTCGCACATCACATTGGTGGCAGGGACAAAATTAAGACCTAGCGTGTCGTTCCTACACCTAACTCAAGCACTGCTCATACTGCATTCAAACCAGGCAAATGTGCAGCCTCGAGATCAGACTCGTCCTGGGGACACAGGCCCTGGGGGCGACGAGGCATCAGGTGTGCAGTTTCCACCGACTAACCAATGGGACTGCTGGCAAATCGGGTAATATTATCAGGTGATGCCTGATTCTGGAGAATTCCAGCTCGTACTAACATTTTAAGGATAACATGACAGGAGGTGGGGAGGGTTAAAATTGAGAAGAAATTCAATCCACTAATTAACCTAATTCGGTGAATCACACAAATACCACAACTGGGAGAATGGGAACTTCTACCCAGTTTGGGGGAGCCTACTTTGAGAACCCCCACACTAAGTGGGAATTTGTGGAGACAGGACGTGTCATGTTCACCTCTGTGGCCCCAGCATGCAGCACAAGGTCAGGCCCAGGGTCAGCCTGAGTCAGGGTTTGTTACGTGAGCAAGCAAGGCGACTCCAGGCAACTCAATTCTTGTTCCAGGTATTCCCCAGTTGGCCATCAATTATATCTTCTTAAAGAGAAACCAGGTTGCCAATAAAGAATACTGAGTGGTCCCAGTAGGGCAGGACATAAAGAGGACATGATTTACAGGAACGATATTTATCCTAGATCTGACTCCGCAGCAGGCTGGTCTGGAAACAGGAAGGACCTGGTCCGGGTGCCCCGGGCCTTTCCAGAACCTGGGTCCCACTGACGAGCCTGCGCCCAGCATCACTGGCTATTTAAGCTACCATCCCAGAAGCACCCGTCCGCAAGTTGGCCCCACAGCAAACACCACATAGACAGACAGACAGAAGCCCAGTTGCTTCAGCTGGTGCTGGGCTCCAGCAACTCCTAACCTGAGAGGGAGCCAAGAGCTGCTGTCGCCCAGAGCTGGGTCAGAAGAGGGCTCCATGCACACTTCTCATCAAAGCTTAACTTTTTCGACTCCTGGGGGTCCAAAACACCCTCTGCTTCCTCAGTCCTTGTGCAGAAAGAAAGGAGGAAAAAAAAAAAAACAGATTCAGAAAGGCTCTGGAAATGTCTGTGGCTGCATACACGGTGACTGGGGAGTGGGGACAGAAGTCAAATCCTCTTCCCACGAGGCTGACACCAAGATTGGCAGCCAGGCCCCAGAGAGGAGCCGCCCTAAGGAGGGCTGGGGCCACGGGGAGGGGGGGGCTTCCCCGGTGCACTGCCCCCCTCGCCCCACAAAGAAGCCTTGATGATTTCTTTACAAGGCAGACGATTTACAGGGCATTAACTACTTGCAGTCACTGTCATAACCTGCAGTTGGTCCGCCCTGCGGATGAAGCTACTCACGGTGGGTCTAGTACATTAGCAGCAGAGCTGGGACTAGGCCTTGGGCCTCGTGCACCTCTATGTGGTGGTCTGTCCACCCCACCACCCCACCCAGAGGAAATGTCACCTTCCTCCAAACCTGAATGCAGCAGTAAGGCTGCCCTTGGTTTGATCAGCAGGTGCAGTCAACTCCTCTGCTCTTAAAATGCAAACACCCCTGGGGACCATGCAGCAAGGGACGCTCAGTTATTTTCCCAGCTGTAAATTATTCACAGCCCTCAGTTCCCAGTAACTACCTCTGCCTCGGCTCACAGTGGGGGCTGAATGAGTTTGGTTGGAGAGGGATTTAGTTAACAAAAGAAATCGCCATTTATTCGAGCAGTCAGGCTCAGGGGTTTGCTGTTTTCTACACAGAATCTCAGATCGTCTGGTATAACTGGGAGGTAGCTGGGTACCCATTTGACAGGAGAGAACAGGGCCTCAGAGAAGGAAGGCACTCAGCTGAAAAGGGGAACAGGATTCAAGTCCTGCCTTTAGGCAAAAAGAGAACCCAGGCTGGAGTCCAGGCACCATTCAACATAATCCATCCCTTGACCTGTAGTAAGATCTCAAAGGGATGTAGAGCAAAGTGGGGATTTGCCACAGAGCGTTGCAGAGTCTTTTCAACTGGGTTCTGAGAAAGACTTTCCCACCAACTCTAATCCTGAAGATGGCTTTGGGATGGGGCAGCAGTTCTGAGAACATACCCTCTTTCCCCCGAATCTCATGGCTCTGCCCATTAATGAAGGGTGGGGTGGGGAGAGTGGGCCATGTCTCATGGATGCCAACTCTTTGCAGGACTGTCACTCACTGCTGGGGAGGAAGGAGGTGAACAGAGCCCGAGAACAGGCTATAGTAACAAAGGCTCTTTGTGGTCAGGACAACAGAGGGTCTGTTGCCATCTTCTCAAAGCAGCGAGGCTGGGTCTTCAGGGGCCCCAGCCACCGGGGAGGGAGGGACGAGGAGCCAGTGTTGGCATTGCTATGCCATCATCCAGGGCAAATCTGAGGCCACTCATAGACACCAGAATCTAGAAAACCAGCCGGTCCAGGTACCTCATGGCACAGAAGAGAGCTCGTGACTCCAAAGGAGTGGGAGTGAACTGGGGTTCGAACACAGCAGTGCCCTGGCTGGGTGGCCTGTGCAGCAGGGCCCGTTGCGGTAACAGGCCAGAGCTAAGCCCAGCCAGGGACATGGACACAAAATTGGAGCCAATAAAGGCACTTCTCAGACAAGTGGGTCTCCAGCTAGAAGGGGCTTGACAACTTCTGAACACAGTACATCAAGCACATCCAACCTCTAAAGGCACAAGGAACTCCAAACAAATCTTGACCTCTACAAACAGGTCTGTCAACAGCAGTGACTTGGCAATTCTCAAACAGCCCTGTGTGTGCTGTACGGCTAAACGACTGACTACAGCCTGTTGCTGGCCGCTGAGGTCCTCACTGTGAAAGAAGAAAGATCTGAACGTGGAATGGCAGAAGGTGAAGGAAATACACAGTGGTGTTCCACTGGAATGAGAAGTCGTGATGCAAACTCATGAATAAAGAAAACCACACTCACACTTCCCGGCTCAGTCTGCTGTCCACTGAGGAGACCTGGAAGCCACGCCACACCGGCAGCAACGCACGTCTGCCCAGATCTCGGTTTTCGAATACTGCCCCCCACTAAAAAAAACCAAGACTCCCTGGAGAAATACAGGGTTCCAGGGCTGAGGCAGGGAAAGAACAAGTTGAGCCTCGGACATTGTATCTTGTGCCAGAATACAAGCAAGAGCTCAAAGAATAATGAGCACTTGTCAAAAAAAAAAAAAAAAAAAATCCAGGATCCAGCTTGAAGGGGCTAGAACTGGCCAAATCTAGGGCAGTTTGAAGATAAAATTAATACTAGTAGCAGTAGTGACAGATTGTAATGCACTGAATAAAAAAGAATCCAGGAGTCTACACTGATTCTATGTAAGCGAGTGAACAAACAAACAATAAATAATTCAGGAAGGAATTTAGCGTCAATGAAGACAAAGACTGTTGCATGAAGGTTGAAGGTAAGCAGGTTATTTATACAAAAAGTACCTCCTCGCACTGCTTATTAATTACAAGAGGGAAGATATAACTTTATAAGGAAGAAACCTGGTACCACTCTATCCAAGTGATCAAAATCAGCATCCCTGATAAAGGGACAAAGTGACATTATGTGCCCCTGCTCTGATAGCCTGAGAACACATCGCTTATGAGGGATTCCTGCCAAAAATGCATGACCTGAACCTAACCATGAGGTACTATCAGATGATCTCAAACTGAGGAGTATTCTATACAACAACTGTCCTGGACTCATTAAAAATGTTCTTTTTTTTATGGTGCAATTGGCAACACTTGAATGTGGACTATATATTAGATAATAGTATTATATCATTAAATTTCTGAACTTGACAATTATGCTGTGGTTATATGAGAGAACGTCTCTGTTCTTAGGAGAGAAATGCTTTAAAAATTAGGAATAGAAGATCATGTTTTCTGCAACTTACTTTCAAATAGGTCAGGAAAAAAGTTTTATACATATATACTTAATAAACTGGAAAAAAGAGACAGCAAGAAAGAGCAAATCTGGCAAAATATTAACAACTTTTTATTTCCAGGTGAAGATCATTATACTACTTTAGTATTTTCTATAAGCTTAAAATATTTCAAAACAAAAAATCGAAGACCAAATATTTTTTTCAAAAATCACATCAGCTTGATGTTGAGGACAGACTGGCTGTGTCAGAGGGGAGGATGAAGCTAAGGGAGAAAAGGAGTCCTGGCCGAAGCGGGGCAAGATCACAGGAGGGGAAAAGTAGGAACAAGCCAACCGACCACGCATCAAAAGGAGACAGTGAAATGAATGTGGGTGTGTGCATACCGCGGACTAGCTCACAGACCTCCCAAGGAGGGAGGGAGGTCTGCATGCATTGACATGGAAAGATTCCAAGATAGCCCAATAAGTTACAGAATAGCAAGTAGAAAATGATCCCATCTGTGTTTAAAAAATATTTTTTTAAGGAGGAAAAAAACCCCCCACATATTCTCCTATGATTATATGTAGAAAAGTCCCAAAGACAAACAACTAACTGTTAAAACCAACCACCTCTAGGGAATGAGATTGGGAAGGAGTGATTCATTTTTAATTTAATCGTTTTATACTGGTGGAAATTTTTTGTTCTCTCATACACATGTATTGCTATTGAAACTTAAATGCAAAAAGCAGATCAGAAGAACGGGCTGTGCTCCCCAAGGACAGCTATAAAATCTTGCACAGAAGATTAAGAATTTAATTTCTTTGCCTGGCAAATGACATCCTTTTAGCTACTTCCTCGAGCTCTTGGTTCTCAGCCTTTTGGGACCTACATAGAGCCTGGTGAAGTTCTTTTCTTATTGCATAATTAAAATGCAAATTTTGAGGGTTTCAAAGATTCTTTCATTAGAGAAAGCCAGAGTGAGAAGACAGTCCAGACAGGTGTCAGATGTGGGTCCCAGCCCCAGCTCTGGCCCTTGGGCAAGTCCCTTCCCCTCTTTGAGCCTCAGCATTCTCGTCGGTAGAAGGTGGTAAAACCCTCCAATGGGGTGACGGTACAGTTTTTAATAATATTAGTTTGTGACAAGCCCGATTGGTAAGTGATTATTTCACTCCCCTTACACATGGGTCTAAAGCAGTTCTCCAAGCTAGAGCCAGGAAGGCCCCTGTCCGGCGAGCCTGGCTCCAGAGAAGCCCCTCAGCTGCATACCCTGGGCAGCGGAGTCTGAATACAATGGACTACTTAGAGGCCAGAGGCCCTGGTTTCCATGACTGTCCAAGCGAATTACGGGGCCATACTCACCTCTCAAAAATCTCCTGCTCTTTCTGCTGTGAAACAAGAAAACGAGAGTCAGGCTTGGCATCAGAACCCAGCAGGCAGTCAAGACTTAAATATATTCGATGGCGTGGAGAGCTCCACAGGGGCAGAAACTCTAGAATAAAAAGTTCTACTCCTTTAAGACGCAGCACAAAGCTACACGGGTTCTTCCTCACAGATTCCCCCACCCTGCACTCAGAATGCATCACTCTGTCCCCCAGGAGCCCTGTGGCGTCCTGAATGTCCCTCAGCCACACTTCAGGACAAGCGCGCATTTACCCAACATTTTACCCTCCACAAGACAGTCAGCAAGTAGACAGCTGAGACACTTTCTGAATCTCCTGTTGTGACTGTCCCAGTGTTGGGACCGAATGTACTTGGCACGTGGGAGCTGTGTGACCGAACGGATACACAATCTAGGGCGGCCATGGGAACTGTCCTACTTGAACTGCAACAGGACAGACAGCCCGGCTGCTCTATATTCTCTTGGCTCTGCTTGGCGTATTTATTCAGACGTCACAATGTCCCTTAAAACAGCAGGCATCTGCATAGCTGTCTAAAACACTTTGAAAGGGTACATGCCAAAATCTTAATCCTGGTAATTTCCAGATGGTAGGATTAAAGATAGTCCATATGTCTTCATATTGGACCCTTTATCAGCCCTTCAAGTACAGAGTTCTCTCTCCACCCTCGCACTTCCTTTCACACAGTGGTGAGTCTTATCTTTCAGGCATCAGCTTCTAAGTCACTTCACCCAGCAAGCCTTCCCTGACCCCCTCAAGTTTGGCTTGTGGGGTCCCTAGCTCCCAGGAATGTCATCTACCACAGCACATGTCACTCCCTATCCTAATGCCCAGTTTATGCGTCTGTCTCCTCCAGAAGGCTGCGGGTCCCTGACAGCTGATCCTGCAACTCCACCCCACGGCACAGTGCTTAGCACAGGGCAGGCACTCAGTAAATATTTGCTCACTATTGAAAGAATAATTACCAGGTACAGAAAAAAAATCCATAATAATTTTATTCCCCTGCCTCATCCCTGCCCCAAATGATCATTATCCACCCACCTCCTACCAACAAACACTCTTGACGTTTTCAGGCTTTTTGGAGAGACTGGCCAGTTGGTCGTGCCCTTACCCTTGCCTGACTTACAATCAGCTGGAGGTCGTCCATCTGGGTGAGCATGTCCACCAGGCTGGTGCGGATGGTGTCGAGCTTCTGCAGAGCCTCGGCCCAGTGTACTCGCTGTGTCAGGATGCTCTGGTGGGCCCGCTCCTCTTCACCGTGAACCTGTTCCAGCAGCCGCTGTTCCTCGGTCTCACACAGGCTCCTGACCAGCCCCAGGCGCTGGATGACCAGTTCCCGCGCTGCGCTGGCCATGCTCTGACGAGGGATAAAAAAACAGAGTCAGATCCTGGCCTAGCCCCAGTTGAGGTCGGGAGGATTTGGGCTCAGCCAAAAGAAGTGTGGAGCAGCGTCTACCATGAGCACTGTGGTGGCAGTAACGATGCTCAAGCCACCCCAGCCTTGGGTCCCCAGATACGATTTAGGGGAAGGAAATGTAAAATCCAGGCACCCAGGCCATATCTTAGGGGGCCGGGTTCCCGGAATGGAAGAGCTGGGCGGGGCCTAGAGAATAACCAGGATCACCTGCTTATTTCACAGATGGGAATATCAGGACCAGGGGACCAAGGTCACAGATCACAGAACTGCAGAACAGAGAGGGGCCTAAAAGGTCATCCCTGTCAACGGGATCTGTACCACCAGCAGTCCAGCTGATATTTTTGACCACGTCTGAGAACAAAAACCTCATTATTTCCGAATATGTTCGTTCTAGCTGCTTCCATGGTAGAATTCTTCCTGCCACACACGAGGCCTGAAGTCAGTCCTCAGCCAGTGGAGTTACTGTATGCCCCCTAGCAACTAGCACTGTGTCTGGCACACAGTAGGCATTCAAATATCTACTGAATGACTGATGGGAAACTTTTTCCCCACTTAGTCTAAAATCTTGGTAGCGCTCACGTGCCAAGTCAGTGACAGAGCTGGCACTAGAACCCAGTTCTCCTGACTCTCGGTCCAAGCCCACCCCCCTACACCGATGCCATCGGGAATCTCTCCTATCCAGAGGCATCTGTTGCATGAAGCACCTGCCCTCTTGCCAGGTACGTAAGAGGGCACAGGAATGCCAGAGGGTCAGGGATAGCCAACAGCTTCCTGTGCCCTGCCTCTGAAGACCTGCTTTGTGCAGTGCGGGTCACAATCATCCCTGTTTCACAGAAGAAACTGAGACCCATAATTTGTCCGATAGGGAAGAAGGAGTAGTGAGGTGCATGGCCCAGTGAACTTGGGAGTTCAAACTCCACTTCAGTGTTCTCTTGAGGCAGCATAACAAAGGGGTTGGGCAATGGGGCTTGGGAGACAGTGCCAAAGTTGAAAGCTTAGCTGTTCCACTTGTTACATGTGGAACTTTCAGCATGTTCCTTATTGTCCCTATGCCTCAGCTTTCTAATCTGTCAACTGAGGAGAATAATAGTATCTACCTCACAAGGCTACTGTGAGGATTACAAGAGTTAGTACATGGAGACAGAACAAGGCCAGCACATGGGTGACCAGTAACATCCGCCATTGCGCTTCCTGGTCCCACAGCAGTGAGTCTCTACAGCCTTGTTTATACTGTGTGGTCAAGGTCAAGAGCAAACCCTGACCCAAGAGGCTTCGGATACTCCCTGACTAGAAGAGGCCAGTCAATTTCAACACGCTTCTTGAGTCATTCCTAGAAATGAATAGCACAGAAAACAAACAAACAGATTTCCCTTTTCAAAGATATGACAGAGTACATTAAAACCCCTCGGAGAACAAAACACAGAAATGCTGGAAAAATGGCTCAAAGCATCCTTTTAAAAGGGAAGTTGCTGGCAGCTAAGTAAAGGAAAGCCCCTGGAGTCCAAAAGTAGAAAGGAAACTGGAAACCAGTTAAAATACAAAAAGGTGGTCCTTTCAAGACTAACATGATAGACACGCCTGGAACAATCGTGATCAGCACTAAACTCGACAACAGAGAAAATGGATAATTTGTCCAGAAAGAATTGACCCAAACCAAAGGGGAAAAGAAAACCAGGAAAAGTCCTATAGTTATGACGAGAAATGAATCGGTAAAAAACCTACCAACAAATACACCACCAGACCCAGATAGTTGTACAGAGGGTATCACCAAACACTCAGGACACAGATAATCTCAATCTTATACCAGCTCCTTCAGTGAGATAGAGTTCTGTGTCCCAACTCACTGAATAAGGCTTATATAACCTCAGTACCAACATCTGATAAGGACTACACAAGAAATGAAACTCAGCTAATCTCATGCCTGAGTATAGACGCAAAAATCCTTTTTAAGAGCCCTAAACTTGGGTCAGCAACCCAAACCCAGAAACCATGTATAACAATAACACGAGGGAAAGGAGGACAAGGGCATGGCTGTAACAGGGGGGCACAAGGGATCCTCATGATGTTCTGTGTCTTGATTGTGGTGTAAGTCACATGAATCTATACACGTGATAAAGTTGCACAGAATTAAATACGCACCCATAAATGAGTGTATGCAAAACCAGTAACATCTGAGTGAGGTGAGCTGCATCAATGTCAATTTCCAGGTTTTGATATAAAATACCGTAGTTAGGAACGATGTCACCATTGTATGTGAATCTGCATGTACTACATGTGAATCTATAATTATCTCAAAATTAAAGGTTTCAAAAAAATACATTATGATCAAGTCGAGTTGGTTTTCCCCAGGAATTCCAGGATGGCTTAGCATGAGAGACTCTATGAATGTATTACCATATTAACAGACTGATGGAGAACAAAACATGTCTGTAAACTGACAAATGGCACCATTAAGAACCTACAGGAGCCCTGGCTGGTGTAGCTCAATGGACTGAGCACGGGCCTGCGAACCAGAGCATCGAGGTTTGATGGTCAGGGCACATGCCTGGGTTGCAGGCCAGTTCCCAGCAGGGGACACACAAGAGGCAAACATACACTGATATTTCTCTCCCTCTCTCCTTCCCTTCCCCTCTAAAGATAAATAAATAAAATCTTAAAAAAAAAAGAACCTACAGAAAAGGTGGTAAATAATGGAAATAGGAGCAATCAGAGGAGAAGTTCCACAAGCCCGCCCCTCACCTACCCATTTCCCCGCACCTCTGCTCACGCCGCCTGCTCCATTTCTGTGGAGGAGCTGCCCCTGCTTTTACTCACGAGCAACCCGTCCACTTGTTTACTGGATCCTACCCCCTTGGCTATACCTGAACTTCCTCTTTGTCTTGCATCGTTAATTCTCCCCTTTCTACTGGAAAACTCCCATCAGCTTACACACATGAAGTAACTTCTCCCATCTTAAAAACAAAATAAAAACCCTCTGGATCCCTTATCTCTCTGCACTATCCTCCCATTTCTCAGCGCCCTTCTACAGCAAAATTCACGACTTGCCTGTGTGCACTATCCCAAAGTGCTCTTCACCTATTCTCTTGAACCCCACTCCAATCACTCCTTCACCCCGCCACCCTCCACAGTTCCTCCTGTCAGGACCCCCAGTGCTGTGCCTGCTACTAAATCCAACGGTCCACTCTCATGTACTGCTATAGGGAAGGGAGAGAGGAGATGTGTGGAAAGAAGTCACGGGCCCTGTCCTTGAAATTCATTCTTGAGCCCTGACTGTTGTGGCTTGGCGGCTTGGTCGTCATCCTGCAAGCTGAAGGGTCTCTGGTTCTGTTGCAGACCTGTCTCCGGCTGGGGCTGTGTGAGAGCCAACCACTCGATGTTTTTCTCTCGCATAGATGTTTCTCTCCCTCTCTTTCTCTCTCCCTTCCCATCTCTCTAAAAAATAAATTAATTAAATTTAAAAAGGAAAAGAAAAGCATTGTTGAGAGATGTAGCCGTGGTAATGAGTCAACTGAATAAAGGATCAGTGACCAGGTGCAGCAGCAGCAGCAGCAGCAGGAGCATTGGCCAGAGAGTCAGAAGATCCAGGTCGTAGAATTGACTCTGGCAGGAGGCCGTGAGGCCTTGGTCAAGTCAATTAACCTGTAAACAGGGATGTTACTGCCACCTACTGCATAGGACTGTTATAAAGAATACTCAGTGTAAAAGTCCCTAGGTTATTTTATAATTCTGGGGCTGGGCACAAAATAATTAGATGGTAGAAGAAATCTACCTTTTGTGATCCCTTACCCCCAAAAGGTATTGTCTGGCAGTCTTTGCACCCCATGTGATGATACTCTCCCCAGGTGGTAAAACCAAGGCTCAGAGAGAGAAACCATCCTTCTGGGGCATCCAGCTTTGTGTTAGTAGCACAATGAGCTTGTGAGGCTGGAAAAGGACCACAGACTGGTTGAAGCCCCTAAGACTGGGGTCTTTCCCTAGGACAAGACCCAGGGTGGAGGGAAAAAGGGAAGAATTACCTACCACTGCTCTCTGGCTCTTCCCTGGCAGGACTTCGGCCACATACTTGGTGATGCCAGCACTTTGTAACTGCAGCCTCTCACACTGGTCCACGATCTTGTTCTGCAATACAAACAACACCCATGGCATCTTGATCCACGTTGATCTACTCAGTCCATTCCGCTGATTTTTTTCTTTTACCCCCTTCTGCCACCCACGCCCATGGTGATACCCCAGACCTCATCACTACTGAAAGCTATACCACCTCCAAAATCTTCGTGTCAAAATCCTATATCCTGACTATCCCCTGCATCCTTCTAGATCACTAACTCTGCAATTGGCAGCTCGGTTGGAGATGCCAATACACGAGTCTTACCTCTTTTCACTGCCCATCACCCCCATAGGGTGGCCTCAATTCTATCTATCCTGAAAATCCATGGCCCATTTTTATTATCACTTTCCTGCACATGCTCTCAATCTTCCTTCGTACTCAGCTACCTGACCCTTCACACATGTACCCAAGCAGAAGAGCATGGCTTCTCACACTGTTCCTCCCCAAATACCCACGCCCCTATTTATCAAATAGCACCATCAATCACCAACCTCATTATCCAGAAAAAAAAAGTTACTCTCCAACCTCACATCTAATCCACCGATGAGTACTATCAGCCCCTTCTCCGAAGTTTCTCTGCCTTTCCTCTGGCTACTGTTGGTCACTTCCACTCCAGCCATTCTACCCGGCTCACCATTATCTCTCACAGGAACCACTGTTAGAGCCTCAAAACCGGGCTTTCATTCTTGAACCCCACAGGTAGACACTGCCACAGATTGTAAGAAAATCAGATCGGGTCACTGTCCCTGCTCAAAACTCTCCGATAACTGCAATACACCCACAGCAAGATGAGATCAAGCAAAATGAGAAGGACTTAGCTGATGTGACTCTACCTATATCCCCAGTGTTACCTTTTTCCACTCCTCACACTGGCCTTCTTTCTGTTCCATAAACACACTGAATGTGCTCTGACCTCAGTGCCTTTGCACCTGTTGCTTCTTCTGTCTCCATCAGTCTTCTCCCTATATCTCCATGCCTTGCCCCTCCCCGCTCCATTCACATACCACTCCTTCCGAAGTCTTCTCCATCCACCTCCACACCCCCATTCCCTTACTCTGACCCTTTTTCTCTCCCTCGTACTATCATTCCTGACTGCATATTATGAGTTTATCTTTTTTGTATCTTCCCCCACCAGTAGAACATAAGCACCCTGACTTGCTTTATTCTCTATGTCCCATGATCTAGAAGAGAGTTTCTATACATAGAAGGCCCTGAATAAATACGTATTGAATATTTGTTGAATGAATAAAACCCATTTCCTTGACCACAAGAAGTTCAGCAGTTTACAGCTTCAAACCTGGGACCATCACCCACGTGAGTAGGGGAGAGTTTTAAAAATTTAGCTGAGGCCCGCAGAGAAGCAACTTACCCAAGGAGATACGGCCAGGCCCCTGCTTTTCCCCTCCATGTCTCCACATATCAATGGGAGCCCCACCAAGCAGCAGCCCCTCCACTATTTCCCCTAAGAGCATGGCCCGAGTTGCACCTTCCAGAAGGCAGCTCAGCTACCTCTTCTGAGAAGCCCTTATAAATCTCCGCCCACCAAATTAGGAATCAGCACTACACTCTGCCAGTCCAAATGCAAGGTTAGAGAATTGAGTTGACTGGGAGGAAGCTGTGATCAGCACACACCACAGGACTGAGGGAACTGAGACCAGCTTTTTGAAAGGCTACAGGGACAGGAATCCAGAAGGTAAGTGAAAAGTTACTGGTGCTGTATTTGCTCATTTCAGGAATAACCCTTCCCTGGAGCGAAATTTCTTTGCTGGCTGGAGGAGTAGGGGAAGAGTGTACAAAAGCCCCAATCTAATCAAAACTGGAGGAAGAAAGAGCAAGAAATGTCTCTCCGCAGGCAAAGAAGATGAGCACACCTAGGGCCTCAGGAGCATTCAGGGAAGGAGGCCCAGGCCCAGTGCCTTCCAGAACAATCAGGCCTGCCTCCCTGCCCCAGCCTTCACCCCATCCACCACTCAAATTCAGCCCTGATGGCAACTTTTAAAAAACATTTACACTAAATTCTCACTCCCATTAACATCACTTCCTCCCTCCAACCGCTGAAGCAAAGAAGTGGTTTCCTCTGGTCTAGTCAATGACTGCCCTGGGCCAGCCCCCAACAGTGGAAACCTGGGAGGAGCTCCTGTCCTGTCCTGGGCCTCAGTTTCCTCATCTGTAAAATGTAGGTAGGACCACCCCAAGACCTGGGGCTTGGTCTGGATGGAATGACATGATGAATATTTAAGTGCTTTGGAACTTGCAAAAAGTTTCTGTGCATAATGGAAGTTTATTAAACCGCATTATCCAAGTCCATTTTCATGGTGGATCCTCTGTTGTGGATCATGGTGACAAGTAGGGCCACCCAGGAGCTTTTGGGTATCACTCAATAACTGAATCCTTCCTGGCCCCAACACCCGGTCAGAGGTGTTCGTTACAGTCCAGTCCGAGGAGGCAAGTTTCCAGCCAGAGCCCTCAGCTTCAACAGCTGGGCAGAACTCCAGGGAGAGGTTGGAAGAATCAAGCCTTTTAATCAAATTGCAAGGAAATCCCCAGGGGCCACAGGTAGGGTGGAAAGAGGGAGGAAGGCCGGGGGTGACTTGACTCTCCAATCTCAGCAGTTCAGGCAGGGGTGGTGACAGAAAGGGAACCAGCCTGGAGTCAAGTGGAGGTCGGAGGGGGAGAGAAACCCTAGGTAAAGGGTTCCAGTAGGAACCTCTGGATTCCTGCCCACCCCCTCCATTCACTCAGGCGAAACCAGATTGAAGTACAGTCAAGGCCAATCCTGAAAGGGAAAAGAAATCACCTTACCAGCCTGACCAGTGGAGGAGCAGAGAGGTTTTGAGCCATGGGGCTGAGGAGTGTGCAGGGGCTGGCTATGGCCAGAGATCAGCTTCCACCAGGACAGTGGGAATTGGGGCAGCTGGGCCCTTTACTACCCAAGGCCAGGCAGGATTCCCCGCCTCTTCAACAGGACAACAGAGAAGCTGGGCAGCTGGATTCGCCACTGTGTGACCCTATTATCTTATTTATATCACACTATAACTCTAATAAATGCACGCTATTATTGCCCCCAAACTACTAGATGGGGCACTGAGTCTCACAGGACTCACAAGGAGGTTCACAAGGAGGACGGACGGAGGTGACATTCGTACTCAGGTCTGCCTGACTCCAGGGGCCACACCCTTTAACCGCCTCGTTCTACAGCCAGTACCACTGCGCAGCCTGGGCTCCTGGCCCGGCCCCCGGGTCCCAGCCGGATATCGCCCAGCGCGCCTCCCCCGGCGCGCCCTCCCTCCGGAGCCCCCCGCTTTCCGGCACCCACGGCAGCTCACCCGCAGCTCTTCTGCGCTCTCCTCCGCCGGGCGGATGCGGTGTCCCTGGCAGCGGCCGCCCAGCGCCGTACAGGCGGCGCACACCGGTCGTCCCTCGGAAAAGCAGAACCACTTTAGAGCCTGGCCGTGCTCCGGACAGAGAGGTCCCGGCTCTGGCTCCGGCTCCGGCTCCGGTGCCGGTGCCGGTCCCGGTCCCGGTTCCGCGCTCTCCGCAGACATGGCCGAGCGACCGCCCGGCGCCAAGCTCTCCACCTGTCGCAGGTGCCCGCTGGGCGGGGCCTCCTGACCCCGCCTCCCGGCCCCCACCCGCGGCCACCGAGCTTCCTCCCGCCCAGTTCTCGCTGCTTGTTGGATACCCGTCCCGCATCGGCGACCGGACCCTGGCCCAGATCCCGCCTGCTTCAGCAGTTGGTTTTTTGGTCTGTTTTTGCTTTGCTGAATTAAATCGCGTTGCATCGTGCTTGTTTTACAACAGACACAAAAAGCAAATATTAATGTGACCGTAGGAAATTTAATTCAGCATTTATAAGTACCAGGCTTTTGCTAAATGCTGTATAAGTGTTCTATCATGTAATACAACAGCCTTTTTTTTTGAGGGGAATCTTTAGACAAGTACTAGCTTAAAGCTAGTTTCTAGTATCAGACTGTGGAAGCTCATGTCCCATGTGGCTGCCCCCTGGTGAGTACCTACCCTCCAGGGCCTCATCTGTCATGTTGGAATAAGGAGGGTACCTACCTGCCAGAGTTGTGCTGGGGACTGAACGAGCTAAAACACTTAAAATAGTATCTGGAGCACAGACAGAGGCTGCAACTGCTACGCATCTATTAGTGCAAAGAAAGTCTGATGATCCCCATTTTTATGAAGATTAAGGAACTTGCCAGGGGTCACAGTCACTAATTGGTAGCAATGAGACTGGAGATTGGGCAGTTTGACTTATGGTTAATATGAGCAATGCTTTTTAATTGCATGTTAATGCCGCATGAGGAACATCTGAGTTAGGCTGATTTCCCCAAAGTATTTCCATTCAAATTTTCTTAATGTGAAAAAAATGTAAAACTAGTATTGAAAAAAATTAATGCATGTTTATTTTAGAAAGTAGACTATGCAAATAAGCATGTGGAAGAAGAATCCATCCCCAAGTACCTGAGCCGTCTCCGGGGTTTTTTCTTTGGAGCTGATAAATCAGTCTAAGCCCAAATCGAACACTCTGCTGGGGCTCCAGCCCACCCTTCCTGGGCACCCAAGAACAACACGGCTCCCCAACTCCCAAAACCCATTTTAGGAAATCTTGGCAGAGGGTCGAGGAGAGAACTCAGGCAAAGAGAGACGGAGCCAGGCCTTGGGGGTCAGAGGGTATTCTGAGTTCATCAGAACTGGACACCGTGAGAGCGAAACCGGAAAGAGAAACATCGCTCTGTCCTGCAGCATGTCAGCGCTCAGGCACCTACCTGCCTCTACCTTGAGGTACCTTTAAGCGGCTAGGCTACTACACAAATGGAAGAGAGCCTGTCCCTCCTCTCAGCCCCCACGGCATCGGTACTGGAGATTAGTAAGAGCAGCTACCAGCCTCAGCACCTTGCCTCTTACAGCTATGGGACCTTGGTCAGATGATTTAGTCCGGCTGTTTCCTCAGCTCTCAAATGGGGGTAATAAAAGTATCTATCTCTGACGGCTATTTCAAGAATCAAACGAGATCTTGTCTGCAAAGAACTGTTAGCTTGGGTGTATGGCATTCACTTTGGGGCTAATAAGTGTTTTATTATAGGCGTGAGGGTCAATAAATCTACTTGTAGCAAGTTTTCAGAATGTAAATTGTGTGAGGTGCTTTGGTGAGGCTGGGGTGCAGGTTTCTTGGCATCCATCCCAATGGGAGGGTGAAGACCTCAAAACAGCATTTACCCTCTTCTAGAGGTGGGGAAGGAAATGGCCACTATCATTAGACATTGTGGTTAGAATGTCTTTGTTCTGAGGGCTGGGGGTGGAGAGGGCTAGTAACCCTTATGGTAAAAACAGAGAAAACAGAAGGTGATTTTGTGTGAAGGGAAAAGAGACTGCAGAGGGCAAGGAGAGGAAGGAGACTGAGGTTATTGGGGAAAGTAGGGTCCCTTCCCTGGGCGTGGCCCCGGAGCAGTCCGTGGCCGTGGGAGACTAGGGTCAGGAAAGCAGCCAAAATCACCGGAGGTTCTTTCAGGCAGAGGGGCTGGAAAGTGAAAGGGGCTAATGCGGGAACAGAGTTACTTTTACAGAATTGGAATTATCAGTTCCACCGTTCAGGGGCTCCGGTGGACTGGAACTGGAAAATCGGCCCCTTCCCTTAGTGAGCACCAGGCCTGCCCAACACGTGTCCCCACGTGAGGCCTCGGGACACTCATAAACTCTGAAGTGGTGACTCTCAGGCTTTATCAGGCCTCAGAGACACCTGGGCTGGGCAGGGAGAGGGGTTATGAAGAATGCAGACTTTCCAGTGAGATTCTCCTTCATTCGCCAAGTCTGGGGTGGAGCCAGGAATCTGCATTTGTAGCCGTCACACTGAAACTAGGGTACAAATGAGACCTCTGGGGACTCCTACAAACCCCGTCAGTGGCCACCATTAGTAGGTGGCAAAATCAATTCAAGGGGTAGAGAGCAGCATCTTAAAAATAAGAACAGAAAGAAAAAATAGAAAACATTGTTCATAGTAAGGGTTTTTTGCTTGTTTGCTATTAAATATAGAACATGTACTATATATATATATGTATTATATATGTACTACGTATATAGTACTACATATGAGCAGTGGGGTTGAATGTATTTCTTCCTGAGAGTCATGGTCAAAAATGTTTGAAAGCCGCTGCTCTAAGGTGACCTCTGGAGCCCTGGTGGGAGTGAAGATGGCTGTACTTGAACTTTAGGGCTTGCCCAGGTAGGACACCCTGAGCTGAGCACAGAGAAGAATGCACGCCTTTGTTGCATTTTCGTCATTCAGTAGATTTATTGAGCACCTGGCTATGTCCTGGGTCGTATTTAAGACAACGAGAATACAACCATAAAGAAGAACAAAGTCTACTCTCCTAGACAAATAATGGAAATGGAAATGGAATATGTTGGTGGGTGATAAGGGCTAAAAAAAAGACTCAGGCAGAATAGGAAGGGGAGCTGGATGGAGGTGCAGATCTAGAAAGGCTGATGTAGGAGGTCTCTCGGGAAAGTGGTCCTGGGCCTGTGCCCTGGATAAACACGGCAAGTGTGCCTGGAGGATATCTGGGGAGGAGCTTCCCACACGAAGACCAGCCGTGAGCAAAATGTCTTTTTATGCCACGAACTCTGTTCCCCCATCACCAAAGAACTGTGCACAATTTACATTCTGAAAAAGGTGCTACCTTCGGCCTAACATTATCAGTGCCTGAAAAAGGTGCTACAGGTATATTTACACACCCTGGCACACGATAAAATATTCATTAGCCACTTACTGTGTATGACCTACAGTAGGAATGTACTTATTTTTATAAAATTGGAATTATCTATAAATTCTGCTCTGTAACCTGCCATTTCACTTACTCATTTATGATATTTGGTTTGGGACTTTAAAAAAAAAACATTTTGGTATTGAGCACTTGGAAAAGTCTATGGGAAAGAACTGTTCCCCCCTGGCCTTTACCGTCCCTCAGGCCCAGCCCCTGACGGCCTGCCCGGCGGGGCCCCGGTCTAACCCCATGCCTCCTTCCTCTTCACACCTTGATCCAACCAGCATCTCTGGTGTCAAGACTGGAAGTCATCTATCTGACTGGGGTTTGCACGGTTTCCAGGAGTGGCCAAAGGCTGTCACTGCTGCGGCTCCTTTTCTCCTGTGATGTCTTCACAGCACAATCAACACCAACTGTCACCTTTTAGAAGAACTTGGCAGCCTGTCAGTGCAGACACGCTCAGACCACATGGGTCCCCTGTGAAGCCCAGACCCTGAAGGAGAGAGAGTCCCTTCTGCTCTGGCCAGACCAGACCAGACCATGTGAGACCAGATCTTGTCTCCAGAAGGTCTTCAGGACCAGTTCACTTCAGAGGATGGACAGTATCAAACTGGGCGAGTCCAGGAGAGAAAAATCAGTCCAGGCAATAAAGAGCCATGAACTAGGATTATATTTATAAAGGGCAGATTTGGAGGCACTGATAATGTTAGGCCGAAGGGATGAAAGGTGAGGGGGAAGAAGGAGGTACATGAAGTTATGTCGCTGCCTTGGCTGGTGTGGCTTAGTGGACTGGGCACCAGCCTCGGAACCAAAGGGTCACTGGCTTGATTCCCAGTCAGGACACAAGCCTGGGTTGTGGGCCAGGTCCCCAGTGGGGGGCACGTGAGAGGCAACTAATTGATGTATCTCTGACACATCGATATTTTTCTCCCTCTCTTTCTCTCTCTCTCTTCCTCTTTCTTTAAAAGCAAATAAATAAAATCTTGAGGAAAAAAGAGAAATAATGTAGCTTACCCATAACATTCTATCTTGTGTCCAGTTGTCCGTGACTGCCTTCCCCTGTCATTCTTTATTCAAAAATACTCACTGAAGATCTTCTATGTGCTAGATAAGACCTGTGCCGTCTAATGCCATAGCCACATGGCCACATGCAGCTAATTAAATTTAGAGTTAAAGTTAAATACAATGTAAAATTCAGTTCTTCAGTGGTACTGGCCACATTTCAGGTGTTCAATAGCCACAGGTGGCTTGGGGCTAGCACATTGGACAGAGCAAATATAAGGACAGTTCCTTCAGAGTGGAATGTTCTATCGCAGTGCTGGGCTAGACACTCTGTTAGACACCAGCAATAAACACAGGTGTAACTAAGACTCAGTCACTGCCCACATGGAGCACACAGGAAAGAGAGAGACAACTAAATGAAGAGCCATGCTGTGTTGGGGATGGTTTGAGAGGCTTTGGAAGCACAAAGGAAGGATATGCAGTCTGGAGGGGGAAGAAAGGGTGAAGTTACAAATGACTCCCACAGCCTTGCCATGGTTGATTAGTGAATGGTAGTGCCCCTGCACTCAGAAAGAGGAAGAACAGGTTTGAGGGGAAGATAATGTTTCCAGTGTGAGTCATGTCAAGGATGAGGTGTCTTTTACATACCCAGGTAGAGATGGGCAGGAAGCAGGTGGATATACAGGTCTGGGGAAAGTCAAACTGGCTAGAGTTACCAGTTTGAAGTCTCAAGTGCCTTAAATCTAAAGCATATTGGGGTGGGGTGTGCTACATCGCCAGAGCTGAATCATTCTGAGGGGAGGGATCTGGTAAGTCAAGTGTTGGTGCACTGAGCCTACTCCAGTGTTCTAGGGCAAAGCAATCAGTCTCTCTTGGTTGAAGGTTGCCAGGCTCTTATGGGGAAGAGGAACTAAGTTTGTAGGGAGAACTCTCAGCTCTGAACTAAGATCAGCGTTATAAGAAGCAAGAGGGGTAGATTCCAGCCCCTGACAGGAGGAAGTCTAACAACAAGCCACTGACTAGAAAGAAATGAGTGCATCATCAAGGAAGTGTCAACAAGGGCTAGAGGAATCCCACCAAGGATGCTATGGAGGGGACTCTGAATCTGGGGAAGACAGACCCCATTGCCAATGGTGATATTCTGTAAAGGAAAATGTCCCTCGCCACCCCATCTCTGTTCCCGCGGGCATTTACCTTTCAGAAACTTCACAAATCTTCACTAAAGGCAGTTCTGCTGACAGATCAGCATTGTAGGAGGCTCCTACTAGAATGCAAAAAATTGCCTAAGATTTCTACATTCATTCATTTTTTTGTTTGCTTATTCAACAAACATTCAACAAGCCCTTACCAAGTCCTATGCCATGAACTAGGAATACAGACATGAATGGACTATGAAAGCAATGTGATTACAGGTGCAAAAACTTTGTCTTGTAGCTGCTGTTAGTTTCTAGAATAGTCTTACCATTGGGGTCTCAAGAAGGTAGTGAGGGATCTCTTTGGTATGGTAGTGGGCCATGAAGGTTTGATGAAAGAAAGAATGAAAAGAATAAGGGATGGAAGGACTTCGGGAAGTGTCCAAAGGAGGGCTCTCTGCCTGGGTGGAATCAGAGGAAACTCCAAAGAAATAAAGCAGAACCTCCATCTGGGCGAATAACAACTTAAAAGGTGATATTTATTAAGGATTTTCTCCATAACTATTTCTGTTGTACCCGCTTTCCTTACATTATGTAGATCTTTTTGGCAGCGTGGTGTTGGGCACATCTATCCTTTTCTCAGGACCCTCATCAACGCATTGTTACACTAAGAAAGCGGGGTGGGGCCTTCTTGGCGGTTTCCCCAGCGGAGGCGTCAGGACAGCGGAACTGCGGTTCAGCAGCCCGCGAGCGCGCCCGGACGCTTTTCGCCAGAACCCCCACCCTAACGACGCGCGCCTCGTTGCTAGGGGCGGAGGCTCCAGAGGCTGTAGAGCGCAGAGGGTGCTGACTCCCTGAGGATCGGCGCCCCCAGACCAGCCTCATTCCCCGCCAGCCCCATCTCCCCGCTGGGCAGGCCGCCGATGGGTATGGAGCCCAAAGCAGGTGGAAGGGACTCAGCGGGCGGGCGCAAAAGTGGGAGCCTTCGCGCTCACCGGACCGCAGACGCCCACCTGGCCGAAGCAAGGAAAGAGTTCGGAGGGCGGGGCTTGGATTGGGTGGCACTGGATTCCCTTTTTGGGCGTCCCTTGGCCCTTCCCCACCAAGCACACATCAAAACTAAGCTTTGGCTGATTTTTGCATGGACTGGGCGAGGAACATTTGTGAGCTGAAGAGCCAGAAAGGGAAAACCGCACACAGGTTTTCCTCGCAGTTGGGGCAACCTTGGAAACTGGCCTGGTATTGACTCCCCGTGTGAGTCCAGGCGAGACCCACTTATTCTCTGGGCCACGGTTTCCTCATTTGTACTGTTAGAGGGTTGAATTAAACCATATTCCACATGCTGCTACCCTTATTTTGTGTTTGAGCTTTGGTTTCCATGCCTACATCTACTCTCCCAAAGTGCAGGTTAGCTGCGTGCAGAGGGGGACACAGGGAGAGGGACAGCGATAGGAAATCAGCATTTATTTTATTTAAAAAATTTTTAATGTACTGACTTTTTAGAGAAAGGAAGAAACATCGATTTGTTGTTCCACTTATTTATGTATTCACTGGGTTGCTTCTTGTATGTGCCCTGACTGGAGATAGAACCCATAACCTTGGTGTATAGGGACAATGCTCTGAACAATGGAGCTGCCAGGCCAGTAAAATTAGCATTTAAATGAACAGTGGACCAAGAGTCTAAGGAAATGAAGTTGAAGCTCTGCCCCTGTGTGATCTTTAGCAACCCTCTAAGTCCCAGATTCTTCATGGAAAGTAATAGTTGGATATATGCTGGAGTATATCAAGGAATATGGCACTTGAGAGCTAAAATAGAATTCTCTGAGTTATGTTTAGGGTGACTATTGGGTATCTGAGTCTTTGGGATGCAAATTGGGGCAGAAGTGGATCCTGGGGTTCAGATTTAGGCCCAATTCCATCAGGAACCAACAAAGACATCCAGAACCATAACTGAGTTTATGGCTTTCCCAAGTTCTTGCCATCTTTCTGGGCCTGAAATGGAATGAGGCAGGGGAACTGCTCCCTGAAGGATTTGCTGCTTGGTAATTTTAAAGGACCCTTATATTTTGGGGTCCTTAAAAATCTTCTTGCCAAACAGACTGTTCACCTTAGTATGCCATTCATTCATTCATTCATTCATGCATTCATTTTTTCTTTCTTTCTTTTAATCATTTGACAGATACTTGCCTTTCATCCATCCTTCCAGGCAATGCTTAAAGCACAGATACAAAAATGAACGAGATACCATCCCTTCTCTCAAACATATTACATGTTCATAATATAAACAGTGGAAGATAACTGAATAGTATTTTCATTTTCATTTCTTATATATGTCAACTCATAATAAATTACAACATGGACGTTATCCAAGTACATATACTTTGTTTTTGAGATTTTAAATGGCCTTGATATATAATGTAATAAATTCTTAGCCTTAGTGTGATCAATCACTCTGGTCAGAGAAAAAACTTGTCTTCAGTTTAATATCCTCCAGACTTACATATCCATTTGTATCTATTCTTTGTGTACATTTACCTTTGTTTAATATATGTATATTAGAGCAGTAGTGATAAGAGTGGAATTGCTACTTTCAGTATTGCTATCAATCATGTTAGTAGCTGTCATCTTTACAAGTGGTTTGCTAGGCTGAACTGAGGGCTTTATGTATACTACCTTTCTTTTCCTTTTTAAAGACTTATTTATTTCTAGAGAGGGCAAGAGAGGGAGAGAAACATCAGTCGGTTGCCTCTCACACGCCCCCAGCTGGGGACCTGGCGTACAACCCAGGCATATGCCCTGCCTGGGAATCGAACTGGAGACCCTTCAGTTCATGGGCCAGCACTCAATCCACTGAGCTACTCCAGCCAGGGTGCCTCTGAAGTTTTTTTTTTATTGTTGTTCAAGTACAGTTGTCACCATTTTCACCCCACCATCCTCTGCCTTTGAAGATTTTCGATGAACAGAAGTACTATGAGTAAAATAAAATTATTTGATGTACATGTAAATATATTCTATTTTGCACATTTTAATAGAAGTATAATTAACATGATGGTATACTTTCCCTAAAAATCTTTGAATTTTGTAAGATTTCTTTATTTGTGAAGGAAAACTACACTTAACAATCTCTTTGATTAGCAAGGTCCTTAATTTACCTTGTAAATCTCCTTTCAGTGCAAACTTGCTCAGACAGAAGAGATTAATTTAAGCATCTCTTCACTAATTACAGAGATTAAATTACAGTGGCTGCCTGAACTATTTTCCAAAGTATAAATGTTACAAAGCATTGAATACCGCAACTCACCAAGAAGATCCTATTGGTTTGGGGTAAGTGTCTTTTTCTCAGAATGTTCCATGAATATTCTTCAGGTGGCTCTCTGAAGATACCAGCTAAGAATCCAATCAATTTTAAGCAGAGACAGTCCATTTATAGCATCTGCAGGTCCCAGTGACCTAGATCTATGAATGGCATCTGTCCTTAGTTTGATGACAATGTTGAAAAAAATGGGTTAGGCTGGCAGATAGGATGCCCTGCAACTGCTATCAGTCTACAAACGATACAACATCCCAAGCTTTTTGCAAAGTATCCCGAAGCTTTTTCTGTTGGCCCACCTTATGCTTGTTATGGAGAACTGTAGAATGTGTGATCTGAGAGGGACCCGAGATTCGCTACTTCACAAATGTTTGATCGCGTAGTGTAAGCCGCTTAAGAGTACAAAAATAAATATGACAGGGTCCATCCTCTTAGGGATTACGCTGTCTTCAAAAAGCATTTGATCCGATGCCACATTTTGTAGACGGGAAGGCTGAGACATAGAGTGGGGAATGGAGGAACTCAAGGACATAGTGAGGGAGGGCAGAGCTGGGGCCTACCTCCCAGGGCCCTTGGTGCCACATACGCTGTTCTTTCCACTGATGGTGCTTCTATGCTGGTTACCAGTTCTTTTCAGGAGGTCAACTCTGGTAGCCTCTCAAAATGCAGGCTGGAATTCTTCTGGAAAACTCTATTTGTTAATGGTAGTGAGAGGATTGAGAATACGTGGTGAGTGTTAGCTGCTGTCTCCTTGTAGACACTTCTTTCTAAAATGAGGCTTGCTGTGCCCTTTAGAAACTCATCTCCTGGAGCTTCTTTAAGTGAGCCCCAGAAGAGATGGGCACTGGGTACCCCCACCTCCCCAGTTACTTCCCTTTGTCCTCTGGCGCCCTGGGAACAGCTAGTTGCAGAGGACAACAGAGTAGCTGAGATTAGCCCCGAGCCACATACCTTTGGTCCCCGCAGCTGTCCACAGTGGCCACATGTTCTGGTTTCTCTCTCTCCCCCTGTTTAATCTGCTTAGGACCTATAGGAGGTGTTTCCTGATTGAGCTTGTGGGTGAGCACCTGGCTTTCTCTTCCATTCTAGCCTTGTTAGTTGTTGGGGGCAGTACAATCTGGAAAACATTTTAATTATTTTTTAATCTAATATAGTATATCATCCATTTTTGAGATTATTTAAGTTCCAAGTCAGCGGTTCCCAAACCTTTTGGCTCAGGGCTCCCTTTCACTCTTACAAATCACTGGGGGCCTCAGAGAGCTTTCATATTAGTTCTGTTTTTGTTTATCTGCTAATGTGTTCTTGTAGGGTTCATCCCCAGGGCCACAGGAGTGAGGCAGGGAAAGGAGGAAAAGCAGAGGCATACAGTTAATTAGTCTTTGGGAAAAAAGGGTATGTTTTTACATGACGGTTGTGGGGGAAGAACAAACTTTCTTCTGCCTTCGGTGTTATTTTGACTGGTCTCTTAATCAGATAGACGTAATGCAGATTAGTAAGAAAAATAACCAGATTTGTTATTTATGGAACCTCATACACGTGAGAGAGTCAGAGACCCCACATGCAGGAGAGGTTCAGAGATAGAAAGGGGGATCACATATATAAGACAGCCTGAGCTAGGGGTGAGGCAATGCTCTGTGGGGGCTTCAAAGGGTCATTGAGGAATGATAAGAACAGATCCCTGGCTGGCATGGCTCAGTGATTGAGCACCGGACTGAGAAACAGAGGGTCACCAGTTCGATTCTCAGTCAGACCACATGCCTGGGTTGCATGCCAGGTCCCCCATGGGGGCTGCATAAGAGACAACCACACTTTGCCATTTCTCTCTCTCCCTTTCCCTCTCTCTAAAAATGAATAAATACAATCTTAAAAAAAGAACAGCTGTTTAGTAAATAAAAGTCTGCCTTGACATATAGGTGGGTCAGAAATGTTATTGCCGACAATACCTTATGGTGGGCAAGGCTCGTCGTTCAAGTTCTAGTCGTCAAGGGGTGTAGAAGTTCTTCTTGAGCCTGAAGCTAAAACTGCCTTTAGCCCAAAACAGTCCACATACCACAGAAGTGCATCTTGGGGTGCTCGTTCTGAATGCCCACACCGTACTGCCATCATCATGCCTAACAAAATTAGCAGTATGTACTGTTTTTCTCACTGAACAGGGACACAACTTCCAGCAGCCACAAGGGATGCTGCATCTCCGGCACCGTCTGCAACGAGCTCCGCCTCAGAAGCTTTTGTGTAGGTTCTGTGCCATGATGGGGAAACTGCAAAGCAAGCTCAAACACAGCACCTACAAATACAGGTACCCCAGTCCTACTTGGGACCGCAAGTTTTATCATGCCCCATGAAAGTTCTCCACTAAAGAACGAGAAGGCCCAGAGCAAATATTGATGACTTCCCCTAAACTGTCAGCTTGCTCAGTCTTCTTTTGGGTAAGAAACAGCGTGGTAGCTTAGTGTCTGCAGCTAAACAGAAAGGCGCACTCCATCTCTAGAATAATCTCTAGAGTGAGTAAGGACTCCCCTTTATCAGACTCGGTCATTCTGTGCACCTCTGGAGATAATAATACCACTTGGGCAATGTCAGTGGGTCTCCGTGTCCGTCTTTCTCCTCAGCCGGCCTGAACTGCCACCTTCGCACACACTCTTCTTCATCTTGCTCCACTGTGCACTCCCACACCGGTGGACCCCCCATTCTCTGTCCTCTCTCTGGCAGGCCTGATGCAGTTATAGAAGAGAGAATTCCAGCTAGAGCTCTTCAAGACTACAGCCCAGCTCACGTGGATGCTGTCTCTGCTGTTGCTGCTCTGGACTCAGACCTGTGTGTCTCGGGAGGAAACGATCAGGTGCGCCCTGCAGTCCTTCCCAGGGAGCCGCCGCACTGCAGAGCAGGGAGGGTGTGGGGGAAGCGAGCGCCGCTCTTAATTGCCGGCAGCAGTGTCGGGTAGTGCAGAAATGTGGTCTAGAATTAGACTGGGCTTACGGTCCTTATCTTACTTTGAGCAAGTCTTTTAGTTTTCTAGAACGTCAGCCTCTTTTTCTGTCAAATGGGAATAATAATGCCAGCCTCACAGGACACCCGTGAGGACAGTGGTGAGACCCTTAGCACTGTGCCTCCACGCGCCTTTTGGAAGTGACTGGTTTTATTCCAGCCAGCCCCTTTCCACACCCGCATGCAGACGAGGGAGTGACTCGTCAGCAAAAGGAGCCTTCTAGTCTGCTCTTTGGCCACCTCTCCGCACTGGCGCCTGTCGGGACTCTTCCCTTCCTTGTGTCGTGCTTCCGCCCACTGTCCTTTTGGGTCCTGTTGCGTTTTCTCCCTCATGTCCGGATCTGTCACAGCACTCGCAGCTAGGATGTTGGTAGCAAAAATGTTGATTCTTTTGTGGTAAGTAATGCCTCCCATTTCTGATAGCCTTTTAGAGTCTTCAAATTTCATTTTAACGCTATTTCACAGACTTTCAGATGCACACATTTGCACATTTTAACACCTGAAATCTGTATGCATTTGAAAACTGATAATAGAGTGTCATTTAATTGGGAGCATTTTTATCTTAAAATCTGTATCATCTTAGACATACGAAATTTTATTTATATGAGCCTTACCTGTGAGGGGTAGATGGGCAAGGATTAACATCTCCATTTTGTAGACTGGAAAACGGGAACTTAGGTCGAGTGCTAACGTGCTTCTCACTCTAACAGTGAAATACAGAGACTGCTTTGCAAGTCCCATTTAGGAGAATAAATGCTTACAACAAAATATTAAAGTATATACCTAGAGAAAAAAATAGAAAGAAAATTTTATCAGTGGTGCTCTTTGGCAGGTGGGATATAAGTGAGGGATTTTGAAATTAAAAACAAAGTATAGTCTGTTTCACAATAAAGGGAATATACTTAATGCTAGTGAACTGTGTACCTACAAATGATTAAGGAGATGATAAATTTAAAAAACTAAAATAAAGATACAATACAACTAGGGAAAAAATTTAGTTCCATGTGGAATCTTCCTTCAGCATCTACAACCAGAACCTCAACCTGAAGCAGTTTCCCTCAGGTTGCGTTAGCCCAACCCTGTCAATGAGGCGGAGCGGGGGCGGCCCAGGAGCTGGGAGAGACAGAGCAGCGGTCGGGAGGAGTAGGAGGCATGAGGAGGGACACAGTAGAGCCTGTGTGGATGCAGGTCATGTGACTGGGAGGGAGGAGTCAGGAGGAGGATGAAGCAAGGCTTGTTGTTTCAGTTGGATGAATATTCGGTTAAATTAAAGAATGCTAATGACCCTCTGCAGACAGTCGTGGTCTACAACTGGAAAACTGGAAACGTGGTGAGAAGGTTCCAAGGACACGAGCATGAAATCACCAAGGTAAAATTGTCAGCTGGTTATTATCAGGGAGGGAGTTTGAAACTGAATACGGGAACACCTACTCTCTCTAGATAGTAAGATCGGTTGGATATTCAGTCTTCAGAGAAAATGCGAGGGCTTTGTATTTGATGCTGTGAAGCCCTACTCCAGGAATAGTGGAGCAAACCATTCACTCAGCTCTTGGTACGGGTATATGCGCCATAATTTTTCTTCTGTTATTGAGGCTTTCATAGCTCAGGTAGTGAATAGAGAGTAACTCTCCCTGGTCACTCCTAACTCAACAGGGGCACACACCGAAGGCTTACTGTGTGCTGACCATAGTTGGAAAAGAGACAGTCTCTATGCCTAGGAATCTTCCAATCTAGTTGGGGAAAATTTTAAAAAGCTAACAATAGTTAAATAAAAATTAGTTTGTTCAATAGCTTTACAGAGTACAGTGATTTTTCAGCAAAAAGTGATAGAGAATACCAATTTAGATGGCTCTCTGCAGTCCACCTAAAGAACCAAAAGTTAGGCTGTAATCTATCATAATGAAACTCGGCATCCGCCACAGTCCGTAGCACGGAAGAGGGGGTTTGCCTGCTCGTTTCAGCGCACTCGGACCGAACCGAGCAAGCACATTGGGCTCTAACACACTTGTCCTCAGGCCTCTGCCCCACCGCAAAGTGCCGTCGGACGAGCACACCTGCGCTTTCTTCCCCGCGCAGATAGCCTGTGTCTACAAGTCGAAGCAGTTCTTCAGCGCCTCTCGGGACAAGAAGGTCCTGATGTGGGACCTGCACGGCTCCTCACAGCCCAGCCAGCGGTTCTCCGGCCATGCCATGGCGGTCATGGGAGTGGCCGTGAGTCCCGGTAGGTAACGCAGAGCTCTGCCCAGTGCCGCCGTGCTTTCTGAAACGCCCTCTTCCAAGTGCAGCTTGTGGACCATCTTCTTGTTGTTGTTTCCAAAGACTCGGCACAGCTGTGCACTGGCTCTCGGGACAACTCCCTACTTCTGTGGGACGTGGGGACCGGACAGTGTGTGGAGCGAGCTTCAGTCTCCAGGAACTTGGTTCGAACTCAAACTTGCTACAGGGCCGGGCAGTAGGAGGGAGGATGGGGCGAGGGGAGGGGCCTGGGCAAGAGACGAGTCGCAGGACCAGGTGTGGGAGGCCTGGGTTTACTGCTCACCTCTAACTCTGTGTCGGACCCAGCCCCCAGGGTTATTGAATTAGATCTCTTAAGGTCTTGGCTCCAGAGAACAATGCCACTAGTTTATATTGGAATCTTAATGGTGTTCTCACTCATTCCTTCAAAACACAGTTACTTATTCTTCTGTGGGTCAGGCATTGTGCTTAGAGCAGGTCGGTGACCAAGGACACAGTTCTGTCCTCAGGAGCTTCAGCTTCAGCTCTGTGCTCTGCATAAATAACATCATGTGGAGAAAGAAGTATTACATTTTGCTTCCTGTGTAATTTGCTCCGTTTATGAAAACCAGTGTTTTCTGGTAGCAGACTAGTATATAAACTCTGCAGTCCTTGTGGTCAGTCGAACCTGGGTTCAAGTCCTCGATCCATCACTTTTTAGCTGTGTTATCCCAAGAAACTTACTTAGAGTCTCAGCATCTACAGTTATAACTGTGAGAATTATATCACCTGACATGGTAGATGTTTCTTTAGTGGTCCTCAAATGTTAGCTGTAGTTATCATTCCCAATTTTGAAGACAACTGTCAGTGACAAGATACATTTGCTCTATGCCTTCCCCATTTGTGGGGGTTCCTGGGGAAAAAAACAATCCTGTTACTTTGGGTTGTTCCGAAGTCTTTCACGCCCGTCTGCCAGGGGACTGCAGGGACAAAGCGAAGGAAGAACACTTCCTGAACCCTCTGTGGCCTGGCCTAGGGTTTCAGTGGCCCCACGTCAGAACAGGGGCTGCTCCTCCGTGCTGCCGCAGGCCAGCGGGTCTTTGCCCCGTGTTTGGGGTTCAGGCGCTAAGAGTGCCTGCACGCATTTGGGTGCTGCCCAGCTGCCCAGCTGCTACCCCTGGTGCTGATAGCCTCGGAGATGCAAGGAGAGCGTGACTGGCGGGTATGGGCAAAACATAAAACCCCTCCAAGTCAAATTTCCTAGTTCAGCACAGTTGACAGGAATTCCAGCAGAGGAATGATTTGTGTGGAGACATTTTGAAAATTATGCTTCTTCTAGGTCACGCACCTGTGTTGGGTCCCCCGAGAACCATACGTGCTGCAGACTTCTGAAGATAAGACCGTCAGGTGGGCTGAGCATTGGTGAAGGTGTTTCTGGTGAAGGTTTGTGGCCCCTGTGCTTACATGACGCCGTTCCCACTCTGCTTCTCCACTTTGCTGTGTCCTTCCCAGGGCCTTCTGCCCCTCTGCCCCTCGCTGGTGCTGGGGCCTGTCTGATCTGGCCCCACGGAGTCGTCTGGGTAGAGGGTGAATGCCAGTCAAGCCAGGGAGCCTTCCCCCTCCTACCGTGTGAATGTGTTCAGATTAATTTCAGGATCAATAACTTGCTTCTCCCACCGCTTCAAACTGCCTGGCTCTACGCTGGCCACCTGCTTGGTTCCTAACTTCTCCGTCGCCCAGCCCCTGGGGAGCCCTCCCTGGGAACGCAGGTCAGAATCACCATCAGCGGTGGCAAATGAAGTAAATTGCTCTTAGACTAGAAAGCATGACTAGAAACTTTATATTTCTGAAGAGATTTTGCTTAGCAAATGTTAGGAATAAGACAAGAGAAAATTAAAGACTCCGCAGTGGACTCCATGGCCCAGGTTGGCCAAGGCCTGCCAGTCTTTCATGTCTGATCGCTCCTCTGTACTATCGTAAGTATCTTTAAAACTTTTTAAGTCACAGGCACAGAAATATCCTCTTGTCCTTTGAAATCAGTATCCCAAAAGACCAAATTAACACATTAACTTGCATAATTAAGAGGCTTGGTCTAAATTTCTATTAACTGGATCTCAGAATAGAAGGAGCTCAGATGTCACTCTGCTACTTCCTGCCCGCTTCGCAGTCTCTGAGACCCACCCGGAGCTCGTGTGCCGTGACTGCATCTGGCTGGCAGGGCAGCAAAGAACCAGGGCTTTTATGTTAGTGGGCGATTGCAGGTTTATCTCAGACACATTTACTATAAACTCATGTTTTGCTTCAACTTTTTTCAGATTGTGGGACAGTCGGGGGCTGCAGGTAGCACATATATTTCCCGCAAAGCAACACATTCAGACCTACTGCGAGGTCAGTGAGGATGGACACAAGTGCATCTCCTGCAGCAACGGCTTTGGAGGGGAAGGCTGTGAAGCCACGGTGAGGGGTCTTGGGGGATCCAGGGGTCTTGTTGCTGATGAGCGAATAACTCACTTTGGCCTCCCGCCTCTACTGGGCTACACTGGCAGGTGTACTAAGGGCGCAGGCCTATTCCAGGGGCAGACTGGAAGTGATCCTTTGCCTTCCAGATGGTTCCTTCAAGAAACATCTCTTAGCCTAGGCAGAGGTGTCCAACCTTTTGGCGTCGTCTCTGGGCCACACTGGAAGAAGAGTTGTCTTGGGCCACACGTTCAATACACAAACACTAACAAAAACTGATGCAGAGAAAGGTCTTAAGTAAATTTACAATATTGTGTTGGGCTGCACTCATAGCCATCCTGGGCCGCAGGCAGCCCACGGGCCGCGAGTTGGACACCCTGGCAGGGTGAGAGTCAGGATAGGAAGGCGGTATCTTAAAGTGGCTGCTAATGTCTCTCCTCCCAGCAGAGCTTAGAAGAGGAAGGATTATTCGAAGAACCAAGTGCTTCTCATTGTGCACGTGGCCCCAGGGAAAGAGGTGCCCGCTCTTTAGGAAGTTTGGAGCTCCAGGGTCAGTCAGGGCCCACCTTGGCCCTTCCCCATATAGCTTTCCTTGCAGTTAATTTCGGGATAGGCTCCTCCAAAGTACCTTGGATTCTGAACTGTAGAATATCAGTGAAAAGGGTTATCTAGTATCCAAATAGGACAATTAGAGCTCCCCTTTATGAAACATTTCTTATGCGCTAGGTACTGGGCTGAGCACATTACACGCATTATCTCATTTAATCCTTAAAACAGCTGGATGAATTAAGAACTATTATAATTTCCATTTTACAGAGGAGGAAATAGACATAGCAAGTTGAAATTTCTTGTACAAGATCACACCTCTAGTAAGTGTTGGGTCAAGGTTTTAAATCCCAGGCTGCCGATATAGCATCTCTTCTCCAAGCTAAGCTTTTCCAGCTCCTACCACTGTTCCGCCCACTGATTTCACTATTTTTTGGACCCAGTTCACTTTGCTCTCCTACCTGATCATTATCCTCCAGGCATGGTCCGATCTGTGTCAGCAAGAGTGGGACTGGCGGGACTGGCACTGCCATAGTTGTAGACTCTGGTCTGGTCTCTATATACCAAGGGTTAGTGACTGCACATTAAACCAGAAGGTTTCTGCCTGTATGTACCTATGAGAAGGTGCTGCTAACTGTGGGGTCCCCACAGGACCCACAGATACCAAGAGGCTGTCCTAGAAAGTAGGTAACTTCATACTGTCTCACCACACTGGGGGACATGGAGCATCACTTCTCTAACCAGCCCTTCTGCACATCCTTAACCAGGGTTGTTTGAGGCAGAGTTGATGCTTAAGTCATCACTAGATGGGTGGATGGTTGGCTGTGTGATGGGATGCATAAAGATAAGGGGTGGCTGCATAAGTAGGTAAGTGGAGGGAACAGGTGGGTCACGACATGGAGGGGCGATGGGTCATCAATGCCATCAATGACTGACACTGGAGAAGAGTGTGTGTGAGCCAGCCCGTGTCATTACTTTGCAGCTGTGGGATCTGAGGCAGACACGGAACAGAATATGTGAGTACAGGGGGCATTTCCAGACTGTTGCATCCTGTGTCTTTCTACCAAGAGCCCTGGCCTGGATGCCTGCAATTGCTACCTCATCACATGACTGCAAAGTGAAGATTTGGAACCAAGATACCGGCGGTAAGGAACCTGCTGTTGATGAAGTCCTAAAGGACTCTAAACTTTTCTTTCCATTGTTCAGGGCAGCCACGCAGGTCCCCCCACTGTTCAGTTTCCTAGTGGTTAAGACATGACACCAGATCCCAGAAGCTCTGTTCAACCTCTGGCCAGAGGCCATTACCACATAACTCCTTGAACCATATTGTACCCACTCATTCCTGAGAGCTCAAATATGTACTTTTGGCTTTTCTATACTTTCTGTGTACTTGAAAGTCCTCATCAGGTTTTTTTTTTTAAGATTCTATTTTTTAGAAAGAGAGGAGGAAAGGGAGGGAGAGACACATCAATGTGTGAGAGAAACACTGATCAGTTGCCATTGGTTAGTTGGCTCTTGCACACCCCCAGCTGGGGACCTTGCCTGCAACCCCGGCATGTACCCTGTCTGGGAATTGAATCAGTTACCTTCTGCTTTGCAGTCTGGTACTCAGCCCACTGAGCCATACCAGCTAGGGCCCTCATCTGCTTTTAACTCTTTTCCAGCTCAAGATGCTGGAAAAGAGAACAAAAATTACTATTTTGAAATTTATTTTGTAAGAACTAAAATGAGGCCTAGCTGGTGTGGCTCAGTGGATTGCGCACCAGACTGTGAAGCAGGGGGTCTCTGGTTCAATTCCCAGTCAGGGCACATGCCTGGGTTGCAGGCTGGGTCCCCAGTTGGGAGTACATGGGGGACAACCACATGTTGATGTTTTTCTCTCTCTTTCTTCCTCCCTTGCCCTCTCTCTAAAAATAAATAAATACATCTTTTAAAAAAAGAACTAAAATGAGAACCTCAGCTCTTGGTGGGGGTGAGGTAGAGTGAGGATAGTTTCAGAAAGACTCTGCCTTGTTTTGACTCTGCAGTTAAGGTTCAAAACCTCAGAAAAGTCAGGACACGTCAAAGCTCCGGAGGAAAAAATGTTTTAGGGCAGACAGCTCCCTGGAGTTCTTGAGGCAGCAATGTGCGGGCCCAGCTCCCGAAGGCTGATCGTTACATACTCAGGAACATTTCATACGCCACAGTGGGAACATTTACACTACAGAACTGGGCAAATGCTGTGAAAAAAGGTGGTTTTCTCCTTCCAGGGAGCTGATCCACCAGCACCCCAGTGCTTCCATGCTGTTTTGTCCTGGACATGGGGTTCTGCCGGACACAGGAATAGTATTGGTTTGGCCAAAAAAATCGTTTGTTTTTTTCCATAAGATGGCTCCAGTAACGCTTAGTTGTCTTTAACTTCATTCGAAATAATTTTTTTAGATTGTATTGTGACAGCTTGCATACCATATCAGCATGCATTTAAAAAACACATCAAAATTGGTGAATTTTTGTGTGACCATGTTAATATTGAAGATGGAAGAAAATAAGCAACATTTTCAGCATATTATGCTTTATTATTTCAAGAAAAGTAAAAACACAACTGAAATGCAAAAAAAGTTTGGGCAGGGTATGGAGAAGATGCTGTGACTGATCAAATGTGTCATAGTGGTTTACGAAGTTTCATGCTGGAGATTCTTACTGGACAGTGCTCCACAATCAGGTAGACCAGCTGAAATTGATAGTGATCAAATCGAGACATTAATTGAGAACAATCAGCATTCTACCAACATACTCAAAATAGCTAAATCAATAAACTTACTGGAGAAAATGAAAAATCTATCTTATTTTATGGGAAAAACTACGTGAACGTTTTGGCCAACCCAATATTAACTTCGGGAACGACAAACCAAATCCCTCCGGCAGTAATCTTTCAGAAATTCAGGGTCCAGTAGGGGATGGGGGTAGCCCCCCTCAGAGAAAAGTGGTGAGAGCATGTCAGATGGGACCCAAGCTAAACTGCACAGTGAGGATGGCCCCGCTGCACCTCCCCGAGAGCTGCCCTCTCTAGTTGCCCAGATGTGACTTTTGTGGGAGGTGGGAGGAGCAGCTTTTTAGCTTCCATGATCGTGAACCTGAGACCAGGGGAACAAGCTGTGTGTCCATAGTTCTGAGAAGGCTCTGAGTTACAGATGGAGGGAGACTGGGTCAGTTGGAAGCCCTGACTGCCCTTCAAGTTCCCCCATTATCCTTCTGCCTTGAAGGGACTGAGACTCTGGGAAGCCAGCAACTGAAAATCAGTATCTCTGTCTGTTTTCCTCTGCCCTGGTGCTGCTTTGTTCTCGGCAGGTCAGCAAGGGCAACTTTTTAACATGTCCGTGCCACTGAGGCCCCAAGTGTCTGAACATACTTCTAGCTGGTGTATGTCCACCCTGTTTGGTCTGTGTGCCATTCTTGATAGTTAAAGTCATGGGGTTGATCCAAGTTCTGGCTTCCCTGCTGGTGCGTGTTCCTCTGCAGCATGGGATGTGTCTCCATTGGGGTCAGATATGTAGAGCACATGCTTTAACCACATGGCTTTCTTAGGAAGACATTGCATTTTATGATGCTGTGCTCTTGGCCTAAGCTGCTGGTCATCCTCTTCCTCCCCAGCCTGCCTGTTTACCTTGTCTCTGGATGGATCAGGACCCTTGACATCACTGGCTGTTGGCGACACCACCTCCTTACTGTGTGCTAGTTTCAGCAGAGGGATTCACTTGCTCAGAGTGGACCACAGCCGAGGGCTGGAACTGCGGGAAGTGGCAGTGTTCTGAGACCAGGAGACGTTTGCTGGACAGTATCACGCCGTGGCCCCTCCTTTCTGAGTGTGGTTTTGTGTTTTCCATGTTGTCTTCAGAGGAGGGCAGTGTGGGGCGTAGGTTCGCTCAGAGGGCATATCAGTGTTAGAAGGCAGTTTAAGGCCACTGGTTCCAAATCAAGTACAGAGTAACCTAAGGTTCTCAAGCTAAGTGAAATCCAGATGCAAGTTTTAGTGAGCTCTTGGGACTGCTCTTCAAAAAGCAGTTTATGGCTCAAAGTGGTGACCTGTAGGTCTCTGAAAGGGGTCTCTGTGAGAGGACATGGTGTCTGAGTCTCTTAAAGCGACCTTTTCCATGTCTCCACAGAAGGAGAAAAAGCAAGGGGGGGGGGGAAGAAACTGTTTTGCTTGGCTCCAGATGATCTACGTGGGAAATAGTACAGCACCATAGAGGAAATAGACACGATATGAAGGTCCAGTCACTGCTCCTCAGCAGCGTGAAGAGTCAAAGTTAGGGCAAGAAAGCAAAAGCCTTGGCTTCCACTCACAACAGTAGCAGAAAGGGTGGCAAATCCCTGCGAGTTCCTGGTCCCTCCTTAGACTGGTGCAGAGCTTATATGAAAATAAGACCCGAGGTGGCTTGAACAGGCTGACAACCCTAAGGAACTTGTCCAGGATTATGGGAGTTACTAAACTGGTTCCGTAGGTAAGGAAATGGAGAGGTTGTGAGATTAACTTTTTTCACTTGTACATTTTAGTATTTTTATTTAGTTTTATGTAAACTGCCTCTAGGGAATGGCCAGAGTGAGGCAAAGGGAATGTCTGCAATGACAATAGAACACAGAAATAGTGGAGGCATAGACTCCACTGTGCGCTGGCCACTGAGGCCCCTGCGTGAGGAGGGGCAGGGGCTCAGGTGTGCCTGTGTGGTCCCAGGAGGTCAGTCCCCACGTGGTGCCTGTAAGCCCCGGTTCCTCGCGTGGAAATCGAGCTCCTCCTGCCTTCAGGCAGGCCCACGCCTAAGGCACCTGCCCCCAGAGGATTCCCTTTCTGATGAGTCCCAGCCCAAGGAAGGTTTTGCATTTGTCTTCTCTGCCTGCCCCTGACACCTGTGGCTGACCGCCACCTTCCTGCCTCCCCCTGCTCCTCTTCAAGTCCAGCTCCCCCAGGCCGTCTCCACCAACCAGGGAGGAGAATCTCAAGCAGCTGCAAAGCACCTGACCAGAGTTTGAATCTCCATTTAGCTGGATGGTCTTGAGCAAGTTGTGAAATCGCAGCTTCCTCACTTATTGTGTAGGGCCGTAATCATACGTTCCTCACAGGGCTGTTCTGAGGACTGAACAGAACCATATTAAATGCCAAGCAAGGCAGTAGGTGCCTATAAGTGGTAGCCATTGTTATTCACTGCCCTCTGTGCAGACAAAACGCTCTCTTTACCACATGAAACATCTGCCATTCCTCGTCCGTTCTCCTTAGATCTTATTTTCTAAGCTTTAGTCATTGCTCAGCTTTCCCTTTGATCTTGGCACTCTGAAAGAACAAAGGGGTGGTGAACGTGGAAGCTGTGTCATTGAGCAGCTGCAGGTGGCTGAACACATCTATTCTCACTCCCATTCTGCTCCTCAGAGAGGAGCTGGTATTCCCATTGCACTGATGAGGACGCGGAGGCCCAAGGTCACACACACAGGTAGGAAGGGGAAGAACTGAAATTTGAACCCAGGTCAGCCTGACTCAAAGCTGGATTACTTTCCTCCCTTTGCCTTTGCCTTTGGATGATGTCACGAGTTCACTTTAGAAATGTTAGAGACCATGAAATTGTTGGTGCATTTTCTAGACCAGTTAATTAACTTTTTGGCTCCAAGGAGGTCTTCCTGGCCAGGCGCCCAGGAGCAGTAGACGGGTGTCTCAGGGAAAGCCCCAGAGCACCTGCTGGTGTACAGCTGACCCCTTCCCCTAGAAGGGAGGCAGGCAGCAGGTCAGAAAACCCAAGGGAGCGGGTCGGGAGGGGTCCCCGGGGGGAGGAGCAGGCTGCTGTGGAGGGAGCACACCTGTGAGAGAACGGGTCCTCTGATGAATCCGCAGGGCGCTGTCACCCTACACTGCACACGTGTGTGTGATGTGTAAGTGCCTTATTGTGCATTTCAAGTAAAAAAGATTAATAAATGTGAATGCTTTGGTAGGATTTTTCAGTGTTGTGTACCCTACACAGGCACCCTCAGCACCTAAGATCCAGGCTGCTAAACGCATTCGTTCGCCTGCAGAGGTGGCCCCGCTAAGTCATAGTGAGGGGCTTTCCAAAGGCAGCTGATGTTTTTTCCCGGAAGGTGTCTAAACTCTTGGATCTGGACAATTGTATATTTAAAATTTAAATAAATTTGTGTCTTGTATATTTACCATTTAAATATATTTATATAGCCCTGGCTGGTGTAGTTCAGTGGACTAAGTGTGGGCCTGCGAACCAAAGGATCGTGGTTCAATTCCCAGTCAGGGCACATGCCTGGGTTGCAGGCCAGTTCCCAGTGGGGGACAGGAGAGACAACCACACATTGATGTTTCTCTCCCTCTCTCCTTCCCCTCCTCTCTAGAGATAAATAAATAAGATCTTTTAAAATATATATATTTATATAGTTAAGGAGTGGTGATTATTAATGGCCTTCATTTTGACACAGGAAATACAAGTATAAAACTCAGGTCACTTGGTGTTTTTAACCTTTTAATACTAAAAAAGGGCACTTAGCTATTTCTGAGTAGCCTTTGGAAACATAATGATTAAAGAACAGCTTTGTCGTAAAAAAATGTGCTGACTGCTAGCCATTTCCCAAAATTGTCACCTCCCCTGGCACAGGTGGCCCGGCCAAGACCACATTCTCAGCTAGGCACGGCCCTGAGAGCGGGTTCTTGTCAGCGGGCGTGGGGTGGAAGTGATGTGTGTGGTAACTCCCACCCCGGTCACCTGGAAGAAACACATCTGCGCAGGACCCCTGCTCTGGGGCCCCGCCCACTAGCCAGGATGCCAACTGACTGCGGGTAACGGCTTCAACTATTCGGAGGAGGACAAGGTGACGAACCAGCGAAAAAGAAGGAAGCTGGGGCCCCAGAGAACCTCAAGGAGCTGAGTTGCTCCAGCAGCCTGGCCTGTGACTGGAAAGAAATGAGCTTCATTCTTTCTAAGCCAACGTCTACGTTTTTAACTTTTAATTCAAGTACACAATCATAAACCATTTCGGACACGTTAAGTTTATAGCTTTGGAGACAGACTCTAGTCACCAGTACCTGGATGGAGGAGCACACTTCACCCAGGAACGATGATGGCCTCCCTCAGCCTCCCCTCCAGGCCTGTCTGCCAAGGAATTTGTAACATCAAAGGTGTTTGTCTGCTGTTCTATTTTATGTAAATGGAATCAGGCTGTATTGTAGTCGATGGAAAATGTGGCCCCGGTGTCTCCCATTCCTGCATGTCTGACCTTTTGCAACATGACATTTTCTCATCAGTGGGCAGGATCTACTTCCCCACCCCTTGAATCTGCACCAGTCTTTTGATTTCGCTTGATGGACAGAATCCAGGGGAACAAATGCCACACCACTTGTGAAGCCCGGGCTACAGAGGCCTTGGGGCTTCAGTTGCACCCTCTTGGAATGCTGCTCAGAGATCTCTGTGTCCGGAAGGTGACCCGGGCCACGTGGAGAAGAGCCAAGCACTACCGGGTATGTGCGTGAGGTCACCTTGGACCTTGCAACCCCGCCAGATCTGCAGCCAAATTCAGCCACTGATGAAATCACAAGGGAAGCCACAGCTATTCCATACAATCATGAAAAATAATGAATCACTGTTATGAGACACTAAGTTTTGGGGTAGTTCGTTATTCAATAGATTTAAGTGAAACAAGTATATGCTTTTATTTTGGCCAGGCTTTTTTTGCTCAACATGTGTGGGAGATTGATTCATACTGTTGCGTGCAGTGGAGTATTATTCCTTCCCATTGCTGCAGAGTATTCTAATGTGGGGCAATATTATAATTTATCCACTTCACTACTGATGGGCTAGCTTCTAGTACGCGGCTCTTACAAACAGTGTTGCTGTGAACATTCCAATAACGTGTCCTTTGGTGAACATATGCAGTCAGTCTGTTGTGGTCAGTCTGTAATTAGAGGCAGGCCTTTCTGGGCTAGTGTGTAAACTGTGCCATCAGCTTTAACAGATACACCTCTTTCCCAAACAGGTTGCCCCGTTCACATCCCACCCCGTGTGCAGGGGTGTTCGCAGAGCCTCAGTTGTTCCCTGCCCACACTCCATGCTCTTAAACTCTGCAACCCTCCGTTGTAAAGGTGAGTGCAGAGCAGGTGAAAAGTTCGCTAGGGACGTGTTAGCTTCATGAACCAATATTAGAAAAGAGCTGGCCCAGCTGGATTGGATGTTTACTTTTCTTCCTGACAATTCTAGACAAAAGGGCAGAATTTAACAACACAAACTTACACACAATGCTTTATATTTTAATACTACTTCCCAATCATAATTTCATCTGAGTCTTCCAATAAAATAACACTGTAAAATAGGCAGCCTTGGGAATATTGCATTTGCTCTGCAGAGAAGGAAAGTGATTTGCCAAAGATCACACGGCAGGTGCAGATCCCCGATGGGAGCCCAGGTCTCCGGACATGCAGACTGGTTCTTCCCAGCAAAGCCCTCCGCCTCCCATGGCGTTGTCCTGGTGGTGCTGGGCATGAAAGCCGGGGCGGGGGCGGGGGAAGGTAGGAGGTATTTGTAGCTGGGGAATAGGTGACACGGGCTAAACATTGCAGACAGAAGGAAAGTTCAGTCCGTTCCCAGATGTTACTTCCCCAGGGTCTGGGACACAGCAGCCTGCTTCGCCCAGGCCCTGCACGCAGCGGACTAAAAAGCCTACATTATGAGTGTCCACATGCTGGCCTCTCTCAGTCCATCCAGAAATAGCCTTTTGAAAACTGGCCAACTTCTCACAACTGATAACCATGCAGGCTTTTATACTGAGGCTGCACAGAATGTTGTCCTTAATTCACCCTCAGTGAACATGCAGGTAACCAATCAGCAGCGTTTCATTTCAGTAAAAATCTGCACATGTGTGTCTACATTCTGAGATAAAGGTCTGGGAGAAATAGAGCAAAAATGGTAACTGTAACTTCTGGGAATTAACTTTAAAGATCAATTTATTTTTTACTAGATGCCTTTCTGTTTTGGGGGAGGGGTTGCCATGTGGACGAATCAGTTTCATTTTTTTTAGCCTTACTTTTTTTGAAGTAGATAATGCGTTCACATAGTCACAAAAAGCTCCCTCCTGTCTGTGTCTGCCTCCCATCTGGCTCCCCCCAGAGGTAACCAGTGTTACTGACAACTAGTGTGTCCTCCCAAGACCCGTGATGCACACACAAGTGGATACGCAAGTTTATTTATCACTTCCACAATCAAAAAGACTTTCATTCAAACGCATTTAAAATGTTTCCCTTATAACTGACATTCAGTACTCGTTTCAGATATCCAGCATAGAAGACTACTTTTACTTTGAAGAAAAGGCTGTAGAAGACTATTTTATGATACAGAAAGGGAAGTAGAAAAAAGGCTATCAAACAGTGCAGAGTAGGACATATTTTTTAAAAGATCTTATTTATTTCTAGAGAGGGGAAGGGAGGGAGAAAGAGAGGGAAACATCAATGTGTTTGCGGAGCCTCTCACATGCCCCCCACTGGGGACCGGGCCGGAAACCCAGGCACGTGCCCTGGACCCGGAACAGCGGCAGCGACCCTTTGGTTCGCAGGCACTCAATCTGCTGAGCCACACCAGCCAGGGTTAAGAGTATGACATATTTTAAATAATTTATGAAAAGTGCGTATTTGAAACACTGTACTTAAAAGTAAAAGACTTAAAGGCCATTTCCCAAGTGTGTCAGTGGTTTTCTCTCAGTGCAGGGTTCAGGGTGTCTGTCTCAGTGCAGGGACACAGGGTGTCCCCGCTGTGGTGGCAGTGTGCCTGATGGTTTCGGGTGTGGACTCTGGCTCCAGGCTGCCTGATTCAAATCCCAGACTGCTGGGGGGAGGGAGGTGGGTTGGAGGCAAAAAAAGGGTATGGGGGAAAATGGTAATGGAAAAAATGCAGTAAAATGGGGGTGATAATAAAAACAAACTCCAGTCTGACACTTCCTAGCCCTATTGTTACGTAATAGAGGTGGGGGAGCGCAATATTTGGCCCACCTAGGGATGCCAAAAACTGTTACAGAAAACAGGGGCCCCTCCCAAGGACAGTATACTAATACCTACTGGGCTCGTCTGTCCACCGCCATAGGAAGGACATCTCTCAATGCCAGAGATTTATGAAAAGGAAAGGAAAGGTTTATTTAAAGCTGTACAAAGTAGTGACCCAATGTCCTATTAAAATATTAAAGTCCTTTAGGATAACCATAGGTGCCTACAGTGCTTCCTTCCCCCTGCTCTAATTTGGGGTACCGTACCTCAGGAAAAGAAGCACATGTCTGTGTTTCAGGCCACTGGCACCGTCAGCTGTGTTGCCATCCAGGCAGAATCTCCAATTAATCCAAAGTCATGTGTCACCTCCTCATGGTCCACTGGCAAAGAGTTCTTTCACCCTTCTTCCAGGAAAAGTCTCTCCTGCTTCCCAGGCCCGTAGCCAAGGGGAGCACCCCAAAGCTGCGTGGGCCTCTTCTATCAAAGCTGCAGGGGTCCATGCTCTGCCAAAAGCACGTGGCTTTCTTCTTCACCTGGCTGCAGGGATCTCCATTCTGGCAAAGCGCATAGTTCTCTTTCACCTGGGCAAGAGGGGGTCGTCCTCACTCTGCCCCAAACCACATGGCTCTCTCTTTTACCTGGGCAAGAGGGGCTCCTAACTCTGCCCCAAAACTCATGGCTCTCTCCTTTTTCACATTGCCAAGAGAGAGTTCTCTCTACCCAAAACCGCACGGCTCTCTTCTCAATGGCTGCGGCGTCTGCGTTTAAATCCCTGCGCCAGTCTTCCTTTGCTGCCCCATTTCTGACTCCTCCCACAATTGGTTACACCTGCCAGGACTCTCATACCCTCCCAGCTCTACTGGGCTGCCATAGTGAGTCTGGGCAGGTGTGGCCCCGTGGTGTGGAGCCAATCAATTCCAAGCTCTCACGCAGGCGCTATAACTCAGGGGGGGGCCTGCCCCCCAGTTACATCTTGGGTGGAAGTCACTTCTATCCCCCTGGCTCAGAGCATGGCCACAGCTATTTAACATATCTATGAAGCCAGTTAAAGGTTATAGATATGTTAAATGACCATGCCAGAGGTTAGTTGCAAAACTGTTGCTATGCAAAACAGGCCCTGCTCCATTTGTCCCTTCCTCAACTGACACTTGGCGAGGGGGGGAGGGACATCTTAATATTTCCTGGACACCCTGAACTCTGTACTCATCCCAAATCCTTTTCTGTCCCCCCACCCCTGGCTGCGCCCTGTTACACTATGACTCAGGGCAAGTGACTTAATTTTTCTGTGTTTTATCTATAAAATGGAGATGATGATGATGATGACGGTGGTGGTAGTTGAGCTGTCATCAGGGATAGGTTATAAAATTCAGGTAGAGGGCACTTACACTCAAGATGGTGGTGTAGGCAGACACGGCTCGCCTCTTCGCACAACCGCATCAGAGTTGCAACTAAAATAAAGAACAGTCATCACTCAGAACTGTCAGAAACTGAGTTGAATGGAAGTCTGGCAACAATAGAATTAAAGAAACCACAACCATCCAGATTGGAAGGAGGGATGCAGGCGCAGAATGGACTGGTCCCTCACCCATGTGTGGTGGACAAAATTCGGGAGGGATATCTTTGGGAGCGAGGAGTCCCAGCCCACACCAGTCTCCTGGCCCAGGGTTCCAGTGCCAGGAAATTTAGGCCCCACAACTTCTGGCTGCAAAAATCAGTGGGGTGTGAGTCGGTGGAAGAAACTGCTGGAGCCACAAGCAGTTCCTCTTAAAGAACCCACACGTGGACTCACCTACTCAGACTCACTCCCTCTCAGCTCCAGCACCAGGGAGAGACTGAAGTGTCTGGCATCAAGGCAAGCAAAGGTCATTGTCCCTTTGCTAAACCCTCCCCTCACAGAGCCAGGAAGCTGGTGCCATATTTGAGACTCTATCAACCTGGCTGACCTGGTTTGACCCGCCTTGGAAATCCCCAGAGATTCTGCCCTACCCAATTTATGGGCCCACCCAAGCTACTTTTCCATATGAATGGCAGGTCTTGACTCCTGCTTTACAACTTCCTAAATCCTCTCAAACAAGAAACAGCTGGCCTCGGTGTGCCCCAGGCCAGGCACTAGCAGCGGCCAGCCTAGATTCTCAGCTTGACTTCACCTGGGAATCTCCAAACCCAGCACCAGTAGTAGCCATCTCAGATTGCTCTATAACTCATGCATGGTGGCCCCAGGTAAAACACAGGTGAGGGCTGACCTTGGCCTGCACTAACCAAGAAACCCCAGATGGGAGGAGTGAGGGGGAGGGAGAATGGGTGAAGAGGTGAGGGGATTAAGAAGTACAAACAGGTAGTTACAGAATGGCCATGGGGATGTAAAGTACAGTAGGGGTAATAAAGTAGCCAAAGAACGTATATGCTTGACCCTTGGACTTGAACAATGGTGGGGGGATTGTCTGAGGGAGTGGGGAGTGCTGGGTGGAGGGGGGCAAAGCGGAAAAAATCAGGACAACCGTAATAGCATAATCAATAAAATATAATTTAAATATCAAATCAAATCAATAAACATTAAAAAAAATTCAGGCAGAGCCCTTACAATGGTGCCTACCATCGCTCCTGTGTCACGAATGGTTCTGTTCAGCTGAGTTTCCTCATTTTTCTATATTGGATATGTTTTACAATAAAAGTTAAATAATAGACTCCTGCAAGAGAAGGGAGACTGTACCCATAGAGAGAAAGGCGCAGATGAGAGAGTGGTCATAGAGAAGCTAAGAGGGAGAGACCCCAAGCCCCCAGGAGGAGTGCAAATGAAACCTGCAGACCCAGAGAGGAGGGAGGTCTCTGGCTTCCTGATTCTGATTCTCCTATTAGAGCCCCGTGAGAGGGCCCTGGCCAGTGTGGCCCACTGAGCTTCCTAAGAGCAGGGAGGGACCCTGGCCCAGGAGCCTTCTCTCTCGGCATTTGGAGATGGCCTTTGCAATCATTCAAGAAGCTCCCTTCCCTGTGCAGACAGCCTTCAGCCAACACTGCCACTCTCTTCCTGGTGGGAAGGCTTCAGAATAAGTGTGAGGACTCCCCTGGTTGTGCCCGAACCAACACACACCAAGGCCCTTCAGAGGGTCAGTCACTGTCACCTCAATCCCCTAGACTGCCAGCCACAGTCTAGGGGGTTAAGAGACAAGATGCTTCACTCCCAGCCCACCTGGAGAAAGAGACATCCAATCTCGGTTTCGTGTTTCTACACATAGCAGGTGGCATGTGCGGGAAGCATGTTATCCTTTAGCGGTCGGCTGGGGCCTGCCCTCTGCAGACAGCATGGGCACTATGAGGGGAGGAGAAGGCTGCCTGAGAGCCTCACACTGCCCTCAGGTGAGGGCGGGGGAAGGGAAGCGTGGGACCAGGAGCTGGAGGCCCTGGGTCCCGCCTCGGCTCAGACGTGGATGCTGGCTGGGGTCACTCTCAATTTCACCAAAGGCCAGTTGCTCCTCACAGAACCCCTGGAGTTGATCTGGGAATTACCATGCCTGCTTGATGAGATACGTTATGTGAACTACTTTATATTTGAAAGACTATCTAGGTCTTGTCGTTCCTGCCAAGTCTGAG